GGACTCCTTGGCAGGTTTTGAATAAACAGACACAAATTTATTTGTTAATATAATAGATGGATAATTTAGAGATTTTTACATTTTTATAACATGCAGAGAATGATATGTGTTAATAAATCAGAAAGAGGAACTGAGGGAAGTTGTAGGGGGGAGGGAGGGGTATGAGGGGGAGATGGGAGTGGAAAAATGGGGGGAAATATAATTGATGAAATAATTTGTTATGTGGAAAAAGTCAATAAAAAACGTTAAAAAAGAAGAAGATAACAACAGGCTGCTGGATCGGACCAAGGGACCAGTTGGTCCAGCATCCTCTTTTCTCAGTGCCTGTGGGAAACCCCCTCCCCTCCCATTGTTTCCAGCAACAAGCCCCCAACTGCGGAGGCAGACCATAGCCCTCCTGGCTAGTAGCCATCAATATCCCTCTCTTCCTCCATGAATTTGTCCAATCCTCTTTTAAAGCCATCCAGGTTGCAGGCCATCACTGCCCCTTGTGGCAGAGAGTTCCACAGTTTAACCATGGATGTGCAACCGGCTTAGTCCAGCGGTTCTCAACCTGTGGGTCGCCAGATGTTGTTGGACTACAACTCCCATCATCCCTGAGCTCTGGCCTTGCTAGCTAGGGGTGATGGGAGTTGTAGTCCAACAACATCTGGGGACCCACAGGTTGAGAAAGGCTGGCTTAGTCGGTAGAGAACATGAGACTCACTCTCTCTTTCCCCCCCTAATCAAATCACAATAACTATTCCAAATCATACATATACATACCGTATTTTTCGCTCTATAAGATGCACTTTTTCCCTCCTAAAAAGTGAGGGGAAATGTGTGTGTGTCTTATGGAGCGAATGCAGGCTGCAAAGCTATCCCAGAAGCCAAAACAGCAAGAGGGATCGAGAATATATTTTTTCTTGTTTTCCTCCTCCAAAAACTAGGTGCGTCTTCTTGTCTGGCGAAAAATACGGTATCTAATAATCCAAATGTTCCGCCAAATTTTAAATTTTTAATAGGACCTCCCATGCTTCAAGTTCAGAGGGTTCTAATCATCTCCTATCTCTACTGCTTTTCATAGTCATTTCTGATGGTTCCTCTAATTCTTCCTGTTGTTAACCTTCCTTCTTTCGCAGCCTCTGAGTTGCTCCCACAAGTGAGTTGAGACTCTCAATCTCATGGGTTTAGGTTCAAGCCTAAAGATTCCTGCATTGTTTTAGCTGGCCCGTATGGTCCCCTTCCAAGTGTACAATTCTATGATTCTGTGAAACTATCTTTGGATACCGAAGTAAATGTTTGTGTGAGCGCTAATCCTCACTCTCTGCCTCCACTGGCAGAGGCAGCGATGCTTCTGATTGCTGTTGCTGAAAACTGCAGGACAGGAGAGGGATCTTGTGTTCGAAACCTGCTTCCATTAGGGCATTTACTTGACCACTGTGAGAAGAGGATGCTGGACTAGATGGGCTACTGGCCGGATCCTGCAGGGCTGTTCTTATGTACATCATTTTATTCTATTCCCTTACAGCTCACCTTTCCAAAGAGCCCATTCTGGCATACATAATCTCCCCCATTTTATCTTCACAACAACCCTGCGAAGAAGACTAGGTTGGGAGACAGATGCTAACCCAAAATCACCTAGTGGGGATTCAAACCCCGGTCTCCCGGGTCTTGGTCCAACCCACTAACCACTACACCACACGCTTCACCTCCCATATGCAGAATGTCACCTGCTTTTGACGCAAAGGCTGGGCATCCATCTGCCAAGGATGCCGCTGCTGCAAATCACACTGCAGATTCTGCACTGAACGGGGTTGGACTAGATGAGCTCTGAGGTCTTTTCCGCAATTCTGTGTCAGGACTGAGGAGGTGAAGAAGGAACTAGTGTGGGGTAGTGGTTGGTGTCTCAGTCTAGGGCCTGGGAGACGAGGGATCTAGTCTAAGGTTACCAGATTTTTTTCAATGAATATGGGGACACTTTAAACAAACAAACAAACAAACAAATAAATTACACATTTGGGACATTGATGCTGCAGCGATGGTGGTGGCAGAGCGGCTGCCACCTTGACCTCAACCGCCATGTTTTCCCTTCCTCCGAGGCTTGTATCTCCAGACGTGCTTTTCCTGTCTGTAGTGTCACTTCCAAAACTCGCATCAGCAAATATCTCAAGACCGCCAGACTTCTGGTTGTTAAATCTCAGTCTGTAGTGCACAGTGCCTTTCAAATAACGTGCTATGCATTTCAGAGCTTTCCAATCCTTAGCAATAGGATTGTTGACATGTCTGCTTAGCAAATTCGTACTAACTGCAATGTCAGGTCTTGAACATCTGGCAATGAAGTTTAGTTTGCCTAGCGCACTTCTGTACAGTGTAGTGTCAGAAAATGCTTCTTCAGTATCATCTACGTGATAACCTGTTGTCATTGGTGTGTCTACAGGGTTAGCATCCATCAGGTTTAGTTTGGTTAACACATCAGCAATTTTCTGTGACTGGTGTACTAGAATGCTACCATCTTGATCTCTCTCTATTTCCAGAGATAGGTAGTTGGTTACCTCACCAAGGTCTTTCACATCAAAGTGCTCCTTCAGTTGAGCTAAGGCGCTATTGTACATTTTGACATCCTTCCAAAAGAAAAGAATACCATCAACATAAAATAAGCAATACAGCTTCTTTTGAAAAACACACATGGATCAGCTTTACCTTGCTGAAAACCTAGAGAAAGCAACACTTCGGTGAGTCTAGAGTGCCAGCATCGTGCACTTTGCTTGAGACCGTATAGGGACTTTTTCAGAGAACAAACAAATCCCTGTTTTACTGACAAGGCTCCGACAAGAAGGAGAGCCGAGAGCAGCGGTGGCGAGGCCATTGGAGCATCCCCAATCTCATTCCTACTTGCATGCAAGCAGGAGGAGAGATCCCTGCCCCCTCCTGCTTGCATGCAAGTAGGAGTTGGGAGGCTGCTCCGATAGGCAGCATGAAGCCTCCCTTCGCAGCTTAGTTGCTGGGGTCAGGGAAGGGGGAGGCAGCCCGGAAGCTGCGTCTTTGAGCCCCTGCACCACCATCAGATGGGGACTTCTCAGCAGCTCCTGAAGCCAGCCAGATCCAACTGCTCCGGGCTGCTGAGACGGCCGCTGCTGCGTTTCCCGGGGACATTAGATGAAATCCGGGGACATCCTGGGGATGGAATTTGTCCGGGGACTTATTCGCAAATCCGGGGACTGTCCCCGGGAAATGGGGATGTCTGGTAACCCTAATCTAGTCCCCAATCAACCATGAAGCTCACCAGGTGATTTCTGGCCAGTTTCTCTCTCTCAGCCTAGCCTTGCCTACCCTCTCAGGGCTGTTGCAAAGATAAAATGGAGTGCTGAGAATTGATGTACGCAGCCTTCAGTTCCTTGTGGGAAAGGTGGGATATAAAGGTATTAAAATAAATAAATGAAAACAAAATATGCCGTTACTCCTGCTGCCCATCCAAGCTACTGGACTCCTCCTGTAAGTTCTCATTCTTCCCCAATGCGCCTGTGAGCAGGAGAACTTCCTATGCGAATTGCAAAGTGATTTCCAGAGGAGCGAAAAGTCTACTTTCCCTCAATTCAGTCTTGTTGCTTTTCCCAGTTTAGGGGCTTCCTGGAATAATAATAATTAAAAAAGCAGGTGCCATCAGCTTTCATGTCCCACTTTAACCACATTCACACATAACTCCATGCCGAAAGGTGCCCCGACATCACTTGTGAACATTAACACACAGGTTCGATGGGGTTGCATTAAACAGGTCAGGGCGGAATGCAGTTGCAGCGAAGCCTGTTTGCAGGGCTTTTGGGGCCTGTTCCTGGCTGGGTGCATAGGAGCCAACTCCCAGGGGCCGAGTTCCCTTCACCCCCCCCCAATAAAATATATGAGGGGACCAGCCCCCAGTGGTGTAGCGTGGGTTGTCAGCACCCGGGGCAAGGCAAGTAATTTGCGCCCCCTAACCCGTGGATTTTAGCAGGGGGCAGAGAGCTGTGAGTGCGAGCGCCCCCCCAGATGTTGGGCCCCGGCCCCCCCCTGCACCCCCCACGCTACGCCACTGCCAGCCCCTCCCCAAAGTTGCTGGGCATTGCCATTCAAATGGTGTGTGTGAGCCACATCCTGTGACAGATTATGCAGGTCAGAACTTACCTGCCCCCTCCCCCATATTTTATTCAAGTTTGCACCCCAGAGTGAGTGAGTGGGAGAACACGCGGAAGAGAGCTCAGGGCAGGGGGCGACTTAGGGTGACGCGCTTGTGGTGCTGGGTGAATCCTGGTCCAAAGACTCCTCTACAGGGCTGGGGTACAGATGGGAGAATTTGCTCTCAGGACCCCGACGTGGGAACCAAAAACTCCTCTTTTGCAGAAGGAGGCAATCCTGGGAACGTTTTGGGGAGCAGGTATCCAAACGCCTGCCGTGGGGGAGAGAAAATCTGGGGCCAGAGGGGGTTTTTCCACTTTCCACATGCTTTTGAGGGGGGGGGTGAAATCCGTGGGGTTTAGAGAGGCACATCTACTTTTGGAGTGGGGGGCGCCATATGGAGAGGTCCCGGAGGCAGCGCGCCCTTGGAGAGGATTTCGGGGGTTCGCTGGGGACTTGGTCTTGGGGGCTACTTGGGAGGCTGCTCCCCTGGGTTTTTTGGGGGTGGCGGCGGCTGGGGTGAGATCTGTGGGATTTAGAGAGATGCGTTTCTTTTTGGGGAGGGGGGACGCACACATGCGGAGGCAGTGCGCCCTGCAGAGGTTTTCGGGGCGCGCGCTGGGGTGTCGACCTTGGGGGCCACTCTCAGATGGGGGGAGGCTGCTCCCCGCCATCATCCCCCGCGCGCCCCCCGCCCGCGGCCATCGTCCTCCTCCTATGCCGCCGCCGCCTCCTCCTCCCCCTCCGTCCGTCCGTCCCCCCGGAGTCCGCTCCTCCCCGGATGATGTCAGCCTGCCCGGCCCGGTGGCTCCAGCCCCCTCCCCTCCTCCTCCTCTTCCTCCCTCCCTGGGGAGGCGGAGGGAGGCGGCATGGCCCGGCTCGGCCCGGCCGGAGGCGGCGGCGGAGGAGGAGGAGGCAGCCCGGTCGTCCCCCTGCGCCTGGAGTCCCCGTCCGCCGGCCCCGCGCCGCACTGGCTGGCCGTGCTGATGGTGCTGCTGCCGGACGGCGAGGACGACGACGAGGGCGACGAGGCGGGAGCCCAGGCCGGTCGGCGCAGGAGGAGGCGCAGGAGGCGCGCGAGAGCAGCCGCCGCTCCAGCCGCCGCCGCTGGGCTGCTCTCCGGGGACCCTCGCCGGAGGCTCCTCCTGCTGCTGCTGCCCGCGAATGGGGGCTCCGCAGGCGGCGGCGGCGGCGGCCCGCGCTCCCACCCGCCTGCGCCCTCGGTAAAGCCCCTCGGGGGGCTCCAGTCCTGGGGGGTGGGGGGCTCTCTCCAGAAGGGGCGCCCCAGAAAGTGCCAACTGTCCACCATACCCCAAAAAAACGCCGTTCACTGTCTCTTCCCCCACGCCACCCCCATCCTGGGGCCCCAGGCGCCCTGATCCGGAGCGCGCACCGTTCCCCCACTCACCTCCCTCCCCCGGTGCGCCCCTGAACTTTCTGCGTATCCCGGGACGGGCCGTCCGTCCTGTCCCCTCTCTCCATCACTTCTTGGCGTCTGCTCTTGATCCGGCCCGCCGGGCGCTCGTCCGGCCTCTGAACTCCTCCCCGCCCGCCCGACCACCCATCCATCCATCCGGCGCCCTGCCCTCTCCATCCCTCCCTCCGCCTCCTCACCTCCTCGGCATCCTGCCTCCATCCCTCTAGTCTCTCTCTCTCTCTCTCTCTCTCTCTCTCTCCTTTGCTCTGGTCCTCTCTGCGCCTCCTCCGGTTGCCCTGACCCCGCTCTCTCTCTCCATCCCTCCAGCCACTCCTTTCTTCCTCTGCCTCGCTCTCTCTCTCTCTTTCTCATCCCTCCTTCCAGCCCTCGCTCCCCCCTCCTCCCCCCTTTCGCCACCTCCTCCTCCCCCCTCCCCCTCTCCCACCGGGGCTTCTCTCTCTGCCTCTCCTCCTCTGCTCTGATTCCCTCCATCCCTTTCTCTCTCTCCCCCCCCTCCTGCACAACCCTCCCCTCCCAGCTGCTTGGCTGCTGTTCTCTCCCCCCCCCTTTACACACAGCCAGTCCCACCCCCCGCCCAACAAGAACCACCCTCCCCAGTCACTTGGAAACAAACAAACCGGTCCAAAATACTCCGCCTTTGGATTGTCACCCCAACACCTCGTGGTTTTGCGAGCTGCTCAGGAGCAGGTGGCTGAGTAGGGAAACTCTCTCCCTGAATCCACCTTGGAAGCCGCTGGATTTTGGTTTTCTGAAGAGATCCCCTCTTTCCGTTTTGCTTTGAGGGGGGTTCTAGGGGTTTGCCCCCCACCCCGCCCCAAGCTTGGGGGGAATTTCCAAAAAAGCAAGCAAGCAGAGGAGCCCCAAACTTTCTTCGGTGGAAGCCCTCCCTGACTGGGGGTTGGGGGTTGGGATTGTTTTGGCGAGAAGACCTGTTCCCCACCCACTCCGCGCCCCCTGCCGTGCACACCTAGGACCCTTAAAAGGCTCTTTTGATGTTCTCCATCCAGGAAGGTCTCCCCAGAGGTGGGCTGACCATGAAGGAAGAGCCTTTGACCGGTGGTGGGCTGTCAGCTGTGAGGTCTTGGATGCACGGGACTGGCATTCTGGATGCCAACACCGCAGCTCAAAGGTAGGGCCTGCAGAAGGCTTGCAGAAAATTCTACCCCCCCCCCCAAAAGAGAGAGAGAGAGTAAGAAACACCCCCAAACTCCTTCTTTCAATAGTTTTCTCTCTCTTTCCCCATCCCCAATATCTGTCTGTTTTGAAATTTGCCAAGAATTTACTGGGTTCTCCTGCAGAAGTCGAGGCAAGGAGTTTGGGACGGGAAAAGTGTTCATTCTTCTTTATTTTTTTCTTCCGATGACTCCGATGACTGGCGCGTGTTATTCCAGTTCTCCTGTTTGATGGGCAAAGCGTGCCGTTGATTTATTCGCTACGTCTTGGGGGGGGGAGCTGCTTAAAGGAAAGGGGAATTTCAGAATTGCAATTGCGATTATTTAGTTTTCGGGAGGGTGTAAGGCCTTCATCATTTCCCCTGCTAAATCTCCTGGTAGAACACCAACCCTAAAGCTAAGTACGAGAGGAAGAAAGACAGGTACCTTGATTTCACCTTTGTTGTTGCTCTTAAAGTTTCACTATAACTCATTGGAACTTTCATGAATATAACTCTTTTCAGATGGGTTTTTCAGCAGAATCAAAAACAGTTTAGGTTGGAACTGACGGGAGGTGTCAGATAACATTTATATGAATATATATATATATATATATATATACACACACACACACACACACACACACCCTGAAACTGGTTTTATATTTCTTGTTGTCAAGCTGTTGGAAAGTGTTTCTGAAGTTAACACTTTGGGGTGGAAAAGCAAAACAGCGTTGGAAGAAAGTTAGATTGATGCCAAGGATGCAAGTTCGCAATTCTGCTTGCAAATTTCTTAAACAGACATTAGTGGGTTGTTGTGTTTTTTTAAAAAACAACAACTGTGGTTATAATTTTATTATTCCTCTCTCCTCCCCCCAAGAAGTATGCTTTAATTTGGTCCTCTCGTACAAAATTGCTCCACATCGCAAACTCCTCTCTCGCCCCCACCATTCCTTTCTATCTTTTACAATTATTCCTGTTGGTCGATAAGCTGGGATGTATGAATCATTTCTCCCTGGGCTCAATGGCTCCGGGAGTTTGCTTCTTTTTGATTTGAATTGATTTTCTATCGATCTCAAATGTTCCCTGACCTTTGACATCTGATCTTGCTTGACATTTACTTGAGGTTGCTTAAACAAAGGAAGCAAGAGTTAGGTTGCATAACTAACCATGTAGCAGGGATACAACTCACCCCCCTCATTTCTCCAGTATATCATTCACCTGCAATTTGCAACTGGATTTATTGTTGTCAGCCTGTTGTCTCCCGGAGTTTGCAAACCTACTAGCTGGGTCCCATGCATCGCTGACCCAAGTCACCTTCTTTGGCTATATGATCTGAGAGTTGTGCCCTAGTAAAGGGTTTTGTGGCGCACTTTGTAGATTTATTTGTGTCTCTGGAAATGCTAATGCCGCAAGCTTTGAAAGGCCTGTGCAGCTGGGCTGGGCCTGCGTGGTCCCTAGTGCACCCCAGGTCCCCAAATAAATGTTGAATATTTTAGTAGCGGAGCACATTCTTGGAATGCAGAAGGTACAAACGTGGGCATCACTGCTGAAAGGATTTCAGGCGGCATCTGGGAAAGACCGGGAGAGCTCTGAAGAAATAATTTTGTGCTAGCTGGCTTGAGTCTGCGTGGGGCAGCTTCGCGTCTTTAATGTTGATCATTCCTCTGTTTTCAGTATAAAAAGGCACAATCCACCCAGATGTTCTCTGGAGCAAGCAGGGGGAGCAGAACCTTCTGGTGGATCATGCCCAGTTGTACTTTATAATTCTATCACAGTTTTTTATTCTCCCCGGAACACCGTGTGTAGGCTAGAAACTGGCAGAAAGTGACTGGTTTGCTGCCTCAGTTTCTCCGTCGTTGAGTCCAGACCTCGGGCCTTCCATCCTGTTTGGGGTGTTTTTTGTTTTTGGTAGAATGCCCCAAACAGAGACATCGCTTTGTGGTAGCTTGCGAGAAGTAAGGGTTTGGATCTGTGTCGAATTAGGTCTTGCCGTGGGATTTCGCGCAGCTAAAAATCATCGTAATTCGCTGAGTCTGGATGAGATTTGTGAGTGGGCTTTTTTCCTAATGACCCAAGAAGAGATGATAACCTGATACGATAATTAGACATAAGAAGAGGCAGCGAAGCTTTATCAAGTCAAGGAGCGTGTTCACCTCCCTTTATCCGGGGGGCCCCTAACAAGATATTGCATTTCTCCATTATCTCCCTGGACTGAGCAGGTCACCTCAAATGGTTAAGCAAAACTGGAATATCCGAGGAAAGGCAGTGTGCGAGACGCAGACAAGATCCCTTGATAGAGTAAGGATCAGCATTTTTTTAAAAAAAGACAGAGAACGTTCCCCTTGTTTTTGCATGAACCATCCAGGCTGATTTCACCCAGAAAGAATTTGCACTAGATTTGTTGATGTTGTTGTTGTTTTGTGGCAATCTCCAGGAAAGAATGAGAAACACTTTCTTTTTTTAACCGTAAACTGCATTGAGATATTGTATCTCGCTTGCAGCCCTGCCTACTCCATGCAACTGTTTTCCTGTTGCATCCTTCCCACTCCTATCGTCACCCCTCCGTTCTGCCCTCATCTTCTTCCAAAGGAATAAACCACACTTAGCGTAATAGTTTATTTACCAGCCTGGCACCCTCCTGGTGTTTTGGACTACAGTTCCCCACGCTTGCTGGGGCTGATGGGAGTTGTAGTCCAGAAATATTTGGAGGGCACCTGGTTGGCCAGGGCTGATCTCATCTACCCATCCCACCTCTCTCTACCCCGTTCGTTTTCTGTGTTTGTGTTCATCTGGCATTAGCTGAGATTTATATAACATCAAAATATATAGAACGTATGCAAACAGGCAGTAAACTCACTGCCATTCCTAGGGCCCAGATGCCAGAAGTCAGAGCATGTTTCGTCCGACTGTGTCGAAGCTGTAAAGCAAGACATGGAATGTATTTGCCAGAGGGCTCAGAGGCTCCTGCCACCCCTGTTGTGTTGACTTACCGTATTTTTTGCACCATAACACTCACTTTTTTCCTCCTAGAAAGTAAGGGGAAATGTCTGTGCGTGTTATGGAGCGAATGCCTGTGGGTGCCGGGGGGGATCTGCTGCAGTCGTGAGCAGAGGATCCATGGTTCCCCTTCCTTCCCTCCTCCGTGGTTACAAAGCATGGATCCTCAGGATTTTTGCATTGGGCTACCCCAAACTCACTGTCAGATCACATGTCTGTGGCCACAGCATGAACCACAAAAATCATATATCCACTATTTCGTTTAGAATATTTTTTTTCTTGTTTTCCTCCTCTAAAAACTATGTGCGTGTTATGGTCTGGTGCGTGTTATAGAGCGAAAAATACGGTATCTTGTCCTGGTGTCCGGTGGTTTGCGTTTTCTCCTAATTTTCGGCGCTGATTCTTCGTAATGCCTCCTGATTCTGAATCTTCGTTCAAGAGAAATTCTGAAAGCTGCCGTTTCAAGAGTTCACCACCCTTACCTTCGTTCGGCAAACTTTGCCATGAGTTAATTTACACTTTTGTTTATTTGGAAGCATTTATATTCTGCTTAGTGTTTCAAAAACTCATAAGCGGTGCACAGCCTAAAATAAGCAAAGGGTTGTGCTCAGAGCAGTGCCAAAATGTATTTCTCTGTGGGCAATGGAACGTTATCCCTGCCTCCCACCCCCCACCCCAGCCAAGTTTATTCTGCGGGTTCCCCTATACTTCTTGAAACAGTTAAACTATGGAACTCCCTGCCACAGTGATGACCACCAACCTGGAAGGCTTTCAAAGAGGATTAGACAAATTCATGGAGGAAGAGAAGCCTATTGGTGGCTAATACGCACAATGGTTACACTTTGCCTCCACGCCTGGGGGCAATAATGCTTTTGAATCTCAGTTGCTGGGAACTGCAGGAGGGGAGAGGGCTCTTGTGTTCGAATCCTGCTTTCAGGTTTCCCACATGTGTCTGTTTGGCCACTGTGAGAACAGGATGCTGTGCTAGATGGGTCGTTGGTCTGATCCAGCAGGATCTTCTTACGTTCTTCTTTGGGGATGGCATGGGGCATAGCGGGGTGGGAAGCTTTGCACCGCTGTAAGCACTGAGTTGAATTCTTCCCAGACAAGCAGGCATTGGCCAGCCCCTGTTCTTCTGCATCCAGTCTCATGGATGCAGCCAGCAACAGATGCCATCAGTCTGATCAGTTAAGTCAATTGCACCGTAGTCCTGAACCTACCTGCTTGAACAAATCTCGTTGATTCAAAGAGCACATTCAGAACCAATAGTCTGTAAATCAGTGGGAAGAAGGGGTTCATCATAGACACCAGTATGTGTGTGTGTTTTTTGGGGGGGGGGGAGTTGTTTTAAAAAAAGAAACTGGTCTGAGTCGTGCAGGAGTTGGATTGCACGTTGAAAGCAGAGAGAATTCAGCCCACCTGGGGAAGAGTTTGTGTTCAGCTGCAGAATCGTGCCGGATGCAAATGAATCAGATTTTCATTAAGCACCTTGGGTAATCTGGGCTGCAAGGGAGGGGACGATGTCAGGAATATTTGCACAGGCGGTTCAAGCAAATCCAGCCTAAAGTGGCCCAAGTCACAATATTTTGACTTAATAGCACAGTGGATGGTGGCTGTTACCTTTTGGTGGTTTCTGAGACTTTCCAAGCGTTTCCGAAATTATGGGCAAATAGGCCGTGCAAAACAGAGAAGGCAGCTTTGTAAAAAAATGTACGTGGGGATAAAAAGGCTGATTACAGGATCCAGCCCAAGGCAATTCTGGCACCCTGTTTACCTTGGGCAGCAGATATGGCCAAATGTCAGGAAGGATGATGGACAAATCTCTTCCCAGGTCTGATCTCTGTAACCTTCCTCCAGAGAAAGCATCCTCCCTGCTGATCAGCTGAGCAAAAATCTTGGGGAAGGGGGTGAGATTTTGGGGTGTGTGTGTTTTGGAAGGCTTTTTTAAATTTAGTGGTAAATAATATCAGTTGCTGATAGGTGAACATAGCTGTCAACGTTTCCCTTTTTTCCCCTTATTCCGAATAGGATTTCTCACAAGACAAGGGAAAAGTTGACAGCTGTGTAGGTGAAGGGAGAGGGGGAAGGGGGCTGTTGCATCTCCAACCTCTCAGCCATCATTCTTGCTGGTTTTCTTCGTAGTCGGAGATTAAACACCTGGAAGATCGATTCACTTTGGTGCAGATATTCCTCAAATCTTGGTTTCCTGTTTTCCTTTCCTTGAGCTCGAGCTTCTCTTGATCGGTTCACACTCAATTTCCAGTCCCTCCACCGGTGACGGAATTGATGCTTGACTTGATCGTTGAGTCCCCAAGAACTGTCTTCTCCGTTCCAGTAGCCAGAGAACGATAGCCAACCATTTTCCTTTCTTGCTCCCACATTTCGCTCCCACCCCCTCTGCTCAGAGAGAGAGTGGCATCGATTTGTTGAAAACCTCTCATGGATTTTCGATCGCGACTGTTCAGTTTGGAGGATCAGATTACTGCAGCCCTGCAGGGCTGCCCTTGGAGACAGATCCGAAGGCTCCCACTATTGCAGTTGTTGTTGTTTAGTGGTTTAGTCGTGTCCGACTCTTCGTGACCCCCTGGACCAGAGCACGCCAGGCACTCCTGTCTTCCACTGCCTCCTGCAGTTTGGTCAGACTCATGTTTGTAGCTTCGAGCACACTGTCCAACCATCTCGTCCTCTGTCGTCCCCTTCTCCTTGTGCCCTCCATCTTTCTCAACATCAGGGTCTTTTCCAGGGAGTCTTCTCTTCTCATGAGGTGGCCAAAGTCTTGGAGCCTCAGCTTCAGGATCTGTCCTTCCAGTGAGCACTCAGGGCTGATTTCCTTCAGAATGGATAGGTTTGATCTTCTTGCAGTCCATGGGACTCTCAAGAGTCTCCTCCAGCACCAGAATTCAAAAACATCAATTCTTCGGCGATCAGAATTCTTCCACTATTCCACTATTGCAGGCTACTTATCAATATGTGCAAACTGAAAGCCCAGTTTTGGATCGTCCGTATCGATTGCCGTTTGCCTCCAGGCCAAATTCAAGGTTCTGGTGTTAACTTTTCTGACATCTTGCATCCTTGATGCCTTCTTCTCCCATATATTCCTCCCTGAATACCAGCTGATGAAGCTCTGCATACTTCCTGTTCTTTGTGAAATGATGTGTAGAATGCAGCCCTTTCTCTGTGGAACTCCTTGCTGCAAGAGAATCCCACTCACCCTTACACTATATGTTTTCTGCCCCTCATCACTTTCCTTTCGTGTGATGGCACAGCTGTTTGTTGGCTGGTCTCGTTTTCCGAAGGAACGTACTCGCTCTTTTAGGTTTGCTGTTATATGATTTGATTGGGTTATTCACTTCCCACACCACTTAATATGTATAATAATAATAATAATAATAATAATAATTTATTAATTATACCCCGCCCATCTGGCTGGGTTTCCCCAGCCACTTTGGGCGGCTCCCGATCGAGTGTTAAAAACAATACAGCATTAAATATGAAAAACTTCCCTAAACAGGGCTGCCTCCAGATGTCTTTTAAAGATAAGATAGCTGCTTATTTCCTTGACACCTGAAGGGAGGGCATTCCACAGGGCGGCGCCACCACCGAGAAGGCCCTCTGTCTGGTTCCCTGTAACCTCACTTCTCGCAATGAGGGAACCGCCAGAAAGCCCTCGGTGCTGGATCTCAGTGTCTGGGCTGGACGATGAGGGTGGAGACACTCCTTCAGGTATACTGGAACGAGGCTGTTTAAGGCTTTAAAGGTCAGCACCAACACTTTGAATTGTGCTCGGAAACGTACGTTTAAAATATCTCTATGCGGTGTACCAAAAATTGAAGCGGCAACTGACAACTTCGACAAAGTATTTGCAAAAACACACAATTGCATCGTTCGAAAACACCCTGCGTGTGCCCCATTTGTAGAGGCTCTGAGATTGAGCGTCAAATGCGGAAGACCTGACTACACAGTGCGCTTTTGCGGATAACCCTCTAGAGTCTAGGCCAGCCTGGTGCCCTCTGGATGGGCTGGACTACAATTCCCATTAAGCTGTGCAAGCTGGGGATGATGGGAGCTGTAGTTCAGAAATAACCGGTGGGGGTACTGGATGAAAGAAGGCTGCACCCGGCCTGCCTCCAAGTTACTAATATAGTTTAGGGTAAAAATTGTCCTCAGTGGGGCAAATTGTAGTCATTCAACCAGGAGGAGTGATGGGGGAAAGGGTTATAGTTTCTCCCTTGCAGCCTCCCCTTCCTTGGAGGTTTTTAGCAGAGGTTGAATGGCCGTCTGTCATGGATGCTTTAGTTGAGATTCCTGCCTTGGAGGGGGCTGGACTAGATGACTCTGGGGGCCCCTTCCAACCCCACAATTCTATGATTCTGCTGTGTCTGGGCAACATCTGCTACCTTTGGTTCTGGAAGTGGTAGGCAGCCATTCTGGCCATGGATAGAGTCACAGGTTTTTAACTTTCTCATTCATCAGCATTCTTAAAAATATTTAACTGGGATAGCTCAGTCGGTATGGCCTAAGACTCAGGGTTCCTTCATTGCAGGGGGTTGGACTTTTGTTGTTGTTGTTTAGTCGTTTAGTCATGTCCGACTCTTCGTGACCCCCTGGACCAGAGCACGCCAGGCACTCCTGTCTTCCACTGCCTCCCGCAGTTTGGTCAAACTCATCTTGGTAGCTTCGAGAACACTGTCCTACCATCTCGTCCTCTGTCGTCCCCTTCTCCTTGCGCCCTCCATCTTTCCCAGTATCAGGGTCTTTTCCAGGGAGTCTTCTCTTCTCATAAGGTGGCCGAAGTCTTGGAGCCTCAGCTTCAGGATCTGTCCTTCCAGTGAGCACTCAGGGCTGATTTCCTTCAGAATGGATGGGTTTGATCTTCTTGCGGTCCATGGGACTCTCAAGAGTCTCCTCCAGCACCATAATTCAAAAGCATCCATTCTTCGGCGATAATATAATAATAATAATTTATTATTTGTACCCCGCCCATCTGGCTGGGTTTCCCCAGCCACTCTGGGTGGTTTCCAGCCAAATATTAAAAACAATACGGCGTCAGACATTAAAAACTTCCCTAAACACGGCCACCTTCAGTTGTCTTTTAGAAGTAAAATAGTTGTTTATTGCCTTGACATAGATGACCCTCATGGTCCCTTGATTCTATGATGTTCTTTGACAACAGAATGTTGGCACTCAGCAGTGTTTCTTTTCTTTTTTATAAAAAGAAAAACAAAATTAAGAAACAATGAGGTGTCAGTGCCCATTACTTTCTAAAAGTGTCATGGGCGCCAGCACAAAATGGCACACTGGTGAGTCCCATCACAAAAAAACACAAGCCATTTATGAAATTAAAGTATGAATCCAGTTGAAAATATGAAATAAAATAAATGGGATGGGGATGGGGAGGGAGTACCAAAAAACAAAACAAACCAAACCAGGGTTTGCATCCATTACCTCATAAAGAACATTCTCAGGAGGTTTACCTCCCCCCTTTATTTTATTTCATATTTCCCACTGGATTGTTGTTTTAACTTCATAATAAACTCTTGCATTTAATAATATTAAAAAATCCGGTAAGCCTGCAACTTATGTGGGGGTTGCTTTTTGGAGATCTCGCCTACAGCCAAAATTGCGTATAGTCAAAGCACTCCAGGTTCACTAGTAGGTGGAATTTGCCAGACTCTTTTTCCCCTTAAAAGCTGACCCCTTCTAATTTTAATTTTTTTAAAAAAATTTGCCATGTCCGTAAAGCTGAATGTGCACAAGTTAAATGTACGTCAGCTGCAGGTGTGCTGTAATTATTTAAAGTTGGGCTGTGCAGCCCACTTGTAGGAGGATATTATTCTCCAGCCCCAGGTGTGAGGCGCTAGTTGAGGAATCCCACAATGAGACAATTCACCCGGCCTATTGTTTTGAACTCAACGGAGGCTCTGTGCCCACACCTGCCGCTTCCAGGAGATTATCCCAGGTGCTCACCGGTTTTTCATCCTCGAAATCTCCAACCTGCATTTGTGGACAGTCTAGCCAGTCTTTCCAAAACGGCTTTCACCCCACTTATGCACCTTAATGTCGATGAAGCAGGACGGGTGTTGAGGACGGGTGGCGGTGGGAGAAATCGAGTTTGGGGGGAAATGGCACGAGCTCAGAGATGCTGGAAATGGAAAAGCTTGTGGCTTAGGCTAAAGGCAGAGAGGTGACACCTGGGAATTGGCAAGGAGTTGGGGAAAAGGTTCAGCAAAAGACTAGCAAAATGATCAAGGGGATGGAGCTACAGCAATTTGGATTTTTCTGTTTGGAGAAAAGGCAAGTAAGGGGCAATGTGATGATGATGATGGTGGTGGTGGTGATGATGATTGTGATGATGATGATAATTATTTTATTTTATTTATTTATACCCTGCCCATCTGGCTGGGTTTCCCCAGCCACTCTGGGCAGCTTCCAGCAGAATATTAAAATACAATGGTACCTCGGGTTACATACGCTTCAGGTTACATACGCTTCAGCTTACAGACTCCGCTAACCCAGAAATAGTACCTTGGGTTAAGAACTTTGCTTCAGGATGAGAACAGAAATCGTGCTCTGGTGCCGCGGTGGCAGCGGGAGGCCCCATTAGGTAAAGTGGTGCTTCAGGTTAAGAACAGTTTCAGGCTAAGAATGGACCTCCGGAACGAATTAAGTACTTAACCCGAGGTACCACTGTACAGTGATTCATCAAATATTAAAAGCTTCCCTAAACAGGGCTGTCTTCAGATGTCTAATAATAATAATAATAATAATAATAATAATAATAAACAATTGATTGAAATACAACTTAAAAACAAGATTAAAATACAACATTAAAATACAACATTAAAATGCAGCCTCATTTCAGTAGAAACTCAAATCAAAAACTAAAAGTCCAATAGCTGTTTATTTCTTTGACATATGGTGGGAGGGCGTTCCACAGGGCGGGTGCCACCACCGAGAAGGCCCTCCGCCTGATTCTCTGTAACTTCACTTCTCGCAGTGAGGGAACCGCCAGAAGGCCCTCAGAGCTGGACCTCAGTGTCTGGGTAGAACAATGGGGGTGGAGATGCTACTTCAGGTATACTGGCGATAGGAGCTTGTAAGATTATGTCATGGCACAGAGGAACCAGACAGAGAAAAGTTTTTCTCCCTCTCTCCTAGGACTAGAACTCATGGCCATTCAGTGAAATGGGAGCGGGAGGTTCAGGATAGATAAAATAAAGTCCTTCTTCGCACAGCGCATGGTTTTTTGTTTTTTTAAAAAAATTATTTAATCATTTTTTCAATACAAACAACAACCGCAAAATACACAACAAAAACCATAATAACAATAAAAACACAATTTGACATTTCAGATTTAAACACACTGATATATCTATGACTGCACCCTTTTAGCAATATTTCCCCACCTCTCTCTCCTCCCCCCACTTCCCCCCACTATCCGCCTTACCACTTAAATATCCATTCCAGATTCCTTCATATTTATCCGTTCTTAATTTGCATCGACATGCAATTCGTTCATATTTAGCTAATCTGTCCATATTATCAATCCATGTGCTCAATGGAATCTTTTTGCGGCTCTTCCAATTCATCAAAACAGGTGGGGGTTTTTTGCTTCGCATGGTTGAGCTATGGAACTCTCTGCCACAGGATTGGTGAGGTCCACCAACCTGGAGTGCTTTAAAAAGGGGATTGGATAAATTCATGGAGTAAACGGTTGTTGATGACTATCAGCCATGATGGCTCTGCATTGCCTCCACAGTTGGAGGCAAAGATGCTTCTGAGACCCAGTCGCTGGAAACCATCGGAGGGAGAGATGCTTTTGTGCTCAGATCCTGTTGCTGGTTTCCCACAGGCACCTTGCCGGCCACTGAGTACAGGATGGGTCTTCTTATGGGTCTTCATCCAGCAGGCTCTTATGTTCCCTTGCAGCTATGGAGGCTCTGATGTCCATGGACAAGGGCACTTGAATTAGCCATAGGCTCACCAGCCCAACAGGGATCCGGGTGGCGCTGTGGGTTAAACCACAGAGCCTAGGACTTGCCGATCAGAAGGTCAGCGGTTCGAATCCCTGCGATGGGGTGAGCTCCCGTTGCTCGGTCCCTGCTCCTGCCAACCTAGCAGTTTGAAAGCACGTCAAAGTGCAAGTAGATAAATAGGTACCACTCCGGCGGGGAGATATACGGCGTTTCCGTGCGCTGCTCTGGTTCGCCAGAAGCGGCTTAGTCATGCTGGCCACATGACCCGGAAGCTGTATGCTGGCTCCCTCGGCCAATAAAGCGAGATGAGCGCCGCAACCCCAGAGTCGTCCACGACTGGACCTAACGGTCAGGGGTCCCTTTACCTTTATAACAGCCCAACCTGGCCTGCTGCTGTGCCTTTAACAGTAGTAGGCTATGTGCAGAAATCTGTTGGCGAATCCATTGGTAGTCGTACAGACAGCCACGGCGGCCAGTTCAGAAGCCGGGGACTCCAGCCACTCCCTCCCTCACCCTTTGCAATTAAGTCCCGTCCTTAAGTCCACGCACCCCTGGTGGCTGCCGCACACCCAGCCTCCCTGCAGGTACCTTGTGACCTTTACAATATAGCAGCCAACTTTTGTTAAGCTGTCCTGTTTTGTTACCTGGAGATGATCTGCGATCACCATAGGTGACCAGTTGTTCACAAGGCTGTGGCTGTTCTGTTGAAGTTCATGGCGAGTGCTGCCCAGAGTATCTGGAGCAACGCAGGCAGATGGGTGGGATATAATAAATAAAATTAATAGTAATAATAATAATAACAATAATAATGGAGGACTTGTTATGCACATAGGTGTGTTCTCAGGGGTTGGGCGTGCCATCTCGCTCCTATTCTTATTTTTACTGGCATTACTGTGGGGGCAGAACATAGCCATGCTGGCTAGCAGCCTTTGATAGCACTTTCCTCCATGAATTTGCTTATTCCTCTTTTAAAGCCATCCAGCTTAGTAGCCATCACTGCCGCCTGCAGAAATGAGTTCCACAGTTCAACTGTGCTGCATGAAGGACTTCCTCTTTTTCTTTAATAGTTTTTATTAAGAATTTCATCAGATCAAATTATCAAAAACCTATCCTCTTCATCCCCCCCATTTTCCCCTCCCCAAGATAAACCCTCCCTCCCTCCCCCCCAGACTTCCCTCAGCTCCTCTCTCTGATTTTTCAAGACATATTTTTCTCTGCATATTATAAACTTGTAAAGATCCTCAATTTATCTGCCTGTTATGTTAACAATAATAAATTTGTGTATGTTTATTTAAAACCTGCCAAGGAGTCCAGTTCATTTTGTTGTTCTTTTAAGTAATTTGTAAAAAGTTCCCATTCTTCTTTAAAGCCACAGTTGTCCTTGTCTCGCAGTTTGTATGTCAATTTCACCAGTTCCGCATAATCCATTAATTTCCCTTGCCACTGTTCTTTTGCCAGGATTTCCTCATTCTTCCATTCTTGTGCTATTGGAAAATAAAGAACTTAATTATGTATGTGACAACGGCGGCAAGAGTCTTAATAGCACAAGGACTTCCTCTTATCTGTCCTAGGAATATGTTGTTCTCCCTTCAAATCTCTCTTCTCGCAATAGTTGTTGAAGGAAAAGATAAAGGTAAAGGGACCCCTGACCATTAGGTCCAGTCATGGCCGACTCTGGGGTTGTGGCGTTCATCTCGCTTTACTGGCCGAGGAAGCCGGCGTACAGCTTCCAGGTCATGTGGCCAGCATGACTAAGCCACTTCTGGTGAACCAGAGCAGTGCACGGAAACGCCGTTCACCTTCCCGCCGGAGCGGTACCTATTTATCTAATTACACTGGTGTGCTTTCAAACTGCTAGGTGGGCAGAAGCAGGGACCGAGCAACGGGAGCTCACTCCGTCGCGGGGATTCGAACCGCCGACCTTCTGATCGGCAAGTCCTAGGCTCTGTGGTTTAACCCACAGCGCCACCCGCGTCCCTGTTGAAGGAAAAGCCCCCCCCCCCACAAAAAAAAGATGAAAGGAAGGAGGAGGGGAGGAGAGAGCTGGGGAGAATGCCACCCCAGTCAACCACCATTGCACCCTGGGATTCCTGCGCAGGTTCCCCAATGGCAAGGCCGGCCGGCCTTACGAAATGAGAACGCCAATTGTCGCAGGAAAGAGAGAGCCATTGGGGGCTTTCCTGTGTGTGGTGGCGGTGCCCGTTCACCCAGCAGCTCAGGATGGGGGCCTTGGTGATCCCAAGGGGGGGAGAGAGTGTGAGAGGTGGGGGTGGGGATTTCAGTTTCGTTGACCCTAATGGAGCACGTCTGATTTCTGCGCCGTCCCCCAGCTGGGTTCCTGGCGGCCCAGCGCATGGAAGAGTTGGTTTTCCTGTAAAGGCTGTGCGGTGCTCTGGTTTGCTAGGAAATGCTCCAATTTTCTTTAATAATTGATGGGCGCTGCCTCGCCAGCCTCAGAGGCTCAGTGAGCGCAGTCATTACCAGCATCCTGGTGCTTTTTCCACCCTCCCTCTCTCTCTCTCTCTCCTCCTCCTCCTTTGCCTCCCTCCTTCCTTCCTTCTGCCTCGAACAGAGAGAGCAGCAATGGCAAGGTTTGGGGGAAACGGGAATGGAATTGAATGCAGGTGTGTTCACTTGGCCGGGAGGTTCGGAAGGAGGGAGAGAGATTTGCAGACTCAGGGAGTTTCTGGAGGCTTAACTTTTTCTCAAGGAACAGCCTGAGGCAGCCGTCCCCAGTCCAGCCACTTTGGATTACAGTTCCTAGCCAGTGTTTGAAATTCGCCAGGCGCATTTTGCACGTGGCTTCCGGCCACTTGCAACCAAGGTGCCAGGGTGCCAGGATGGTGCTTGAGATCTCCACCATTTGGAGGTGCATGCCAGCGGATTTGGACTGTTTTCGCACACTAATACCCCACCCTGTGGAATTCTATCCGTTATATTTTTATCTGCACAATCAGAATCAATTTCTGGAACCCAAACACTTTTTCTGTGCAGTCTGAGCAGGAGCAGGGAATGACGTTATAGTGAATTGTTGCAGCTTGCCTTCACTTGCCCCCTTCCCATTGTCCTGCTCACAGTTGGGAAGAATATTCCTATGTTATGAATGGTCTGTGACACCATTAAGAAAAAGAGGTGGGGATATATCTGTGGACTGGCCCTGGATAAGGTGATTTTCCCTCTTTAAGTTCCCAAACTCGGCTCTGAACCGTGTGCTCCGTGCAGAAAAAGCTGGAATATAAATGCCATAAATAAGCTATATATTAAAAAAATCCTTCCAGTAGCATCTTGTTGTTTAGTCATTTAGTCATGTCCGACTCTTCGTGACCCCATGGACCAGAGCACGCCAGGCACTCCTGTCTGCAGCTGCTTAACTCCCTTCTCGCACGACTAACTTGCGTGGGGGGGGGGGTGCAGGGAGACAGGTCTGATGGCTTCTGGGGACTTCCAGGCCATGGGAAGAAGGTGTTTCAGTCTCTATCTTTGGAGAGGCTAGAGATTGGCTGGTGTGCAGTATTTGTTGTTGTTTAGTCGTTTAGTCATGTCCAACTCTTCGTGACCCCATGGACCAGAGCACGCCCGGCACTCCTGTCTTCCACTGCCTACCGCAGTTTGGTCAAACTCATGCTGGTAGCTTCGAGGACACTGTCCAATCATCTTGTCCTCTCTTGTCCCCTTCTCCTTGTGCCCTCCATCTTTCCCAACATCAGGGTCTTTCCCAGGGAGTCTTCTCTTCTCATGAGGTGGTCAAAGTATTGGAGCCTCGGCTTCACGATCTGTCCTTCAAGTGAGCACTCAGGGCTGATTTCCTTCAGAATGGAGAGGTTTGATCTTCTTGCAATCCATGGGACTCTCAAGAGTCTCCTCCAACACTGCCTTGCCATGGCGAAGGGGCTTGAATAACTCAGAGAAGCTATGAACTATGACGTGCAGGGCCACCCAAGATGGACGGGTCATAGTGGAGAGTTTTGACCAAACGTGATCCACCTGGAGTAGGAACCGGCAAGCCACTCCAGTATCCCTGCCAAGAAAACTCCATGGACAAAGACAACAGGCATATAAAAGTAGCACCTTAGAGACCAACTAAGTTTGTTATTAGTATGAGCTTTCGTGTGCATGCACATTTTTCAGATACCTGCACACGAAAGCTCATACCAATAACAAACTTAGTTGGTCTCTAAGGTGCTACTGGAAGGAATTGTTTTTATTTTGTTTCGACTACGGCAGACCAACACAGCTACCTACCTGTAACTATAAATAAGCTATTCAGCTTACCTTCTTAAGGAAGCTGGTGGGGCTAGCCAAGGCATAGGCAAACTCGGCCTTCCAGATGTTTTGGGACTACAGCTCCCATCATCCCTGACCACTGGTCCTGTTAGCTAGGGATGATGGGAGTTGTAGTCCCAAAACATCTGGAGGGCCGAGTTTGCCTATGCCTGGGCTAGCCAGACACAGATGCCAGTCACCAAACTGGCATCCAGCAATCACCATATGGTCGCAATTAGACCCGTGCCAGTTGCAAAACACGCCTGGGGAGTTTCTAAAACTGGCTGCCCCCCTTTTAAATAGAGAATAGGTTCTTTCACATGCCTTGCCAGACACAGGTACAAGGTTCTCCTCACATGTTACAAGTGTACACCTCTTGATTTGTGTGGCTCACCTGTGCGTACACACAGGCAAACAGACGGCAGATTCGTCGAACGTAACTTGCGAATAGGTGGGTGAACGTGCAGCTCAATCATTGTGCACCCCGGTCCTTGGATTGTGCGGTTGTTGAATGTAACGTGTGAGTGCTCCCACAGAGAGGGGCAGTTGAAGGTTATCAACTGGGGCTGAAATCCTGCACAGTTAATCCCAGTGGGATTATACTGGCTTTGCTGCATTCAGAGGTTTAGCTCCCCCTCCGACTATAGAATTTGAACTCAGCTCCCTGGAGCCTGTGGGTCTGCCTGTGTCAAATTTTCTGCCTTGTGTTGCTGATACAACACTTGTGTTCTTGTGAGATGCCCCTCATGCAACAGCAGGACCAAACAAAACAAGCTTTAGATGGTGTTTTAGGAGATTTATACCAAGTTTTTGCTGGGGTCTCTCCACCCCCACCCCCCCTGCTCGCACCCCGCTATAAAAGCCCCCGCAGTTCCAGAGACTTTATGGATATTCAGAAATGTTATTTCTCTCTCTCTCTCTCTCTCTCTCTCTCTCTCTCTCTCTCAACTTCCTGCTGCCTCTGGCTTTTAAAAGACGAAATCTGAGATTGCCATAAATCCAGCAGCCCAAAATCTCTGACTCCCGATAAAATCAGGATTGGATTTCCGCCGTTTTGTCACCCTGCTGATCTCCCGTCTTAGTCCTGCGGAGATTTTCCCCAGGGTCATGGTTTTATTCCGCCTCCCTGGCCCCGTCAAGCCAGTCAGAAGGATTCAGGGTTCAAGATGCTCATTTCCCATTGTTTCCTTGACCCAAAGAAACCCGAGGCCAACTGCATTAATAATAATAATAATAACATAGTATTATCTATTAAAGCTCTTGGAAATTTCCATCCGTAAATAAAGTTAATGGCTCTTGGGTATTGTTCATGTGTGCGTATACAGAATATCCGAGAGATCCATTACTTTATTTACAGATGGAAACTGTAAAGTGTCTTAATGGGCATTATTATAGGGGCGTAGATTCAGTTGCACACCAGCAAATATAGATTGTGCCGTTAAAGTGGATTTGGTGCCCTTGCAGAACATAATCACTTCTACCCCCCACCTCACCCAAAAAATTGCTGTAAGGAAAGTGACAGAGAAACACATGGAAAAGGGCAGGTGGGCAATTGCTCGAGGTGACACCGCCTAACCTCCCCAAACAAACCAGAAGGAATGCTCCATAGGCAGGCTGGGGTCTCTCTCAACAAAACCCTCCCATTCATGCTGAGACCGATTTGCACAACAGAACTTCCCTTCCCCCTCTTTCCCCCCAAAACAGGGTTGCGGTTTTTCCAGAATTTGAACTCAGCTCCTTGGATCCTGTGAGTCTGCCTTTGTCAAAGTTTCTGCCTTGTGCTGCTGATACAACACTTGTTTTTGTGAGATGCCCCTCGTGCAACAACAGGACCAAATAAAGCAAGTTTTAGATGGCAGTGCAGGGCTTGCAGAGGGAAGAGAAATTCTGTTTCACGAGCAGAAGCCTTTGCCCAACTGGGACTATTTCGGTGGATGTAGCTCCCCATTAATAGTGCTTTATGGAAGGTGATTGTTTTACTGATGCCTTGTAACTGTGTTACAGATGGACCCTAACTTAGATGCAGAGGCGTCTAAGGTGGGACCTTTTGCATGCAAAGGATGTGCTTTCCACTCGACTACATCCCTTCCTAGGGAATTCTCCTTTACTGATCAGATCATCTAGGCTAGTATTACCTATTCTGACTGCCAGCAGCTCCTGGGGCTTTCAAACAGGAGTTTCTCCAAGCTGTACCTTTTTAAAAAACCAAAAACCAAAACACATTTTAAAATATTGTTTTAATTCCATTAAATTCCTTTTTTAAACCTTTATATGTTTTAGCTTTTTGTGTGTTGTTTTGAGTCCTGGTCCGGAAGAAAGATAGGGTAATAATAATAATAATACCTAGAGATTGATCCTGAAACGTGCAATTTGCAAAGTGTGAGCTCCTGTGTTTATATCCACCTGTCTGCCTTTATTTCAGCAGCTATGTGTAACCCTTTTAAAGGAATCAACAATGAAACGAAACCAATATTCCTTTTTATTTCCCCCTGACGCTTGTCTGCAGAAATGGACACTCAGTGCATGAGAGACTTCATTTATTCACAGAAAACCATACAGATTCAGGCATCCATACGTGGAAAGTGGTTTCTACGTCACAAGCTGCTGGCGTTCAAACAGCTTTCAAACAGCGTTTATTTAAGCATCTGCATTTATGCCGAGGAGTTTCAAATCGCACAACTCTCAGAAGGCAGCGCCCACAACATCCTCAGACACGAAATATAATACATAAATATTCCAGGCCCTTGAAAAGGCATCTGTGACAGATAGCTGTGCTGTTATGTAAATCGCGAGAATATGCCGAACTTCTCTTAGAATTGCACTTCTCATTTAAGATTTTGCATTCCCACATTTTCCACAACCGTTCCTGCTTTGGCTGTGCTCTCCACTGTTTGGCAAAGACCCTCCTTTCCAGCTGCTAATAAATTTGGTGCACACTCCTGAACTTTTGAGACTTACCTTGCCGTACGAAAGCTAAGCAAACCATTTCAGTGTTTGCATACAGCAAAGATCTGATATACTGTCTGCTCCTCTTTTCTAACCATTCCTTATGGGGTTTGCTTATTTGTTTTCTGTGGATGTAAACTCTGCCGTTCAACCTAGCCATTCCCAAGGCAGCTCGCAACGAGGTTCGTCATAAGGCATTCTTTGCTATCCCGGTGTCCTCCAGATGTTTTGTAATGAAACATCAAATTGACACATACAGTGAGGGGGAAAAGGTATTTGATTCCCTGCTAAATTTGCCCATTTGCCCTCTGACAAAGAAATGACCAGTCCATTAATTTTAATGGTAGGTTTCCTGTAGCTGTGAGAGACAGAATAACAACAGGAAAACCCCCAGAAACCCAGAAGGCAAAAGTCACAGATTGACGTGCATTGTAATGAGTGAAATAAGTATTTGATCCCTTTGCAAAAGATGACTTGGTACTTGGTGGCAAAACCCTTGTTGGCAATTGCAGAGGTCAGACGTTTCTTGTAGGTGGTCACCAGGTTTGCACACATCTCAGGAGGGATCCCATTCTGTCTCTCACAGCTACAGTAAGCCTACCATTAAAATTATGGACTGGTCATTTTTTTCGTCAGAGGGCAAACGGGCAAATTTAGCAGAGGATCAAATACTTTCCCCCCTTACTGTAGCCCCACACAACGGAGTGTCCCTTAGTCCCCTGGTCAATGGATGGGACCAGGGTTGTAAAATCCGTAGTAACAGAGAGACCCCAGTTCCTGCTTGTCTTTCCATTTCTTCTGATCCTGTAGGCTATAGCCCATTTTGGGGGGTAGTGTGTGGACCTCGAGTCCTGGGGCAGGGATGTCTAGGTCCGATGACTCCCCAGGTTCTGGGTGGAAATATACCAGTGGGTCTGGCTGTCCTTGCCTCTCATCTGAGTAGACCCCAGGTCGAGGCAGGGCTGAGCCCTGATATAACCCATCAAACGCCCTCCTCCCTCAGCGAGGCGCATCCCAAATATCCCCAGTGGCCAGCAGCAGCATAATGGGAAACAAATGGCCACCTTTCAAAGGATTTCAGTATACTTGAAAAAATTGGGTGCACTCTTCCCACCTTGGATCAAATCTATGCTTCCAGGTGCCATAAGAAAGCTGCAGAGATAGCGCAGGACAGTGCACACCCCGGAAATGATCTCTTTCAGCTTCTGCCGTCTGGAAGAAGGTACAGGGTTATAAAGACTAGGACTAGCCGCCTGAGTTTCTACCCAAATGCGATTTTGGTTTTAAACACAGTGTAAGGCGTCTCTGCGGAAGTATATTGTATTTAAAAATGGGGTATCAGAGTTTTTAGGGGGCTAACCATGCTGGGATAGCAGGCTTGCTGGGTTTTGAATGTTTTATGTAGATTTTTCAATTTTGTTGTTCTGTATGGGACAATGACAATAAAGATTATCGTACCGTATCGTATTCTTTAGCCATGATTCCTACTGTGCTGGGCCCGGGGGTAACCCTTGAAACGCGGTCCAGGACCAGACCAGAATCTGGAGGTTCTGCTAGGAGTCAGTCCCACAGGGTCAAGGCAGGAAACTAGGCAAGGACAGGTACAGGATCTCAGGCAGGATATAGCAATGTTGCTCCCGCAACCTGAGGCGGGGTCCGACAGCCTTTTATCTTTGTCGGGATAATGGCCGGTCCTGATCCCCCGGTGACTCACCTCCCTGTCTCGCCCAAAGGCAAGCACTCCTCCTGCGAGTACTCAGGTCTCTCCTTCTCTCAGACTTCAGTCTCTGCAGCTCGGGAGACGTTGGTGGGTGACTAGACCCAGGGGCCGCCTCAGCCTCCCCTGACCCAACTGGTAGTGGAGCAGCTGTAAGTGATGGCACAGCTGGAGGCAAGGAGGTCATCCCCGCATCTGGAGCCAGGGCAGGCTCAAGCCCTGACTCGGCCCAGCTGGTGCTTGTTGCAGGGGAACATGTGCAGACTGGGGCTCTTCGGGATCAGGCCCCAGACTTGGTTCAGATGAGGCAAAGGATCCGGTGTGGACTGAGACTCCTCTGGTTCTGAGTCCCAGGCCATCAAACCTGCATTGCAGGGGTTGTGCTAGATGACCCCTGGGTGTCCGTTTCATGATCCTAACGTGATTCCTAGCCCCGTCGCCTGGAGCTGCTCAGAAAATTAGGGTGGGGGGAACTTAAGGAGAAGGGACAGGCATTTGTTGACAGTAGGGGTGTGATGGGTCCACGGTGGTGGTGGTGGGGAGATAGTGGGAGAGACCCAGTTTTTACCCCCAGGGAACTGGGTCCTAAACAAAAAGCAGGCGAGATTTCCCTCGATTTCCCCCCCTCCCTAAGTTATCTATATAACTTACAAATCTCTCCCTCTCTCTGCTCCCACCCTGCTTTTTAGCTAAACGGACACCCAGAGAGCAGCCTAGGAAGAGTCAGTGGGTGGAAGAGTAATTTACCTAGGAGATTACGCTGAGGGGGAAGAGAGATTGTCTTACTTTCTTGTCTGTGGGCTGAAGGTTGGGAAGGAAATTTGCCTCTTGTTTTTAACGAGGGCTGGCCCCCTCTCCCTGCATGTCTCTGATTGAAACGCTGCAGCGAAAGAGCCTTTTTCGGCTGCACGGAGGAGATTCTTGAAGATGGGGCTGGGGGGAGAGGAGCGAAGGAGCTGGTTGTCAAAACTGATCCTTCAATCAGCAGGGAACCTGCACAAGCTCTTTTTCTTTCACGGGGTATTTTTAGAGCCAAAAGGTTGCTGGGAGCACAGAAATCCAGAAGGGAAGTTCCCAGAAAATCACACTTTTTTCGACGTCTGGGTGGGTTTTCTGACTTGGGCCGCAAGGTGCCGATCTTGGTCGAGATGGTCATGTGTTTATGTCAGTGCTAATAAACCGGTGTAAAAAAACCCAAAAAAACACACATCCACAATGTGTAAAATTAGGACCAGTGGCAGAGTGCATCGTTGATTAATCATCTGCCTTTTATCTGATTGATTAAATTTAAATAAATTTGCATATTGCCCAAAACCCCTGTCGCTGCCTTCTTTGGATACTGGAGAAAGTGCAAGATAACTCTCACCTTAAGCAAGCAGATGGTGAAACCTCAGAGCATGTTTACTCAGAAGTGAGCCCCACTGGGTTAAAGGGGATTTACTCGCTGGTAGTGTGTTTGAAATCACAGGCAATAGCAGCCAGTTGTTACTGGAAAGAAATGTCATCTTGGATATTTTCATTCCTTGTTTCAGCTTCAGAAAATAAAAAAGGACCCTTAGCTCTGAGATGCACCCTCGCTCTGGTCTGTAACTTGCCCTTTCCTTCTCTGAAGGATATAAAAGAGTCCTAGAATCATATAATTGTAGAGTCAAAATCGGTCCCAAGGGCCATTTAGGGCGAAGATGCTGTTTTTTTTAAGAGGGGAGCACCAGTCTCTGTGTTGACCAAGTGTTTGCTACTGCTTCTCAGTGTTAGAAACTCAGCTATATAAGCTAGGTGCAAAATGGCTCCTTAAGCCGGGCTGCCTCAGTGGAATGTCAGGTTGCCATTTTGGGACCAGATGGCTTAAAAGTTGTATTTTTCAACACAATGGTACCTTGGTACTCGAACGGCTTGGCTCCCGGACAAATTGGCTCCTTAACGCCGCAGCCCGGAAGTAAGCTTTCTGGTTTGTGAACATTTTTTGGAAGCCGAACATCCGACACAACTTCCACTTGAGTGCAGGAAGTTCCTGCAGCCAATCGGAAACCACGCCTTGGTTTTTGAACCATTTTGGGAGTTGAACAGACTCCCAGAACGGATTAAGTTTGAGAACCAAGGTGCCACTGTACTACTTTTGATTGTGCAGATAAAATATCACTGATAGAATTCTGCAGGATGCGTTTTTAGTGTGTGAAAACAGTCACGTTCCAAGGATCCCCAGGCATGCATCTCCAGATGGTGGATAGGGATGGTGGATGGGGGATGGTGGATGGGGGAGGAAGACAGTGCTCCTGAAGGTAGGAGTCTATCAATTGATGAAGATGATCATCCAAATGTCATAGACCAAATGGAGCAAACAGCACACAGACCTAGTGGTGGGAGGAAAAAATCCTTAAATAAGAGTCACGGGGAATGATTAATGGACTTCAATGTCTGTACACTAATGCGCAAAGCATGGGAAATAAACAAGATGAGCTTGAGCTCTTGGTACAGCAAACTAAATATGACATAATAGGCATCACTGAAACCTGGTGGGATAAGTCCCACGATTGGAATGTAATAATGGGGGATACAATCTATTTCAGAGAAACAGACCAGACAAGAAAGGAGGAGGAGTGGCGTTATATGTCAGGGATGTGTATACCTGTGAAGAGATCCAAGATTTAGAACCTCAAAGCCAAAGTGAGAGCATTTGGGTCAAAATTAAGGGAGAGAAGAATAACAGTGACCTCATTGTGGGAGTTTACTATAGATCCCCAAGCCAAACGGAGGACATAGATGATGCCTTCCTGGAACAGATGGCCAAGCATGCAAAAGGAAGGGAGATAGTAGTAATGGGGGACTTCAATTACCCGGATATTTGTTGGATGTCAAACTCAGCCAAGAGCATAAGGTCAAACAGATTCCTCACTGGCCTTGCAGACAACTTCATTGTCCAGAAAGTGGGAGAAGCAACAAGAGGAACAGCCATTTTAGATCTGGTCCTAACCAATGTTGATGACCTGGTTAGTGGGGTAGAAGTGGAAGGATCATTAGGCACGAGTGATCATGCTCTTCTGAAGTTTACTATACAGCGGAAAGGAGCAGCCAAGCATACTAGGACTCAATTTCTTGACTTTAAGAAAGCTGACTTCATAAAACTTAGGGAAGTGCTGGGTGAGATCCCATGGACAGTAATACTAAAAGGAAAGGGAGTTCATGATGGCTGGGAGTTTGTTAAGAGGGAGATACTAAAAGCACAACGTCAGGCAATACCAATGAGACAGAAACATGGAAGGTGCCTAAAGAAGCCAGGGTGGCTATCTAAAGAACTTTTAACTGAGTTAAGATTAAAAAGGATGTGTACAAAAATGGAAAAGGGGGGAAACCACCAAAGAGGAATTCAAACAAATAGCCAGCACATGTAGACACAAAGTCAGAAAAGCTAAAGCACAGAATGAACTCAGGCTTGCTAGAGAGGTTAAAAGCAACAAAAAGGCTTTTATGGGTATGTCCGTAGCAAAAGGAAGAACAAAGAAACAGTGGGGTCACTCAGAGGAGAAGATGGTGAAATGCAAACAGGGGACACAGAAAGAGCTGAACTCCTCAATGCCTTCTTTGCCTCAGTCTTCTCCGATAAAGAAAAAATGCCCGACCTGAAGAATTTGGAGCAAATGATTCAGCAAAGGAAACACAGCCCAGAATAACTAAGGAGATAGTACAAGAATACTTGGCTAGTTTAGATGTATTCAAGTCTCCAGGGCCAGATGAACTGCATCCAAGAGTATTAAAAGAACTGGCAGATGTGATCTCAGAACCACTGGCAGTCATCTTTGAGAATTCCTGGAGAACAGGTGAAGTCCCGGCAGACTGGAGGAGGGCAAATGTTGTCCCTATTTTCAAAAGGGGAAAAGAGAGGACCCAAATAATTACCGCCCAGTCAGTCTGACATCAATACCAGGGAAGATTCTGGAGCAGATCATTAAGCAAACAGTCTGTGAGCACCTAGAAAGGAATGCTGTGATCACCAATAGTCAGCATGGATTTCTGAAAAATAAGTCATGTCAGACTAACCTGATCTCATTTTTTGACAGAATTACAAGCCTGGTAGATGAAGGGAATGCAGTGGATGTAGCCTACCTTGATTTCAGCAAGGCATTTGACAAGGTGCCTCATGATATTCTTGTAAAGAAGCTGGTAAAATGTGGTCTTGACTATGCTACCACTCAGTGGATTTGTAACTGGCTGACTGACCGAACCCAAAGGGTGCTCATCAATGGTTCCTCTTCATCCTGGAGAAGAGTGACTAGTGGGGTGCCACAGGGTTCTGTCTTGGGCCCGGTCTTATTCAACATCTTTATCAACGACTTGGATGATGGACTCAAGGGCATCCTGATCAAATTTGCAGATGACACCAAATTGGGAGGGGTGGCTAACACCCCAGAGGACAGGATCACACTTCAAAACGACCTTGACAGATTAGAGAACTGGGCCAAAACAAACAAGATGAATTTTAACAGGGAGAAATGTAAAGTATTGCACTTGGGCAAAAAAATGAGAGGCACAAATACAAGATGGGGGACACCTGGCTTGAGAGCAGTACATGTGAAAAGGATCTAGGAGTCTTGGTTGACCACAAACTTGACATGAGCCAACAGTGTGACGCAGCAGCTAAAAAGGCCAATGCAATTCTGGGCTGCATCAATAGGAGTATAGCATCTAGATCAAGGGAAGTAATAGTGCCACTGTATTCTGCTCTGGTCAGACCTCACCTGGAGTACTGTGTCCAGTTCTGGGCACCACAGTTCAAGAAGGACATTGACAAACTGGAGCGTGTCCAGAGGAGGGCAACCAAAATGGTCAAAGGCCTGGAAACGATGCCTTATGAGGAACGGCTAAGAGAGCTGGGCATGTTTAGCCTGGAGAAGAGGAGGTTGAGGGGTGATATGATAGCCATGTTCAAATATATAAAAGGATGTCACATAGAGGAGGGAGAAAGGTTGTTTTCTGCTGCTCCAGAGAAGCGGACACGGAGCAATGGATCCAAACTACAAGAAAGAAGATTCCACCTAAACATTAGGAAGAACTTCCTGACAGTAAGAGCTGTTCGACAGTGGAATTTGCTGCCAAGGAGTGTGGTGGAGTCTCCTTCTTTGGAGGTCTTTAAGCAGAGGCTTGACAACCATATGTCAGGAGTGCTCTGATGGTGTTTCCTGCTTGGCAGGGGGTTGGACTCGATGGCCCTTGTGGTCTCTTCCAACTCTATGATTCTATGATTCTATGATTCTATGATATGTCAGGTGCCATCCTGATGCCCGAACATCAGGTTTAACTCTTTGTTTGGTTTTTAGTAACTAGTTACCGTATTTTTCGCTCCATAAGACGCACCTTTTTCTTCCTAAAAAGTAAGGGGAAACGTCTGTGCGTCTTATGGAGCGAATGTGTGGTCCCTGGAGCCGAATTGCCCAGGGGCAGATCATGCTTTTTTTTTTAGAAAGAGGGAAGTGGGTGTTGAAACAAAGCCGCTGATCGGCAAGCGATCGGGAGGGAGATAAGGGACGCTAACAATAAAGGAGGCTGCCTGGAAGTGGGGAGGTAAAGACAGCAAACCTGCAAGGAGAGGAGACAGGAAGGCTAAAGCAATGAGGAGAGAAATTAGAAGAAAAGGAGGAGCAAATACTACTCCAGCTAAGGAAAAGACACTAAGGCAAACAAGAGGGAAGGGGGTGTTGAAAGGAAGCAGGTAATCGGCAAGCGATCGGGAGGGAGATAAGGGAGGCTAGCGATAAAGGAGGCTGCCTGGGAGGGGGGAGGTAAAAGCCTATGGATCCTCAGGATTTTTGCATTGGGTCACCCCAAATTCACCATCAGATCCCATAGCATGTCCATGGCTACCCTGACCATTAGGTCCAGTCGTGACCGACTCTGGGGTTGCTGTGCTCATCTCGCTTTATTGGCCGAGGGAGCCAGCGTACAGCTTCCAGGTCATGTGGCCAGCATGACTAAGCCGCTTCTGGTGAACCAGAGCAGCACACGGAAACGCCGTTTACCTTCCCGCTGGAGCAGTACCTATTTATCTACTTGCACTTTGATGTGCTTTCGAACTGCTAGGTTGGCAGTTCGAAACGGCTAGGTTGGCAGGCTATAGCCTGCACCAAAAAAATCACGCATCCACTGTTTCATTGGACCGCAGTGGCGCAAAAACGTGGTTACAAAGCCTGGATCCACATGGATTTTCAGGATTTTTGCATTGGGCTACCCCAAACTCACCGTCAAAGCACATGTCTGTGGGAAATCCATCTAATAAGCATTAGATAATCCCCAGGGCTAGCTGGCTGAATTGGTCCTACTTGGGCCAGCAAGGAGGCCAAGGAAGAATTAGCTGTGGGGTCTCAGAGCGGGTAATCTCCATAAAAGGGGAGGGGGAGGGAAGAGAAGGGAAATAAAAGATCAGGCTGAATTCAGATTAAAGGCCAGGTGGAATAGCTCTGTCTTACAGGCCTGATGGAAGGAGGTTAAATCCTGCAGGGCCCTGGTCTCCTGGGACAGAGCATTCCACCAGGTCGGAGCCATCACTGAGAAGGCCCTGGCCCTGATGGAGGATAGTCTGACTTCCTTAGGGCCTGGGACCTCTAAACTATGATTATTCATGGACCTGAAGGTCCTCTGTGGGGCAGACCAGGAGAGGCGGTCCCGTAAATACGAGGGCCCTAAGCCACAAAGGGCTTTAAAGGTCAAGATGTCCCTGGAAAATAGGGACACTTAGAGGGTCTGTTCACCCTCTTCCTTTCTTATTATCAAATATTCAGCCTGTGAAATTTGCTGTCATGCTATGTGGGGAGACCCCCTGGCTTGGCCCGACCTTAATTCCTATGTACTACAGGCAGCAGCGTATGAGGTGGCAAAATTAACTGTGCCTCTTTGTTGGGGGCACCACTTTCAATGCTTCCCCATGGAAAAAGGAGAAGAGCCACTGTGCGTCAGGTTCTAGCTAAAAGTGATTGCCGTCATGTTAGATTTCTTCCTGCAAGGAGCTCTAAAAAAACCAAACACCCGCCTGTAGTCTAAAGTTGAACATCTCCATCTCATCTCCATCTCCATCAGGTTGTCGGGTGGAGCAAGCCTGGGTTCACCTGGGAAAAGCCCAAATGTATGGAGGCTACGTCTGTTGGTGGCTATTAGCCATCATTACTAAATGGAGCTGCATTGTTTAGGGGCAGTATATCTCTGAATATGGTGCTCAGGGTGGAGAGAAAACAAGGAGCGAGCGTGAGGATGGACAGGTTGGGTTTCACATTTTTCCACTCATGCAATTCTCCCCATTTTCACATCAGTGAGTGTGTGTGTGTGTACAGGGTGAGTCCTTTAAAAGAGGCCCCGTGGATACAGAGTACACATGTTCCATGGGGCCTCTTTTAAAAGACTCACCCTGTGTGTTTGTGTGTATATATATTGTTGTTGTTGTTGTTTAGTCGTTTAGTCGTGTCCGACTCTTTGTGACCCCATGGACCAGAGCACGCCAGGCACTTCTGTCTTCCACTGCCTCCCGCAATATATATATACACACACACACACAGAGAGAGAGAGCGTGTGGTACCTTGGTTTAAGAACAGCTTAGTTTATGAACAACTTGGATTAAGAACGCTGCAAACCCAGAAGTAGGTGTTTTGGTTTGTGAACTTTGCCTTGGAATAAGAACATGTTCCGCTTCCTGTTGAGTGTGTTCCATTTGTAAATCAAGTCCCCTGCCGCTATGGGAAAGCACGCCTTGGTTTAAGAATGCTTTGATTTAAGAACGGACTTCCGGAATGGATTAAGTTCGTAAACCAAGGTACCTCTGTGTGTGTGTGTGTGTGTGTGTGTGTGTGTGTGTAAAAACCACTCCTTGTGAAAATTCAGCTGCAGCTTTAGAATCTCTCCTTACACATCTTTGTATGCAATTTTGCCTAATATACCCTCTTTTGCAAAGCATTTTCCCCTCCCTTTTATAATGTTTATTTATTTGCTGCTTCCAGAAATACATGCATTTCTATGCATACTTAACTACAGTATGTGCATTTTTTGGCCAGGGAAGGTTGCATTGCAAAATTCAGAACAATACAGATTTCCAAAAAAAGAGAGAGGCCGTGTTTCATTCTTCCTGCTATTCTGAAAGTGCGAATTAGACCCTTAAATGCAAACTGAATTAATTTTTCTCCCCCCATCTTGAGACAGGGCCAAAGCTCTTGAGGGCTTTTTTTTATAAATCAAAACCAGGATCTAGAGTTGCCAACTGATAATTTTTTTAAGCATTAAAGGAAGGACAACAATAAAAAAGCCAAACCCTGGCTTGCATTTAACAGCAGCTTGATTCTCATGGAGATTAAATATGACCGTTTGTTAACAGCTGCAGATCAAGCTGTTGTGATATGCAAAGGGGCAGGTCAAGAACTTTGGCAGTTCTACCTGGGAGAGAATAAGGTGCAAATTCCATTTACTCTGAACTTAAGTTGACTTCAGCGCTAAGCAAAGGCGCCTGAGACTGATGCATTGCCTCAGAAATTTGATAGGTGCTTTGGGGGACAATTTTGGCTGGAGAAGTAATTTAGGGGGCTACATCTAGCACGCACATAATTCCCCTCTTCCCCTAGGCTCACTTTAAATTCTGAAGCAACAGGGGAAGATCCAGTCCGCAAGCGCTTCTGGAATGTGTAAATTGACTCTGCCATCCCGGTAGGATTCCTGTTCCTTTTCGTAGCTGTGTGGCAGGCAGAAATTCTGCCAGGGAATTCTGCTGCAGGGAAAGCAGTGCCTGTTCAATTTCTGCCTGGCAGGCTAATGATAAAGGCACAGGAAGCTCTGGCAGGAAAGGTGGCAACCGTTGCCACAACCTTGTGCAATAGTTGCTACTGCACCCACTTGAAACTCAGAGCCGTAAATGTCTTCTCTCTGTTGGGCCATCGGAATATCAGAGGCGGACTTGCTCCCTTGGCCAACTTTCAAGAAGTCAAGGGACAAACGGAGATGGTCTTGGTACCTTCACCTCGAAGTCCATAAAAATCAGAGCTTGAGCACATTCCACAAAACCCACCCTGTGAAGGTTGCGTTTGACAGCCAGGAAGCCTGAAACCAGGCATGTCCTCCGGTCAATTTAATTCAGCCCCTGTGGCAGTATATGTCCTGGGGCAGGCTTCCTCAACCTCTGCCCTCCAGATGTTTTGAGACTACAATTCCCAGCATCCATGACCACTGGTCCTGATACCTAGGAATCATGGGAGTTGTAGACCAAGTTAGGGATCGTGGGAGTTGTAGGTCCTGCTAGGTAGGGATCATGGGAGTTGTAGGGCTGAGGTTGAGGAAGCCTGTCCTGGGGTAAAATCCTTTTAAAAGCTAAAAAAAAGCTCAGCAACATCAATCCTAAAAAAGCTCAACAACTTTGGACTTTGGTCAGCACTCGCACATGTTCACTTCATCAAATATCAAATCTGGCCCTTTTTGAAAAAGGTTTGGGCACCCCTGCTTTGGGCACTGAGAGCCAGTGTGGTGTAGTGGTTAAGAGCGGTGGACTCTTAATCTGGGGATCCGGGTTCGCGTCTCCGCTCCTCCACATGCAGCTGCCGGGTGACCTTGGGCCAGTCACACTTCTCTGAAGTCTCTCAGCCCCACTCACCTCACAGAGTGTTTGTTGTGGGGGAGGAAGGGAAAGGAGATTGTTAGCCGCTTTGAGACTCCTTCGGGTAGTGATAAAGCGGGATATCAAATCCAAACTCCTCCTCCTCCTCCTCTTCTTCTTAAACAAGTGTGGCTAACTTAATGGAACTGGATGTTTTGATTGGCTGCGCCTTTTCTTTTCAATAGCCTTCACTTTCCTCAGGAACATGGGCAGGGCAGGAATAAGTCACATGGAAGACGAAGCAAGCTTGTTTTCCACTGCTCCAGGGCGGTAGACCTGAACCAGTGGATTCAAAGGTCAAGAACGGAGATCCCGACTGAATGTTAGGAATAACTTTCTTTTTCCCATTGGCCCATTGTGTAATTGATGGAGAAAGTGACTTCTACACACACACACACACACACACACACACACACAATCTTCTTTCCAACGAAGAGAGGGCAAGACAGACAAGAATTTTCTCCACAAGTCAGGAGGATGGTTTGTTGTCTAGGTGCAGGGGATACACAGGGCCAGCTAGAAATGAGCCCCAGATTTCTCATATATTATCTAGAAGCTCAGAGGGTTAGTCCACATTGGGGAGAGATCAGGCCCCTCGACTCTTGGGCAGAAGGGGATAGCAATGAATATATATTTGAGGGCGGCTGGCAGGCAAATGGGCTTCTTCTAAATTTTGCCCCTCAAACTGGAACGGTCTTCCCTCGGGAGGTTGTGGATGGCAAGAGTTGTTTGGCAGTGGAACGGTCTCCCTTGGAAGCTGGTGGACTCTCCTTCCTTGAAGGTTTTTAAGAGGCAGAAATTGCATGGACATTTGTTGTGGATGCTTGAGCTGAGATTCCTGCATTGCGACCCAGAAGCCCAAGCCCCTCTTGATGTGGCCAGGGGGACTGGGAACAATGCTAACCATGGCTTCCCCAACAACACATCGCATGCACAGTAGTGTCTGGTGCCCCACAGTTCCCTGCTTCTCTCTGCATGCACAGTAAAGCAGGGGCAGCCAACATAATGTGCTCCAGATGTTTATTGACTGCATTTTTATTTTAACATTTGTGTACCACCCTTCATCCAAAGATCTCAGGGCGGCTCATAGCACAAAAGGGCAGATCGCAGCATCTCCTCTCATCCCTTCCAACTCTGCAATTCTATGATTCTAAGTGTGCAGTGGGATCTTCCCATTTTGGCTTTTTCCAAAGTTGGCAGGTACTCCACACCGTCTGTGACCAGAGCATAGGGCTGGTTCTGAGTTCGAATTCTCAGGCCAGGTCCAGAGGGCTCCTGTGCGGCACAGAGGGCCCAGTGTCAGGGCCTCTGGAAGGCCTTTTTATATATATTCTGCCTGTGCAACTTCAGCGCTGATAAGAGCAAGAAAGCCCAGGCGACTTGGCTACACGGCACGCCAGGTTTTATTACAAGCTAGTCTGAGCTCTGAGCTGAAGGTCTCCCAGGAGAGAGCTTGTTTCCTTTCCAAAGTCATCACCGCTCTAAGCGGTGGAACAAAATTCAGCATTCAAAGTGCAAGGCAGGCTGCACAGTGGCCTCTTCGAAACAGAGCGTTTTGAGTAAAATTATATAAAAAGGGGAGCAGCCCATATTCTTTTCCCTTTTTCCCCCTAGTAAAGCCAAGGTGTTTCTAGGCTTGATTTGAAACTGCTCTCTGTGTTTTGGAGACGCAGTGTCTTCAAAGTCGTTATTATTATTTATTAAATTGGGATACTTCCCTTTATCCGAAGATCACAGTTCACAACGTCAAAATGCAAAAAATGGAAATGAAAAGCTGGCTCCCGCGTAACAGTTTGTTGCGGACTCTGTGCCTGTCTAAGCGTGGCGGAAAGGGGGGGGGCTGACCACCTTCCTTGCTTACAAGAGACCCCCGGTACAATCCCCTTCAGTCTAGGTGTGGCTGGGAAAACTTCTGCCACTCAGTGTAGACATTGCTAAACTAGATGGACCCAATAGTGTGATTCTGTATAAGGCACGTTATACCAAAAACAGAAAAACCTCCCCAATATTCCCAGCATGGTTCTCCTCTTAAGGCCTTTTGCAGTCCTGGTGTTCTACGAGAAGGAATTTTTGGGGGGAATCCCAAAGAGAACGTTCCTTTTTCTCGAAAGGGCTTTTCAGCTGCAGGAGTTGAGTGTGAAGGAAAAAGGAAGGAGGTTTTCTAAGAAGCTGCCCTCTCGGGTGAATGTCAGCCGACTGCTTTCTGCAGACGCTATAGAGACTTTCAGGCTCGCTGTCCTTCGCTTCCACCCAACTCCCCGCCTCACCGCAACCTCTGACAGTTGATTTGAAAAGTGCTCTGGCAGACAGCAGCATACGGCCTGACAATCTCTGATCTCCCTTCTCCGTTTTCTGAGGCACATTTATTGCAAGTTGGTTTGTATTCCGGGCACTAGAGAGACAGCTACACAAAGGTGGGACCCACAACCTCTTAAGACACTCCTCGCCCTCCAGATATTTTTTGGACTACAACTCCCATCAGCTGCAGAGAAGCATTCAGGATGCCAGGTTTGCGGAAGGCCACTTCCAAGGGGACCAGCTGATCAGCTGCAACCCACATATGCAGGTTGTTGATGCGTGGAGCTGAAGTCTACATCCCAGTTTCCATTCCTCATTGCAGCAGGTTGGACTAGATGAGCCTCAGGGGTCCCTTCCAATTCCACAATTATTCTGTGATTCTACGGACGTCGTTTCTTTTGTGCCATTGTCATAGCCGTCACCTTCTCCTCTTCTGCTTTTATAACAACTTTCACATACAGTATAAAGCACAATCTTGCAAGAGGGCAGCACTTCATTGCTCCACTGATTTGGGTTGGATTGTTTGGCAAATGCTCAGATCTTTTCCACTGATATAAAGGGTTTATAAATAATAATAATAATAATTTTATTATTTATACTCTGCCCATCTGCCTGGGTTTCCCCAGCCACTGTGGGCGGCTCCCAGCAAAATAGTAAAAACACAATAAAACATCAACCATTGAAAACTTCCCTGTACAGGGCTGCCTTCAGATGTCTTCTAAAAGTCAGGTAGTTGTTTATTTCCTTGAAATCTGATGGGAGGGCATTCCGCAGGGCGGGCGCCACTACCAAGAAGGCCCTGTGCCTAGTTCTCTGTAACCTCACTTCTCGCAGTGAGGGAACCGCCAGAAGACCTTCGGAGCTGGACCTCAGTGTCCGGGCTGAACAATGGGGGTGAAGATGCTCCTTCAGGTATACAGGACCGAGACCACTTAGGGCTTTAAAGGTCAGCACCAACACTTTGAATTCTGCTCGGAAATGTACTGGGAGCCAATGCAGGTCTTTCAGGACAGGTGTTATATGGTCTCGACGGCTGCTCCCAGTCACCAGTCTAGCTGCCGCATTCTGGATTAGTTGTAGTTTCCGGGTTACCTTCAAAGGTAGCCCCACGTAGAGCACATTGCAGTAGTCCAAGCGGGAAATAACCAGAGCATGCACCACTCTGGCGAGACAGTCTGTGGGCAGGTAGGGTCTCATCCTGCGCACCAGATGGAGCTGGTACACAGCTGCCCTGGACACAGAATTGACCTGCGCCTCCATGGACAGCTGTGAGTCCAGAATGACTCCCAGGCTGCACACCTGGTCCTTCAGGGGCACAGTTTCCCCATTCAATACCAGGGAGTCCTCCACAACTGCCCGCCCCCTGTCCCCCCAAAACAATACTTCTGTCTTGTCAGGATTCAACCTCCATCTGTTAGCCATCATCCATCCTCTAACCACCTCCAGACACTCACACAGGACATTCACCCCCTCCACTGGTTCTGATTTAAAAGAGAGGTAGAGCTTCATCCCAACTGGACTGAGCTCAGAGAGTGAGATCACAAATACGAGAGCCATTGATTGCATTATTTGATATTGGTTTGCAATGTGCTTTTAATGCTGAGCTTGTGCGAAAACTATTTCCAGTCCGAATGGGATATGTTCAGGTTTAAAAATGTGGCCAGTCAGTATATAAGAACCGAGCTCAGTTTTAGGGTCTTGCTTATAAATGCACCAGCAGCCATATACCTGGCATTGCTTGGGAAGTCTAAGAAACCAAAAAAGACAGGGAGTTTTGAAATTTGTGGTTAAGATCAGCACAGTTTTGAAAGGTTCAGTCTGCTGTCTTGATGCCAAGTGGCATCCAATTCTACCCAAGCAGATAAAAACCCACTTCTTAATCTCTGGAGCCATGGAATTGAAGAGTTGGAAGGCGCCCCAGTGATCATCTAGTCCAACCCCCTGCAATCAAGGAATCTTACTTTTGTTGGCATCTGTCTGTCTCGAGAGACAATGGAAGAGTGTACCATCAGGTGGTGAAGTCAAATAACTGGAGAGTTACAGCGCCTGCTGTGGCTGTAGAGACCGATACAGGAGAGACATGTTTTATTGCAGGTGTGGCAGATAAAGGGGAAAGACAAAGGCAGTAATCACAGCTCCAGAATGCCTGGCAGATGGCCATGCCCGCTCCGTTGGCAATCCTCCAACGAAGGAGAGTCTACTGCCTTCCCACGTGGTCTGTTCCACGGTTGAACAGCTCTTACCGTCATGCAAAATTTGGTTGCGATATCTTAAGAGGTGCCCATCTGCCTTGCAAACAAACTTTCCAAATACATAATAGATTAGCATGCACGGAGCCAGCCGTGTCACAGCAATGAGTTGGACAGGCATAGGGTATCTGAATATGGTTTTCCCAGCAGTGATGTATGCAAGTGAGAGCTGGACCATAAAGAAGGCTGATTGCTGAAGAATTGATGCTTTCGAATTATGGTGCTGGAGAAGACTCTTGAGAGTCCCATGGACTGCAGGAACATCCAACCTATCCATTATGAAGGAAATCAGCCCTGAGTGCTCACTGGAAGGACAGATCCTGAAGCTGAGGCTCCAATACTTTGGCCACCTCATGAGAAGAGAAGACTCCCTGGGAAAGACCCTGATGTTGGGAAAGATGGAGACCACAAGGAAAAGGGGACGACAGAGGACGAGATGGTTGGACAGCGTTCTCGAAGCTACGAACATGAGTTTGACCAAACTGCGGGAGGCAGTGGAAGACAGGAGTGCCTGGCGTGCTCTGGTCCAGGGGGTCACGAAGAGTCGGACAGGACTCAACGTCTAAACAACCTGGCCTTTTAAATGTGTGGGGAGGATGCGTTGGTTTCTTTTAATGTTATGCATGTTGCATTTTTCTTTTGCAAACCGCCCTGTGATCTTGAGATGAAGGGTGTCATATGCTTTTAAAAACAGGGTCCACCTTCTATCCCTACGAGGTGCCGCTCCTAGGAGGTGCCACCCGCTGCCTCTCAAGGCCTGAGTTCCCAGAGCCCTCTTCACTTTCCATGCACATGAATTAACCGTTGCAGCTACAATGCCACAAACGTGCGTGTTTCATTCATCCTCAGGAATGCACCTGCCCAGAGGTGCCTGCAGTTGCAGTGTGTGGCCGAAAGGAGGCACCAGTCAAACGTGTGGTTAAATTCGGGGGGGGGGGTAGAAGCTTCTGCTTCTATGAATGGGGTGCATTCATTGGTGACACCTTAATTCGTCCAGGGCCTGGATGTCTCCAGGCTGCGATATTTGGCAGTGCCCTGCTCAACCAGCAGCCGAGCTCCCTCACCGCAGTGTGCAGAACCAGGCCACCTGCCCTGGCAGATGCCCCCCCACCCTGGCAGTTTGCCCCTGTCACATGGCAGCCATGCCTTCAGCAGAGACGTCTGGCGTATTTGTTTCAGCCTGGGGGAGTAGTGGCAGGAGTTGGCTGCACCTGTTGGACTTCTGCCTGCCGTGCGCTGAGAGAAGGGAGCATGATAGAAACCTGAAGGAGCGTCTCCACCTCCATCGTACAGCCCGGACACTGAGGTCGAGCACTGAGGGCCTTCTGGCGGTTCCCTCCCTGCGAGAAGCCAAGTTACAGGGAACCAGGCGGAGGGCCTTCTTGGTAGTGGCACCCGCCCTGTGGAACTCCCTCCCACCAGATGTCAAAGAGAAAAACAACTCCCAGACTTGTAGAATACTTTTAGAAGGCAGCCCTGTTTAGGGAAGCTTTTAATGTTTAATAAGTTATTGTATTTTAGTGTTCTGTTGGAAGCTGCCCACAGTGGCTGGGGAAACCCAGCCAGATGGGTGGGGTATAAATAAATTATTATTATTATTATTATTATTATTATTATTATTATTATTATTACCTTAACCTCCGCTTTGCCCGTGTGAACTGGGGCTGAGATTCTGTTCCCGAGGGATAGTGCTTCCTGCAGTTGGCAGAACAAGCCAACAGGTGGCATCCTTTTATCAAGTGTGCCCAGGGATGATATTTGGAGGGTCAGGTTTTGATGGGGTCAGTGGCATAATCTGAGGAGCCTTCCCCTTGCCCCTGAGGGTCTGGACTGCGCCTTCTCCAAGAAGAGAGTAAGGCCCCAATGCCCCCTCCCACAAAAAAAGAACCTTGCTGTGCCATTACTAGACAGAAAATCAACCAAGGAAGCTTTCATCTTCCCCATCCATCATCCTTTTACTACAGTGGTTCTCCAAGGGTGTGGCAGGAGAGGGTTGCAAGCGCAGAGGGAAATTTCAAGGACGATCAAAGGAACAACCAAACATTTCAGTGTTGTTTAGTTTAGTAGCTATTTCATTTTATTTGCAGAATATGGATAGCTATCTTTTCCAAAGGAGAGCAAAAGAATCAAGTGATACTGGGGAACAGCCTAGTTGTGTTTTCCAACATATTTCATATCAGTTAAGAAATTCAGTGTGGCATGAACAATTTTTATCTTATTTTTTATAATGTTTATTAGATTTTCTGTTTTACAATTTAGAATACTCGTTTAAACACCTTTAAAATATCAGTGACTTTCCCCCTTCTCTTTCCGGAGTTCATTTTGCATATCATAAATACCTGCATATTTTACACAAATTATACCATTCAGCATTCCTTTATTACATCCATCAGAACTTTTTTACACTGTTGAATTTATCTTAACGCTGCCCACGTTTTCAAGTGCACACAGTTCCTCCCATGTATTCAATAAACGTTTTCCAATCTTCTCCAAACGTTATGTTCTTCTTGTTCTCTTATTCTATATGTTAAGGCCGTAATCTGCGCATTTTCCGTCAGCTTAAGTTGCCAATCTTCTTCGGTTAGGACCTTGCTCGTTTTCCATTTGGGGACTAACGAAACACGGGCCGCAGTAGTGGCATACATAAATAACGTTTATGAGCAATTTTTTATCTTCGTGCCCCAGAGGAAAAAAAAGTTTGAGAATCACTGTATTACTACGACACTTCAATAAAACCATGCACAATAGATATTTATTTGTTCATTCACAATAAATATTTATTTGTTCATTCACTTAAAAAACCCCAGATTTCTTTATTTCTTTATTGTGTTTCTACCCCATCATCCAAGAAGCTCAAGGCGGCATTGGGTCTCTCCCCCCCCCCCCATTCCGTCCCAACAGCAACCCTACGAGGTAGGCTACGCAGAAAAGCTTCGACTGCCCCAAGGTCCAGCGGGCACCGGGTTGGCGAAGGCTGGCATAGATACCCCCATATCCTGCTCTCCCTTTCTTTTAGGTTTGTGGGGGGCTGGTGGCAGGGAAGGGGGCTTCTGGCTGGCGTTTTCGCCTCTCCTGAAGGCTTCTTCTTTCCGTCTCTCCCTCGCAGTGGCGTTGGGCTGGCTCGGGCCCATTTCGAGAAGCAGCCCCCGTCCAACCTCAGGAAATCAAACTTTTTCCACTTCGTCCTGGCCATGTACGACCGGCACGGGCAGCCTGTGGAGATCGAGAGGACGTCTTTCATCGACTTCGTGGAGAAGGACAGGGTATGGAGCCAATCGGGTTGCGCGGTCGTTTCTCTCCTCCCACCCCCCACAAAAAAACCCCTCTAGGGGTCAGATTTGAGGCATCATATCCAAATGGCGGCAACCATGGAACAGACTCCAACTACGATTCTGTTATTCCCTTGGAAGGTTGTGGGCTCTCCTTCCTTGGAGGTTTTTAAGCAGAGGTTGGACGGCCATCTGTCATGGATGCTTCAGCTGAGATTCCTGCATTTCAGGCGGCTGGACTAGTTGACCCTCGGGGTCCCTTTCAACTCTACAGTTCTATGATTCTGTGAACAGTGTCCCTCCCCTACTAATGCTCACCTCCGCCATACAATGGAAGTTGACTTCTGGGGCCTTTCCAGAAACCAAGATGGCGGCCCCCAGGGCCATGGGTTCAGCGCCATTTGATGGGGTGTTATGGCTCTAGACCTGGATAGAGTGCCTGGATAGAATGGGGGGACAACTGTAGGGCTGAGGACTTAGAAGTGGGAATTTCAGCTTTCCCAGTCCCTGGTTCAAAATCAGCAAGTCTTCTGTTTGAACCTCACCCCTGCTCTGGTGATAGCCTGGCTGTCTTAGTCTCGCTGCCCACCCGTATGCAATTTGGGAATAACAGTACTACTACTACTACTACTACTACTAATAATAATAATTTATTACTTATACCCCACCCAAAAGGCCAGGCCTCCCCAACCACTCTCGGTGGCTCCCAACAGAATATTTAAAACCACAATAAAACATCAAACATCAAAAACGTCCCTAAACATTAAAATGGGACGCGGGTGGCGCTGTGGGTTAAACCACAGAGCCTAGGGCTTGCCGATCAGATGGTCGGCGGTTCAAATCCCCACGACGGGGTGAGCTCCCGTTGCTCGGTCCCTGCTCCTGCCAACCTATCAGTTCGAAAGCACGTCAAAGTGCAAGTAGATAAATAGGTACCGCTCCGGCGGGAAGGTAAACGGCGTTTCCGTGCGCTGCTCTGGTTCGCCAGAAGTGGCTTAGTCATGCTGGCCACATGACCCGGAAGCTGTACGCCGGCTCCCTCGGCCAATAAAGCGAGATGAGCGCCGCAGCCCCAGAGTCGGCCATGACTGGACCTAATGGTCAGGGGTCCCTTTACCTTTTTAAACATTAAAAACCTCCCACCTTTCAGGGTTATTGTGAAGGACTCCTAAGATAATGTGTGCAAACTGCTTTGCATATTCTCAAAAATCGACTTCTTCTGATGGTGAGACAGATGTAAGAATAAATTGGCTTTTTCTTTATTTCTTCAAATATTTCATAGAAACGGAGAATTGTAGAGTTGGAAGGGAACACGAGGGTTATCTAGTCCAACCCCCTGCAATGCATGAATCTTTTCCCCCAACATGGGTTTCGAACCCACAACCCTGAGATTAAGAGTCTCGTGCTCTACCAACTGAGCTTATCCTAGCATTATTTCATCATATTTTGATCCTGCCTTTTCTCCATGGCACCTTTCGTTGTTTGCCTCCAAACTTTATCCTCACATCGATCCTGTGATGTCGGTTAGGCAAAAAGTCAGGGGTCTCACGGCTGGCAGATGATTCGAAACCGGGTCTCGCTACTGCAAGATGGCAGAGAGTCTTAAGCTACGGCGTGTGTTTTCAAAATAATATTTTATCCTTTTCTTTCAGGAGCAGACAGGAGAGAAAACCAACAATGGCATCCACTACCGGTTACAGCTTTTGTACAGTAACGGTAAGGAATATTGCTGGCGAATTTGCTATGTTTGTATGACGTTTTTTCAGGGGGACCCAGAAAGCGGATGACTTAAAATGATTAAAACTAGCCTTCCTCCGCTTGATGCCCTGCATATGTTTCAAAACACAATTCCCAATATTATTATTACCTGCGCTTCACCCTAAGATCCCAGGGCGGGTGACGTCAATTTAAAAAACACCATCAATAATAAAGCACAATATTATTTTTAATGCATAAAAAAATCAGTGTAAAACAACTTAAAATTTCAAAACTGATTTCAAAAAGAGCTGCATCTTCCAGAAGCTATGCAATGAAGCTGCCAGGCCCACTTCTGTGGGGAGTTCCTCAGATTAGGGGCCACCACAGAAAGACCCTCTTCCCACCCCCAGGCCACCACTACCACCCTGAACCTCTGGGGGCAGAGGAACTACTAAGAGCTCCCCCTGCCAATCTTAGTACCCGAGAGGGGATTTAGGAAAGGAAAGAGGCGTCTCTCGGGTATTTGGGGCCTCAGTTGTTTAGCACCTTGAATTGGACCCAGGAATCATCCCTGACTACAACTCCCATCATTCAGAGCGTGGAGACGTAGGCATGCAAAAAGCATCCCTCTTTGCTCCAGCAAAGTCGCTGCATCCATTCTCTGCACTAAGCAGGGGTCCTCCAAGTGGCTTGGACTACAATGGCCATCAGCCATCATGCGAGCTCCAAGTTTAGGCTTTTCAGAGTCTCTTAGGTCCCAATTCAAGGCTCAGCCCTCACCGGCTCACATATCCTTAGAAAAGAATCACGGTTAGATAACCATCATTGCAGACGGATGCAAGTAGTTTAGTTTTATTTCATTCTGGGTAGTGGCACCCGCCCTGTGGAATGCCCTCCCATCAGATGTCAAGGAAATAAGCAGCTATCTTATTTTTAAAAGACATCTGAAGGCAGCCCTGTTTAGGGAAGTTTTTAATATTTAATGCTGTATTGTTTTTAACACTCAATTGGGAGCCGCCCAGAGTGGCTGGGGAAACTCAGCCAGATGGGCGGAGTATAAATAAATTATTATTATTATTATTATTATTATTATTATTATTATTATTATTTCATATCCCTCCTTTTTTTCCTCTAAGGAGCTCAAGGCAGTCGTCCTCTCTCCTCATTGAACCCCAAAAACAACCCTGTGAGCATAGCTGCCAACTTTTCCCTTTTCTTGTGAGGAATCCTATTTGGAATAAGGGGATTTCCCTTAAAAAAAGGGAAACATTGACAGCTAGGCCTGTGAGGTAGCTGAGAGGCAGCGGCTGGGCCCAAGGTCTCCCAGGGAGCTCCCTTCATGGCTGAGCGGGGATTCGAACGCAGGTCCTCGTCCGACACTCTAACCGCTGCGCCACACCAAAGTTGTCAGCTGGTTGTGCCAAACTCCGCCACCTCTTGCCGCCGCCGCCCCCCAAATTTTGGGACTGGCATAGCCCCTGCGCCACCATTTTGAAAACGGAGGGCCTCTGTGATTTTCAGCCAGGGGATAGGAAGTTCCAGAACAGAAGAGACAAACGTTCCTCTCGCTTTTCTTCCTCGCAGGACTTCGGACGGAGCAGGACCTCTATGTGCGACTGATCGACTCCATGTCCAAGCAGGTAACAGCCCCCAGTGAAAGTGTGGAAGGGTGTCGGGGGGGACGGGACGAGAGCCATCTTGGACTATCTCGTGGAAGATGGAACAAGCTTGTTTTCTCTTGCTCTGGAGGGGAGGACTCGAACCCATGGCTTCAAGTTACAAGAAAGGAGACTCCGACTAAGCCTCAGGAAGGAATTTCTGACCGCAAGAGCTGTTTGACAGTGGAATGGACTCCCTTCGGGAGGTGGTGGACTCTCCTTCCATGGAGGTTTTTAAGCAGAGGTTGGATGGCCATCTGTCAGGGATGCTTTAGCTGAGATTCCTGCACTGCAGGGGTTTAGACTAATTGACCCTTGGGGTCCGTTACAATTCTATGGTTCTATGATTCGGAAGGAAGGAAGGAAGGAGAGAAAGAGAAAGTGAGAGTAGAGAGAGAGAGAGAAAGAGAGAAAGAAAGAAAGAAAGAAAGAAAGAAAGAAAGAAAGAAAGAAAGAAAGAAAGAATATGATGATAGATAGATGATAGATGATAGATAGATAGATAGATAGATAGATGATAGATAGATAGATAGATAGATAGATAGATAGATAGATAGATAGATGATAGATAGAAGAGGGAGGGAAAGAAAGAAGGAAAGAGTAGATAGATAGATAGATGGATGGATAGATGATAGATGATCGATAGATAGATAGATAAATAGATGATAGATAGAGATGATAGATAGATAGATAGATAGATGATAGATAGATAGATGATAGATAGATAGATAGATAGATAGGTAGATAGATGATAGATAGATAGATGATAGATAGATAGATAGATAGATAGATAGATAGATGATAGATAGATAGATGATAGATAGATAGATAGATAGATAGATAGATATAGGTAGATAGATGATAGATAATAGGTAGAGATAGATTAGATAGATAGATAGATGACAGATAGATAGATAGATAGATGAGGGAGGGAGGGAAGGAAGGAAGGAAGGAAGGAAGGAAGGAAGGAAGGAAGGAAGGAAGGAAGGAAAGAAGAGGGAGGGAGGGAGGGAGGGAGGGAGGGAGGGAGGGAAAGAAAGAAAGAAAGAAAGAAAGAAAGAAAGAAAGAAAGAAAGAAAGAAAGAAAGAAAGAAATTAGATAGAGATAGATAGAGATAGATAGAGATAGATAGAGATAGATAGATAGATAGATAGATAGATAGATAGATGATAGATAGATAGATAGATAGATAGATAGATAGATGATAAATAGATAGATGATAGATAGGAAGGAGAGGGAGGGAAGGAAGGAAGGAAGGAAGGAAGGAAGGAAGGAAGGAAAGAAAGAAAGAAAGAAAGAAAGAAAGAAAGAAAGATGATAGATAGACAGACAGATGATAAATAGGAAGGAGAGGGAGGGAGGGAGGGAAGGAAGGAAGGAAGGAAGGTAGGAAGGAAGGAAGGAAGGAAGGAAGGAAGGAAAGAAAGAAAGAAAGAAAGAAAGAAAGAAAGAAAGAAAGAAAGAAAGAAAGCAAGCTTGAGGAAGATGTGGTAGGTGGATCTCAGTTTTGTCCCAGGAACAAAATCAGCATCAAAGTTGGTTTCCTTCCAGCCCTCCCCTCCTGAGGGGGGAGCCCAAGGGAGGTAAATCCCAAACTGGGAGATGCTTCATTAAGCTTCACCATCATTAATCAACACCATTAGGCGGGGGAGGCTTTGTTAACTCTGGTGCTGATGGGCTGGGAGCCTCTGCTGCTTAGCACCTGCTTAGCGCACGCAAACACACCCAGGGCTCTCTGCTGAGGCCAAACAGAGGAGGAGGAGGAGGAGGAGGAGGAGGAGGAGGAGGAAGCCCAGACTTGCTCCTGCTTTAGGAAGCGGCCGCGTGCAACTCCCAGCATCCCCACCCAGCATGGCGTGTGGCCAGGGAGTTGTAGCGCCAGCTACATCTGCAAGACGCCACACTGGCTGCCCCTTGGCTGGCATGCTGAGATTTGCACGTAGGACCAAGTGTGTAGTCCTTATGGTTGTGGGATTGGTGATGGTTGGGAACTCTGGGCCTGAGTCAGGTAAACTGCCATGCTAGGGGGAGCAAGTGCAGGGGGGCTTCACCTCCCTCCCTCCCTCTCTCTAAATCTGCTTGGGGTGGGGGTCCAGGAGAATCTCCAGAATATCACGTGGGGTGGGGAGGAGAGGGGAGAATGTTCCACCTGGCAAGATAGATGCTTGCATTGATGGAGCCATCTCCTTAGTAAGGCATTGAAGTCTACCTTCAGAAGCCAAAGGAGCTTCTGGATCACAAGACTTCCACTGAGCAGAGATGGGACCTTGCAGTTCTCCTTGCCGTGCCCAAAATGTGTGCAGAGGTTCCACATGTGGCAGAACTTCATTTTTGTTCCTCTGCAGCTATCATGGTTGCATCATAACCTAAGGATGTAAGAAGAGCCTGTTGAATCAGGCCAGCGTCCCCTCTAGTCAGGCATTTGTTGTTGTTGTTGTTTAGTCGTTTAGTCATGTCCGACTCTTCGTGACCCCCTGGACCAGAGCACGCCAGGCACTCCTGTCTTCCACTGCCTCCCGTAGTTTGGTCAAACTCATGCTGGTAGCTTCGAGAACACTGTCCAACCATCTCATCCTCTGTCACCCCCTTCTCCCTGTGCCCTCCATCTTTCCCAACATCAGGGTCTTTTCCTGGGAGTCTTCTCTTCTCATGAGGTGGCCAAAGTCTTGGAGCCTCAGCTTCAGGATCTGTCCTTCCAGTGAGGACTCAGGGCTGATTTCCTTCAGAATGGAGAGGTTTGATCTTCTTGCAGTCCATGGGACTCTCAAGAGTCTCCTCCAGCACCAGAATTCAAAAGCATCAATTCTTTGGCGATCAGCCTTCTTTATGGTCCAGCTCTCACTTCCATACATCACTACTGGGAAAACCATAGCTTTAACTATACCGACCTTTGTTGGCAAGGTGATGTCTCTGCTTTTAAGATGCTGTCTAGGTTTGTCATTGCTTTTCTCCCAAGAAGCAGGCGTCTTTTAATTTCGTGACTGCTGTCACCATCTGCAGTGATCATGGAGCCCAAGAAAGTCAAATCTCTCACTGCCTCCATTTCTTCCCCTTCTATTTGCCAGGAGGTGATGGGACCAGTGGCCATGATCTTCGTTTTTTGATGTTGAGCTTCAGACCATATTTTGCACTCTCCTCTTTCACCCTCATTAAAAGTTTCTTTAATTCCTCCTCACTTTCTGCCATCAAGGTTGTGTCATGTGCATATCTGAGGTTGTTGATATTTCTTCCGGCAATCTTAATTCTGGCTTGGGATTCATCCAGCCCAGCCTTTCGCATGATGAATTCTGCATATAAGTTAAATAAGCAGGGAGACAATATACAGCCTTGTCGTACTCCTTTCCCAATTTTGAACCAATCAGTTGTTCCATATCCAGTTCTAACTGTAGCTTCTTGTCCCACATAGAGATTTCTCAGGAGACAGATGAGGTGATCAGGCACCTGTTCTCATAATGGCCAACCAGATCCCTCAGTGGGAAGCCCAAAAGCAGGATTCGAACACAAGAGCCCTCTGCTGTCTGTGGAGGCTCAGCATGGCCCTCTTGGCTACTAGCCGCTGATAGCCCTCTCCTCCATGAATTTCTCCTATCCTCTTTTAAAGTTATCCAAGTTGGTGGCCATTGCTGCCTCCTGTGGCAGAGAGTTCCACAGTCTAACAACAGCATTAAGGAGGACTTTCTTTTATCTATCCTGAATCTTCCTCGAATGTCCACGAGTTCTAGTTAGGAGCGAGGGAGGAAAACTTTTTCTCTATGTACTTTTTCCATGGCAGGCATCGTTTTCATAATTAGCATCGTCATTGGTTCATTCATCGCCTTCTAAACCGTGGCCCCATGAGGATTTGCACATAAGATAATTAAAGGGGGGGGGAGGAATTGAACACAAAGCTAAAAATTATGCCCTCTGCCCTTGGCCCATGAAAAGAGCCTGGAGTGCCGAAGCATCTGAGTGTGGAGTTTTTCCAGGTTGTTCCTCTCCTTAACACTTCCCCTCTTCGCCCCCACCCCCTCTGTTTTCCAGGCAATCATCTACGAAGGGCAAGACAAGAATCCAGAGATGTGCCGTGTGCTGCTGACACATGAAATCATGTGCAGGTGAGCCTGGCTCAGCTCCCTCCTGGAGCAGTGGGGGGTGTCTTTCTTTCTTTCTTTCTTTCTTTCTTTCTTTCTTTCTTTCTTTCTTTCTTTCTTTCTTTCTTTCTCTCTACCTCTCTCTCTCTCTCTCTCTCTTTCTTTCTTTCTTTCTTTCTTTCCTCTCCCTCCCCCCCCCCTCTCTCTCTCTCTTATCTCTCCCTCCCTCCCTCCCTCCCTTTCTCTCTCTCTCTCTCTCTCTCTCTCTCTCTCTCTCTCCCTCCCTCCCTTTCTTTCTTTCTTTCTTTCTTTCTTTCTTTCTTTCTTTCTCTCTCCCTCTCTCTCTCTCTCTCTCTCTCTCTTTCCCCCCCCTTTCTTTCTTTTCCCCTCTTTCTTTCTTTCTTTCTTTCTTTCTTTCTCTCTGCCTCTCTCTCTCTCCCTCCCTCCCTTTCTTTCTTTCTTTCTTTCTTTCTTTCTTTCTGCCTCTCTCTCTCTCTCTCCCTCCCTTTCTTTCTTTCTTTCTTTCTTTCTTTCTTTCTTTCCTCTCCCTCCCTTTCTTTCTTTCTCTCTCTCTCTCTCTTATCTCTCCCTCCCTCCCTTTCTTTCTTTCTTTCTTTCTTTCTTTCTTTCTTCTGCCAGCGTATTGGGGACAAAGTCTGCAGGCCTGGCCACCCCATTTCAAAAGGTCATCAGACTTTGGAAAGGTGCGTTAAAAAACCATCCCTTCAAGACAACCTGTTTACAGAGCATTCATCCTTGTTTGTTCGCAGGGAGGTTAGATGAGGTTGGCTTTGCCACGAATATTCATTCTGGTTTGCTCGTGGGGAGGCTAGATGATGCTCCGTCAAACCTAGAGTGATCCCACATTTTCCAGTGCATCTTCCCATCTCCTTCCCTATCTCAAATAGTCTGGTCTTTTGGGGAAGCGCTTTTTGAAATTATTTTAATTAGCTGTTGCATTTATATCCCAGCTTTTTTGTCCGAGGAGCTCAAGGTGGCGTACATGGTTCTTCCCCACCTCATTTAATCTACACAACAACCCTGTGAGGTAGGTTAGGCAGAGAGGTAATGACTGGTCTCCCAGGTCCTGCTCCAACGCTCTTAACCACTAGGCCACACTGGTCCTTCTTGCACAAGACCTGGCCAAACCCCTGCAACTCTGCAACCTGAATTTGCAAGCTCAATATGTGATTGAATCCCAAGTGAGGAGCCATGATAGAGCCCAGGCTATTTATTTTTATATTATGTGGGTTTTTTAATTGCATAGGTATTGTTTTACAGCCTAGGGCCATATAGTGAAGGGCAGATTCTGTGCATAAATAAATATAAATAAGTCGTTGGTGTGTAATCGGGAGCCAAGCCACATGAAATGGGCTCTGTTGTTGTTAATTTCTTTATTACATTTAGATACCACCTTTATCTTTCAATGATCTTAAGGAGCTGTGCATGGTTCTCGTCCCATTTCACCCTCTCAACAACCCTGTGAAGTAGGTTAGGCTGAGAGATGGTGACTGAGCTTCATGGCTGAGTCGGGATTTGAACCCTGCTCTCCCAGATCTTAGTCCGACACGCTAGCTGTTACACCACCTTGGCACTTCAGCCTGGAAGGGAGGGGGACTAAATGTTTGGAAACTCCTCGCATGCAGAAAGCTAACACGCAAGGGAGACGAGCCTAACCCAGTTTTCTCCCTGAGGTGTGGCTAGCTTTGAACGTGCAGCGATTTCTACAGAGCATCCAAATTTAATTGCCCACCTGCAGCTTGGGATGGTACACAAAGGCCTCACCTGCCCTCAGTGCTGCTGAATCTGATTGGCTGCCCAGAGGTTGGTCCTGACTGAGGATCTGTTTGTTGGAAAGTGAGCTTCCGGGTGCCTGTAAACAAAAACCACATGGTTCTCTGCATGGCGCCAAGAAAGGCCAGTGAGGGGTGCGTAGCCTAGGGCGAAGCAGTGAGCCGAGAGCCACATTCGGAGACCTAGGGAGCCACATTCAGGCTCCCCACCCCAATTAGAAACAGACATCCAGTCCAGCCCCCCCACAAGGTCTGAGGGACACTGAACCGGCCCCTGCTGAAAAAGTTTGCTGACCCCTGGCCAAGAGGCAATATGAGCTTCATTCACGGCCGAGCGGGGAATTCGAACCCTGATCTCTCCTGGACTCTCAACCGGCACTCTAAGCACTACGCTGCCACCGGCTCACAGCTTAGCACTGGGATGTAGCAGGCCCATCAGACGAGCCACAGGATCTTAGAATCGTAGAGTTGAAGGGACCCCCTAGGGACATCTAGTCTAACCCTGTGCAATGCAGGAATCTCAGCTGAAGCATCCATGACAGATGGCCGTCCGACCTCTGCTTAAGAAGGAGGCTGGCATCTTTTCACCCGGCTCTGCCAGGTTCCCTGGTGCCCCATTAACGCCTGCCTTGTTTACGACACTCAGGGCTCGGTGTTTGTGCAAATTAGTGCGCCTGCCTCCGAGCCAACTTTCATGGCTAATTGATCTCCAGGAACCTTGCTAATGATCTTGGGGGTTGAGGGAATAGATGGCGGGGGCGGGTGGGGAATATCTGGGGTGGGAGGGTAGGGGGGAGGCGAAGCGTCTTGGCTGAGACGCCCTCGGATTTGTTTGTGTAACCGGCGGGTGGGATGGCGGCTCCCCTGCGGGGCGCAGAACAGAGCCCTTGGTTGTTTATCAGGCCAAGATATTAATTATATTTAACGTGAGCGGCGGTACCTGGCGGAATCATTAAAAGAAAATTGGAATCTGATCTCGTAAGATTAGAACTCCGGGCCGTCCGAAGAAGCTGATGGCTGGGGGATTGGGCAGACAAAAGAAAAGACTTTTAGCTGGAGCACATAGTCAGAAGTATGGAACTCATTGCCACAAGAGGGTGCAATGGCCAGCATCCTGTTCTCACAGTGGCCGAGCTGATTTGGCGTTCAGAAACATTGCTGTCTCGAATTATGGACCAATATAAAGCAAGCAGCACATAAGTGGCACACAAAACGCTAACAAACCATTCTACCTTCTAAATCTTTTATTGTTGTTTAGTCATTTAGTCGTGCCCGACTCTTCTTGACCCCCTGGACCAGAGCACGCCAGGCCCTCCTGTCTTCCACTGCCTCCCTCATGCTGGTACCTTCGAGAACACTGTCCAACCATCTCGTCCTCTGTCGTCCCCTTCTCCTTGTGCCCTCCATCTTTCCCAACATCAGGGTCTTTTCCAGGGAGTCTTCTCTCCTCATGAGGTGGCCAAAGTCTTGGAGCCTCAGCTTCAGGATCTGCCCTTCCAGTGAGCACGCAGGGCTGATTTCCCTAAGAATGGATAGGTTTGATCTTCTTGCAGTCCATGGGACTCTCAAGAGTCTCCTCCAGCACCAGAATTCAAAAGCATCAATTCTTCGGCAATCAGCCTTCTTGATGGTCCAGCTCTCACTTCCACACATCACTAAAATCTTCTATTAATGATCCAAAAATTGAGCGAGCTATGTACAAGATCTGCTACAGAAGCCACAAACAGAAAACTCATTCAAATTGTGTACAAAAGGAAGATTCAGTCTTTAAAGTTCCTTTAGCCAGGCTCCTGTAGATATCAACAAAGGTAAGTTTGATCAAACGAAGTGTCGGCGATGTTCAACTCTCGAATTATGGAGGCAGAGCCATAGCCATCAACAGGCCTCTCCACTGTGCATTTGCCTCGCCCTCTCTTACAGCCATTCAACTTGTTGGCAATCAGTTTTCTCCTGTGGCAGTGAGTTCCAAAGTTTAACCACGCATTGCGTGAAGAAGGACTTTCTTTCAAGAGAAAGGGGACAGAAAAGGCGTTTTTCTCCCCTCTCTCATGACACTGGAGCTTTGGAAGCTGTAAGCAGGTTGATTCAGGACAGTCAAAAGGAAGGATTGCAGAATGTTAGAATTGTAGTGTTTCAGGGCACCCCAAAGGTCATCTCTTCCAACCCCCTGCAATCATAGCTAGAGAATCTGTGTCAGCTGGCCAACCAAGCTCTGCTTTTAAACATCCAGTACTAGGTAGTCCCCTCGTATATCTCACTCCCTGGCATCCAGATCATCCAAACTGTCTATTTTAGATTCAGATAGGTAGCCGTGTTGGTCTGACACAGTCAAAATTAATAAAAAAATTGTCCAGTAGCACATTAGAGACAACTAAGTTTGTTCTGGGTAAGCTTTCATGTGCACGCACACAGAACAAACTTAATTTTAATCTTTTTATTTATTTTGTCTATTTTAGGGTTGCTGTATTTCAAAAAGTGAAAATCTGGAGACAAAAGAGCTTTTATTGGCCAAACTTTTGCTCAAAAATGTAGATTTGGAGCAATTTTTAAAGGAAATTAGACACAGAAAACCCAAAACATTGGTTGCTATACATCTGGGTTTCCCCGGACATTTTAAGCAAGATCAGAAATTCTGCCCTGATGCTATTTTCGATTTTTGAGTGCTCTGTGGCACAGTTCACACTAGCGAGTAAGCCCGCCTCCTCTAGGCTTGATTAGTGCCCACCTGAGAGCCAGTGTGGTGTAGTGGTTAAGAGTGGTGGACTCGTATTCTGGTGAACCGGGTTCGATTCCCCACTCCTCCACATGCAGCTGCAGGGTGCTCTTGGGCCAGTCACACTTCTCTGAAGTCTCTCAGCCTCACACACCTCACAGAGTGTTTGTTGTGGGGAGGAAGAGAAAGGAGATTGTGAGCCGCTTTAAGACTCCTTAAAGGTAAAAGGACCCCTGACAGTTAGGTCCAGTCGTGGCCGACTCTGGGGTTGCGGCGCTCATCTCGCTTTATTGGCCGAGGGAGCTGGCATACAGCTTCCGGGTCATGTGGCCAGCATGACCAAGCCGCTTCTGGCGAACCAGAGCAGCGCATGGAAATGCCGTTTACCTTATCAAATCCAAACACCACTTCTTCTTCTTCTTCTTCTTCTTCTTCTTCTTCTTCTTCTTCTTCTTCTTCTCACATGACACTGAGCATACTTGCAAGCCTTGTTGATTTGCATGGCTCACATACAGTTGCTGAATGTGACCCATGCTCTCGCGTCAGCTGAATGTGCAAACGGAAAGTGGGTCTGGTTTGAGTTGATTTCTATTATTTCACTCGGATGGGGCTCCTGATCCAAACGCAGTCCTCGACAGAACCGTGTCTGAGCCGTGAATTTAAATCCTAGCGCAATCGCATGGAGCATAGAGAAATGTCCTGCTGAAACAGGCCAATGGCCCAAGGGGAAACCTGTGAGCAGAATCTGAGCGCAAGAGCACTCTGTCTCCTCCTGTGGTTTCCAGCGACTGTTAACTCAGCAGCATTGCTATTTTTCTACTTGCTGTGAAATGGGCTTGTTGGTGTGAAACATACAACACACCTGCACACTTCACCTCCGTCCCACCCTACTTCCAAGTAAATGTATTTCGCACCTGCACCCCTGACCAGTAGGCTTCTCTTTATACTTCTGCCTTTGTTCATTCATTCCATTTGCATCCCACTTTTCTTCTCCAAGGTGCTCAAGATGGCTTGCATAGTGAATAGGATGCAGGTGGCGCTGTGGTCTAAACCACTGAGCCTCTTGGGCTTGCCAATCAGAAGGTTGGCGGTTCGAATTCCTACGATGGGGTGAGCTCCCGTTGCTCTGTCCCAGCTCCTGCCAACTTAGCAGTTCGAAAGCACACCAGTGCTAGTAGATAAATAGGTACCACTGCCAAAATCCAAAATCCAGATCCTGTGAAGTCCAGTGTTAGGAGAGAGGGATAAAAACCTCTATATTCCCCCACCCCCATGGCATGCATAATTTTATATGTCCCTCAAAAACCTCACTCTTGTGACCTGCCCCCACAACACCTACTCACTAAGGCCTTACTAAAGCAAACAGTCTAATTGGTCAATGTCTAAAAGATATTGAGCATCAGAACAACCTGGCCACTATAAGGAAATTCTGCCCTTGGTATGTTCATTTTCCACCTCTCCATTTTGATTCTCTGTCCCCATATCTGCACAAACTTATGATCCCAAAATACAGACGTGCTTTTACACTTGCAAGACTGGATGTTTTGCCATCTGCGGTACTTGAGGGTCGATTCAAAAAGATCCCACCTGAGAAACGTCTTTGCCCCTGTGGAGAAGGTAGCACCAAAACAGCGGCACACGTCCTCCTGTCTTGCACTCTCTACAAAGACCTGAGGAACGAGATCATCACCCCACTAGTACTAACCATCCCAGGGCGCTCAACCACTGCCACAATGTCCTTTTTTCTATCAGATCAAAATGAGCAGATAACAGCAAAGGTTGCTAGCAGGGGCAATCAGAATAAGGGCCACTAACTGACGGCTGATTCAGGACTTTAAATTGTGTTCTTATATCAAATTTCCTTTTCTGCGTACACTGCAATGTTTTACTGTTGCTATGGCCACTGGCTAATGTGAATAAAGTTTTATCTATCTATCCCCCACGCCATGCATAATTTTATATGTCCCTCTCTCATGCCCCTCTTTGCTCACCTGAATTGCTCTGTCTCCTTGGCCATTTTGGCTGACCTTTTCTGAGCAACACCCCGGACGCTGCTCAGGGTCTCTGCTCTTTCCTGATCACCCCCCTTTTGCCCTTACAGCCGTTGCTGTGATAAGAAAAGCTGTGGGAACCGCAACGAGACACCGTCTGACCCCGTCATCATCGACAGGTAAGAAGCTGCAGAACTCCCCAGGATTTTTGCAATAGAACTGCAGTATTGCATTGCTGTTTGTTCCAATTTAGCCTTAAAGAGCACATTTTCCCGGGGAAAGAAAAGAAACCCAACAAAGCAATTGGACACGGACCAGGAACGTGCAAGCCTATGGCTAGAGAGTACAGAGCAAAAGTTGTGTGGATGAGCTCTGCATTACAGAAACCTGCTTGGTTACAGATCTGCTGGAATGCATAAGGCTCAGAGCTGATTCAATTGCCCCATTCAGATTTTGGGCATTGGGGTGGGAGAACTGCAACGTGGAGCCTCTGAACCTTCTTCTGGGTAAAAGAGAGCAGGGCTGTGTCTCAACTGCAGAGCCGCTGCTGTGCATGCAGAAAAGCCCCGGGTTCGAATTCCAGCCTCAGCAGCGACAAAGATCTCAGCTCCCTCCAGCTCGCTTGGAAAACCACTGTTCTGACTTGGTACATAAGGAAACTTCAGTTGTTGTCACAGGGCCTTTAGAAGTCGTTCTTGGTCCCCTCTTTGGGATTCTCATGTTTTTAACAGGCGTTGGCCGGAGGTTTCCATTCACGCCTCTGTTAACCTTGAGGACTAGGCCCTTGGTTTGTTTGTGCTTTTTGTGAGACGCGAAAGCTGGGTGACGCTTCTTGTTTTCAAGAGGTTGCCTTCTGCAGCAGGTGCTAAGCTTCGGTCCTTGCTCAGTGCGGCCAGAGAGGCATGGGATATGCACAGCCACACATACTGTCCACCCCCCGCCCATGTGTTAACAGGCAGCCTGCCCCATGCTCTAGGTTTGTCAAACTTGTGTGCACTCCTTCGTCTGTGAGTCCAGGCACTGCCACCATCATCTTATTCCGAACTCTCTGTGCTGAAATGGTAAACTCCTATTAGAGGATCTCAAACTGTGTCCTGTGTGCTCCATTTAGGTGCTCTCCCAAACAGTTTGGGGTATCTGCCTTTTGCCTTTGATTGGTTTCTGCCTTTCCTAACAGCAATCACGGAACTTTGCTCACAAGGATAGGCACATCCATCACCTTAGAAAGACACAGCTGCAGTTATCAAAACGAGAGTTTAATGTTTGTGCGAAGGGGGTGAGTTAAGTAGGTGTTTTGCCAAGATGCCCAGGAATCTTCAAGTGACCCACAAAGCTGTGATGATGATGATGATGATGATGATGATGATGATTATATCACTTTTCCCCCAGACCAGTGCTCAAGGCAGCTTACAAAGATTAAAACAGCAGAGGAGAACTACAAAAAGCTAAAAACGTGTAATAGTTAAGAAGAAATTCAACTCTGATAGAATTAAAACGATATAAAAAGCCCATATTATTAAAATAAAAACAGCATAGCTCTATTGAAAACTTTAAAAAAAAATAAAAAATCACCAGTCAGTTCCCAAAGGCCAGCTGGAATAAAAATAAAAATAAAATATTTATACACCACCCATCTGGCTGGGTTTCCCCAGCCACTATGAGCTGCTCCCAACAGGTTGTTGTTGTTAATAATAATAATAATAAAGTGATAAAACATCGACCATTGAAAACTTCCCTAAACAGGGTTGCCTTCTAAAAGTCCAATAGTTGTTTATTTCCTTGACATCTGATGGGAGGGCGTTCCACAGGGTGGGTGCCACTACTGAGAAGGCCCTCTGCCTGGTTCCCTGTAAGTGAGGGAACTGCCAGAAGACCCTCGGAGCTGGACCTCAGCGTCCGGGCTGAATGATGGAGGTGGAGACGCTCCTTCAGGAATACTGGGCGGAGGCCGTTTAGGGCTTTCAATGTCAGCACCAACACTTTGAATTGTTGGAATAAAACGGACTCCACCTGCCAGCACAGCAAGGATGGATCCAGTCTGGCTTCTTTAGGGAGGGGGTTCCCTAGAGTATCCCTAGGGGTATCATCTACACCAAGCTGGATCCTAGAATCCTAGGACTGCAGAGTTGGAAGGGGTCATGAGGGGTCATCTAGTCCAACCCCCTGCAATGTGTGAACATGGTGCATCTGAAGAAGCAAGGAACCCTGGGGGACAAGATAGTACTGCAGGGGTAAGCAACCGGGTACCCTCCAGAAGACAGCCCTATATGTTTGACATCTTATATGTGCTGGAAGCCACCCAGAGTGGCTGGGGAAACCCAGCCGGATGGGCGGGGTGTAAAATATTAAATTGTTGTTGTTGGTCTCCCAACTCGCACCAGCCCCTTCTAAACATGGCCAGTGGTGGAGGATGATAGGAGATGTCCTTTTGTGCTATGAGCCGCCCTGAGATCTTTGGATGAAGGGTGGTATACAAATGTTAAAATAAAAATGCAATAAATAAACATCTGGAGCACATTATGTTGGCCACGCCTGCTTTACTGTGCATGCATAGAGAAGCAGGGAACTGTGGCGCAAGAGACACTACTGTGCATGCGTTGTGTTGCTGGGGAAGCCATGGTTAGCGTTGTTCCCAGTCCCGCTGGCCACATCAAGAGGGGCTTGGGCCTCTGGGTCGCATCAATCCTAGAATTGTTGGGTTGGAGGGGACCCCAAGGGTCATCTAGTCCAACCCCCTGCAATGCAGGAATCTCAGCTCAAGCATCCACGACAAATGGCCATGCAATTTCTGCCTCTTAAAAACCTTCAAGGAAGGAGAGTCCACCAGCTTCCAAGGGAGTCCGTTCCAGTGCCAAACAACTCTTCCCATCCACAACCTCCTGAGGTGTAGCGTTCCCAAAGCAAGGAAGGGTTGGACTCTGATTAATAAAATACACACGAGGCTTGACCAGCAAGACTCTGGGAGGAGTGCCAATAATAATAATTCCTGTCCACCCTCCGGCCCAGGTCGTTTTATTCACAAAAGAACTTTTTACACAGTGTTTGTAAGAACCAATCAGATTTCCTCTGAGCATTTCAAAAAAACCCACGTGGGACAAAGTTAAAGTTGAAACTACAAAGAAACTATTTCCTATTTGAGCATGCATTGTAGTCCAGAGTAAATAAAATAGGAATAAAAGGAGGAATTCGTTCAGCAAAACCCTGGAGGTCATAAGCAGGAATAAACAGGAGGAAGGATGGTAGTACAGTGGTACCTCTGGTTACGTACTTAATTCATTCCAGAGGTCTGTTCTTAACCTGAAGCACCACTTTAGCTAGTGGGGCCTCCCGCTGCTGCCGCACTACCGGAGCACTATTTCTGTTCTCATCCTGAAGCAAAGTTCTTAACCCGAGGTACTATTTCTGGGTTAGCGGAGTCTGTAACCTGGAGCGTATTTAACCTGAAGCGTATGTAACCCAAGGTACCACTGTATTTACCATCTCTTTGTGAGCTCTCTTCCTGGCCCTTAAGATCTACCTAAAGATTAACTACATCAAAGTTACAGACTATCTTTAGGGCTCAGGATGCCTGGTGAGGCAACTGGCCTGTGTTTCAGAATGCTTATACGTGCCTGTCAGGCGTAGAGAAAGCAAATGGCAGAGATGGAGAGGCTTGTGGGATCTGATCAGAAATTATTGCCAATGAATCAAACCCAGTCAACGCCATGCTTTCATCGCGGACACAATGGCTTGATGCATATTTTATCATTCCTCCTGGTAATCCCATCTGATCACTACACTCTGGATATTTGCACCCCCACACTGAGGAAAGGCCATTCCAGTATGAGGGGCAAAATTTAGAGGAGGCCCATTTGCCTGCCAGCTGCCCTCAAATATATGTTCAATGCTATCCCCTTCTGCCCAAGAGTTGAGGGGCCCGATCACTCCCCATTGTAGACTAACCTTCTGAGCTGCTAGAGAATACCTGGGAAATTTGGGGCTCATTTCTAGCTGGCCCTGTGTATCCCCTGAACCTTCACAACAAACCACCCTCCTGACTTGTGGAGAAAATGTTCGTCTGTCTTGCCCTCTCTTCATTGGAAAGAAGATTGTGTGTGTGTGTGTGTGTGTGTGTGTGTGTGTGTGTGTGTGTGTGTGTAAGGAAGTCACTTTCTCCATCAATTGCACAATGGGCCAATGGGAAAAAACGTTCCTCCCATTTTGTTGCATCCTGGTGGCGGTCAGGGTGCCTCGATAATGCACTGACATTTCCCCAGCTTTTGTCCGCCCGCGATAGCATCGGTGCTGCGGCGAGAGGGGCCCTGTGCCTTGGGATGGCTGCCTGTCACTCAAGCCACCCGGGAGACAGCCGGCAGGCGACAGAGAAGAATGGGGATTGACAAGGCAGCGGGGAGATTAGGAGGGGAAGAATCAAAGCTATTACGGTCTGTCTGGCCGGCAGCCATTGTGTGCTCCGATCTTTCAGCTTCTCCTTCAGCCAGATCGCACGCAGACACAAGCACACACACACACAAGCTACCGTCTCTGCACTCTGGACAGGAGAAGAAAAACACAAAAACCCAACTCCAGGAAGTAAAGTTTGGGTAGATCAGGTCACACAACTGGGTAGGCATCTGATCAGGAGGTCTTGTAGACCAGAGGTGGACATGGCCTGGGGAAAGTGGATGGAGGAAGATTTTCCTTCATTTTTTGTAACGTTGGAGGTCATGGGCATCTAATCAGGCTGAAGCTTGGGAGATTCGGGACAGAAAAGAGAAGACCTTCTTCACACAGGGAAGAGCTAAACTATGGAACTCGCTCCCTCAGGAAGCACTGATGACCACCAACTGAGATGGTTTTTAAAGACAATTCATGGAGGAGATGGCTGTCAAAGGCTACTAGCCTGCATGGGTCTCCTCTGCTTCCACAGTTGAAGGCAGAAATGTTTCTAAATTCCAGTTTCTGGAAACCACAGGAAGGGAGAGTGCTGCTTTTGCGTTCGCATCCTGCTTGCTGGTTTCGCACTGGCATCTGGTTGGCCACTGTGAGAACAGGATGCTGGGTTAGATGGGCCATTGGCCTGATCCAGCAGACTCGTCTTAAAAGGTAAAGTGACCCCTGACCATTAGATCCAGTCGTGGACGACTCTGGGGTTGCGGCGTTCATCTGGCTTTATTGGCCGAGGGAGCCGGCGTACAGCTTCCGGGTCATGCGGCCAGCACGACTAAGCCGCTTCTGGCGAACCAGAGCAGCACACGGAAATGCCGTTTACCTTCCCGCTGGAGCGGTACCTATTTATCTACTTGCACTTTGACGTGCTTTCGAACTGCTAGGTTGGCAGGAGCAGGGACCGAGCAACGGGAGCTCACCCTGTCACAGGGATTTGAACTGCCGACCTTCTGATCGGCACATCCTAGGCTCTGTGGTTTAACCCACAGCGCCACCCGCATCCCTTAGGCTCGTCTTAGGCAGTGCTATTTTTCTAGAAAAAGAGGTGCCGGAGCTCACCATGAACCTTGTTCTCATAGAAGGGCCATTAGAAGTGCTGGAGCTGAGCTCCGGCTGGAAAAAAAGCCCTTGTTATGTTCTTAAATCATGTCATCCGGCCTCCTCTCTCTCGCTGTCTGTCTCTCTGACTCCCATTCATGCCTCCATCCTTCCCAGCAGTTTCTCTTAACCTTGCATTCCTTTGGTTCCAGGGGAAGATGGGGGCTCTCCTTGGCCCCCCACCTTTCCCCTCTCATCCTTCCCTCCCTCCCTCTTTTCCCTCCCTCTCTCTCTCTCTCCCCGTTTTCCCCTTCCTCTCCTTCCTGAGACGCCCAGCCCCTCTGGTTTAGAGAGCCCGATAAGTGCCCTATCAACATGTTAATCAAATTACTTAGGAGCTAAAATTGACGCTTTTCATTAATTATACAAGATTATTCTAATTGCAAATTCAAATTTATGCGCTCGGAACAGAAGGTGTTCGGCAGTGTTGCTGGGAATTTGCATATTAAATGGGGAGAGTTGTGCATTATGGATGCTAATGTATGCACATTGTCTTTATTTTTAACTCCGCGGGCCTCTGTGCGCCGTTGCCGCTAAAGGAGGTGAAGGAGTCCGACGACGTCTGTTTATTTTTATTATTTCTCTTCTCTTGTCTCTCAGTTGAAGTCAGTGGCACCAGAGGGGAGGGCAGTGGGCATGGCAGAAGCAGGGAGGGGGGCTCTGCTGGCTCCCTGTCAATCTTGCCAAAGGGGGAGGGGGTACCCCCCTATCTCTCCAAATATATCTATCCATCTCCTCCACCTTTCTGCATGTCTTCCTTCCCTTGATTACCACCTGCAAGCAAAGCAGGAACTCCAGCCTACCTGAGTCTTAAGTCTGCACCTCTCCTTTCCCCCCAGATTTCATTCCTGCGATTAACCTCCAAAGTTTGGTTCTTCTGAACAAATAATATTGAAAAACAGGGACCGTGCGTTTCCGTTAGGCTCGGTGCAGCGCTTTTTTTATTTAAACTAAAAAAGAGAGGGGAGGTGTCCCTGATGGATCACCTGGGTGAACTTGCTGCAGATGCTGCAATCCATGCAGGATTTCAAGCGCTGCCACCAGCTCCTCCGTACTTGAGAAGCAACTAGACCTCATGGAGGCAGTGGTGCCTCTGAACCTATGTCAGGAATAACGGGTGGCCCTCGGCCTCAGCAAGCACAGCTGATGAAGAATTCAGAGGCTTGTAGGAAAGCGGTTACTACAAGGGATGGAGCCGGAGGAGAGGAATGGGGAAGGACACATCTGCTTTGAAAGCCAGAAGTTCAATCCCTGTCATCTCCGGGTAGCGCTGAGAACATCCACAGTGTGAACCCTTGGAAAGCTAATGCCAATTTGTGTAGAAGTTAGCAGACTCTGCAAGTGTCCCTGTTTTCCAGGGACAGTCCCAGATTTACAGAAGCCATCCAAGTTTCTGATTTGATCCTACTTTTTCTTAAGATATCCATATTTTCATTGGAGAAATGTTGGAGGGTATGGAGTTGTGCAAACGCCCCAAGCCAAGTAGATAAGTAACTATACAACCTTTAGAAGACATCTGAAGGCAGCCCTATATAGGGAAGATTCTTAAAAAACGTTGAATGCTTTATTCTGTTTTTATATATGTTGGAAGCAGCCCAGAGTGGCTGGGGCAAGCCAGTCAGATGTGCCGTGTAGAATAATAATAATACAGTGGTACCTCGGGTTAAACGAGAGTCTAGGACTTGCCGATCAGAAGGTCAGTGGTTCGAATCCCCATGACGGGGTGAGCTCCCGTTGCTCGGTCCCTTCTCCTGCCAACCTAGCAGTTCGAAAGCACGTCAAAGTGCAAGTAGATAAATAGGTACCGCTCCAGTGGGAAGGTAAACGGCATTTCCGTGTGCTGCTCTGGTTCACCAGAAGCGGCTTAGTCATGCTGGCCACATCACCCGGAAGCTGTACGCTGGCTCCCTTGGCCAATAAAGCGAGATGAGCGCCGCAACCCGAGTCGGCCACGACTGTATCTAATGGTCAGGGGTCCCTTTACCTTTACCTTTTTCCTTAGGATATCCCTATTTTCTTTGGAGAAATGTTGGAGGGTATGGAGTTATGCAACCCCCCCCCCCCAAGCCATGTAGATAAGTAACTTTACAACCTTTAGAAGACATCTGAAGGCCGCCCTGTATAGGGAAGTTTCAAAATGTTGAATGTTTTATTATGTTTTTATATATGTTGGAAGCAGCCCAGGGTAGCTGGGGCAAGCCAGTCAGAAGGGCCGTGTAGAATAATAATAATACAGTGGTACCTCGGGTTAAGAACTTAATTCATTCCGGAGGTCCGTTCTTAACCTGAAACTGTTCTTAACCTGAAGCACCGCTAATGGGGCCTCCCGCTGCCGCCGCACAATTTCTGTTCTTATCCTGAGCAAAATTCTTAACCCGAGGTACTATTTCTGGGTTAGCGGAGTCTGTAACCTGAAGCGTCTGTAACCCGAGGTACCACTGTAACAGTAATAGTAATAATAATAATAATAGTAATAATAATAATAATAATAATAATAATAATGTCCCTATTTTCACTGGAGAAATGTTGAAGGGTATGTTACTGAGCTACTTGGACAACCAGCGGCTCAATATAAGGCAGATTCCTCTGCTCCTAAAAGGTAAAGTAAAGGGACCCCTGACCATTAGGTCCAGTCGTGGCCGACTCTGGGGTTGTGGCGCTCATCTCACTTTTTTAAAAACCCCAAAACCCTACTATTGTATCCATTGCCCTTAAATTGCCAGCCTAAGTTGTTCTTCAAAGCAACGACTGGGCAGAGTGTTTGTGTGTCATAGCTGTCAACTTTTCCCTTTTTTAAAGGGAAATTCCCTTATTCCGAATAGGATTCCTCGCAAGAAAAGGGAAAAGTTGACAGCTATAGGCTGTGTGTGTGTGTGTGTGTGTGTGTGGTGTATTTAGAGCTGGCTTTTCCTCTCTTCCCAGCCTTCCCGGTCCTCTCCAGAGCAGGCACGGCTGCCGCCCCTTAATTATTGATGCTAGGATGACAATTATAGGACCCTACACAAGCATCCTAAATATTTCATCAGCCCGGAATGCGGTTGGAGAAGGAATCGTATTCTCTGGCTTCCATCCATCTTTTCAGGATTTTTTTTCTCAGCTGCTCCTTCTCCCCTCGGCCCACTTCTCTCTTCCTTTCCCTCTTCCCCGGTCCTTTTCAAAAGATTGCAGAATCGTAAATTGTAGAGTTGGAAGGGGTTCCAGGGGTCATCTAGTCCAACCCCCTGCAATGCAGGAATCGCAGCTAAAGAATCCCTGGCAAGCAGCCACCCAACCTCAGAACCTCCAGCCACCTTCCGAGGTAGCCCGTTCCACTGTCAGACAGTTCTCAGCATCGGAAAGTTTATTCGGGATCAGATGGTTCAGATTCTCTTCTCTGGCGCAGCAGAAAACCAGCTTGCTCCATCTTCCATGTGACAACCCTTTGAATATGTGAAGATGGCTGTCTAATAATGATAATAATAGTAATAATAAATTTTATTTATACCCCGCCCTCCCCGGCCAGAGCCAGGCTCAGGGCGGCTAACACTAATAAAATCACAGTAAAAACATAATAGGGAGGAAAGGGGGGGGAGGAAAAGGGGGGGGAACCAATTTAAAATACAGGTTAAAATGCAATTTAAAATGCAGCCTCATTTTAAAGTAGCTGATAAATCAAGACCATAAGGTGAGGAAAACATAAGGGTCAGACTGAGTCCAAACCAAAGGCCAGGCGGAACAGCTCTGTCTTTCAGGCCCTGCGGAAAGATGTCAAGTCCCGCAGGGCTCTAGTCTCTTGTGACAGAGCATTCCACCACGTCGGGGCCAGTGCTGAAAAGGCCCTGGCCCTAGCTGAGACCAATCTAACCTCCTTGAGGCCTGGGACCTCCAAAGTGTTGTTATTTGTGGACCTTAAGGTCCTCCGTGGGGCACACCAGGGAGGTGGTCCCATAGGTATGTGGGTCCTAGGCTGCATAGGGCTTTGAAGGTCAAAACCAGCCCCTTAAACCTGACCCTGTACTCCACCGGGAGCCACCTCCGAGTCCCTACTTATCCAGGCTAAACATACCCAGTTCCATCAACCACTCCTCATAAGGCTTGGTTTCGGGACCCTGGATCATCCCTCGGCCGTCGTCTTTGGCACACCTTCCTCAGGATCCTGGGAATCCTGGCAAACAATCAAGGGATCTTTGCCACATCTCGCGATCCATGGCGTGTCTGGCAAGCCGTTGCTGCGGATGCACCCAGTCCACTTTCCAGGGCTCCCTGTGACCTTGGCAAAGGATCTTTGGACATGCCTCATGGAATCACTTCTCCTGGCGTTGCCGACGGAGGCCCAAAACCAGTCAGCTTCTGCCACTTCCAAGCCGAGCCCATTAAGGTCACAATCACACCTTATGTTTAAAACCTGTGGCTTCTTCCAAAGAATCCTGGAAACTGCGGTTTGCCCCTCAGGCCATTAGCATCCCCAGCACCCCTTTTTAATGTTTTTATTAACAATTTCAACATAACAAATTATCAAAAATATCATATTCATTATTTCCCCCCTTCAAACCCTCCCCTCAGCTCCTCTCTCTGATTTCTCAGCACATATTATTCCCTGCATGTTATAAAATTATGCATATCCTTATATTATCTATCTACCATGTTGCCAACTAATAAATTGGTGTATGTTTATTCAAAACCTGCCAAGGAGTCCAATTCATTTTGTTGTCTTTTTAGATCAGTTGTAAAAAGCTCCCCTTCTTCCTTAAAGTCACAGTTGTCCTTGTCCCGCAATTTGTATGTCAATTTAGCCAGCTCTGCGTAGCTCATCAATTTTTCTTTCATTGGGATTTCCTCATTCTTCCATCCTCGTGAGCATTCCCAGCACCCTTAATCAATCACAGCTCCCAGGACTCTTTGGGGTAAGCCATGCACTTTAAATGCACCGTGAGGGTGTGGCTGGCGTCAGACTTTAGCCGCTGACGGCTCCCAGGATGCACAGAAGTTGCCAGTTCTGTGCGCTGCCCTGAGGGCCTGGCGCTCTCCGCAGTTTCTCATGCCCAGCTTCTCATGCCCATTAAAGGCGGGCACCCAGGTTCCCTGTCTGCTTTGGGAACTCACAGTGAGCTCATGGAATCACAGAATTGTAGAATTAGACATCCGACCTCTGCTTTAGAAACTCCCTTGCCTTGAACAGCAGCCCAGCAAAGCGAGCAATTCTCAGGCTGCTGCGAAAGGCGCAGAAAGCAGAACATTATACCATGCACCCCAGTGGCAATTTGGGGGTGACTCCAGGTATCTGCATCTCCTGGAAGGTGCTGGGCATGTGAAGCCGTGGCTCGGATCTGCATCCAGCACAGGCCTCCCTCGCCCCACACTCCCTGCCATCTGCGCCGCCGCCCCCCCAGGGCTCAGATATCTCCAGGGTTTGTATTCCCTGATTGATCGTTCTCTGCAGCAATAAAGCCCATTAGCTGCCTCGGAGGCAGCCGGGGATCAGTTTCCAATCAATACCCTCTTAAGCAGAGAAGGGTGCATTTCAGGGCTGCCTTAAAGGGCCAGCGCAACCACCAGGCGCATGGGAGGAAGGGAGGCAAAGGGTGCGTGATCCATTTAGGCGAGGATTGGGGCTGGGTGGACAAGGGTGTTGGGAAAGGGGTTTGGACAGGCACTGGCCACAGTCCAGACTTGTTTGACCAGAGAAGGTGCTTGGATACTGTTGCTTTCTTCTTGGAAAAAATCATTCTTGAACTTCTCTGCGGCCAAGTTGGCCAGGGCACCTGAGCCAAACCATCAGGCGAGGAACCAGGGCTTGGAATCTGGTGACCACCATGAAACCTCGTCCGTCGGGGCAAATTGGGCAGTGCTCTGCCAACCTCAGCCTGCTCCCACCTACTGCCTGCCTTACTTACAGCCAGTTCAGAGGTTGGCTTTGCCCACCAGCTCTTTCTACAGTCTTGCCATAATAATAATAATAATAATAATAATTTATTATTTGTACCCTGCCCATCTGTCTGGGTTTCCCCAGCCACTCTGGGCGGCTTCCAACAAAGATTAAAAATACATTAAAATGTCACACATTAAAAACTTCCCTGAACAGGGCTGCCTTCAGATGTCTTCTAAATGTCAGGTAGTTGTTTTTCTCTTTGACGTCTGATGGGAGGGCGTTCCACAGAGCGGGCGCTACTACTGAGAAGGCCCTCTGCCTGGTTCCCTGTAGCTTTGCTTCTCGCAGCGAGGGAACCGCCAGAAGGCCTTCGGTGCTGGACCTCGGTGTCCAGGCAGAATGATGGGGGTCGAGACACACCTTCAGGTATACTGGACCGAGGCCATTTGCACCAACACGTTGAATTGTGCTCGGAAACGTACTCAGCCTGGTTGGCCTCCCAACATTGGCTCTGGCGCCCCCTGCTGTTGGGCTCCTTGCTTTCTGCCCTACCAGCCCCAAGGTGCCCAGCAGACACAATCTCTGACTTGACCACCGAGGAGACCCAGAGCAATGGCTTCTCTCTGGGTAAGTGCAACGCCCTCTTTTCTCCTCTTCCTTCTAGATTTTTCCTCAAGTTCTTCCTCAAATGCAACCAGAACTGCCTGAAGAATGCAGGGAACCCCCGGGACATGCGACGCTTTCAGGTGAGACGCACCCCATTTTCCCTTTCACCTGCTACTTCTGTTCCTTCCTGACAAAAACCGCAGCAGGAGCGATCTGGTCCTCTCCAAAGAGCCACTGAGAAAGATGCTACAGTGAGAAGGGGCCAGAGACACACCTTGATCGGGAGATTTCCACACACAAGGAGCCACCACTGAAAAGGCCCTTCCCCAGCGAGAGGGCCCTCAGGAGTCCCATTCTCACCCGCTGAGATTCAGTCATGGGCTGGTTGATACGGGAGAAGGTTTTCTTGCAGATGACTGGGTCCCCAAGTCTTAGGGCTCGGGAAACAATTTGTAACCAGGGTCACAGTGTTTAGGTGGGGACGGGTGTGCCTGTGGCCTGCTGGCTTCCGCCATTGCCTAGAGCAGACTTTGAATCATGGAAGGGACCCTCAAGGGTTATCCAGTCCAACCAGCTGCGATGCAGGAATTTCAACTGAAATTTGAGCTTTAAAACTTCAGCAGTGCCCTGTGCAACGCCAAAAATCGGAGGCCCCTCACCTCTTGCCTTCCGTTGTTTGTCAGTCAGTCAGTCAGTCAGTCAGTCAGCTTTATTGCACATAGCCAAAGGCTGCCGCAATGTACACAGAATCATTCAATGATTAAAAGAAAATATACTGGATTGATACAAAAACTTAAAACATTTATATTATCAATACATTGCCTACTCTAAACAGAGCTATAAAAGCACCTTAATATACAAGTTAAGACATTAAACAATAAAATTTATAAATTATCACATGGCCACTAATATATTAAAAAATAATGTTGATTAATACAATGTGCAAATATATTTGGAGTTTGGTGATAAAGATAGAATATAAAGGTAAAGGTACCCCTGCCCATACGGGCCAGTCGTGTCCGACTCTACGGTTGTGCGCCCATCTCACTTAAGAGGCCGGGGGCCAGCGCTGTCCGGAGACACTTCCGGGTCACGTGGCCAGCGTGATGAAGCTGCTCTGGCGAGCCAGCACCAGCGCAGCACACGGAAACGCAGTTTACCTTCCCGCTATAAAGCGGTACCTATTTATCTACTTGCACTTAGGGGTGCTTTCGAACTGCTAGGTGGGCAGGAGCTGGGACCGATGGGAGCTCACCCCGCCACGGGGATTCGAACCACCGACCATACGATCGGCAAGTCCTAGGCACTGAGGTTTTAGCTTGATATAAAAGGTAAATGTAAAGGGACCCCTGACCATTGGGTCCAGTCATGGCCGACTCTGGGGTTGCGGCGCTCATTTCGCTTTATTGGCCAAGGGAGCTGGCGTACAGCTTCCGGGTCATGTGGCCAGCATGACTAAGCCGCTTCTGGCGAACCAGAGCAGCGCACGGAAACGCCGTTTACCTTCCCGCCGGAGTGGTACCTATTTATCTACTTGCACTTTGACGTGCTTTTGAACTGCTAGGTTGGCAGGAGCAGGGACCGAGCAACGGGAGCTCACCCCGTCGCGGGGATTCGAACCACCAACCTTCTGATTGGCAAGTCCTAGGCTCTGTGGTTTAACCCACAGCACCATAAATTCATCTCCTTTACAGTTGGTGGCTACCTTGGCTATATAATTTGCTCTAATTTTCCTAGCGGCAGTTGCAAAGAGAGAGGTCACATACTTATCTGTGTCTGTGAGGAGATATAAAATCATGTCAGAGAGGTTCTGGCCAGGGGACCTTGTCATTATAGGTGCTAAAAATCTTTCTCAAGCTTCATTATATAAGGGGCAGCGCAAGAGGTCCTCTACTTCAGGACATCCCCTAATGCAAACACGTTCGTTTGTTGGTCTGCTTCTGTGTCTCCCATCTCTATAAGCAGAGTTTATTGTATTTAATCGTTGTTCATCATTGTTGCAATCCCCCCCCCCCCCGCTGTGCCCTCTGGGCTCGGCACCCAGTGCGAGCGAGTCGGTCTCGCTTGCCTAAATCTACCTCTGCTACCAAGCGTGGTTCGCACTCGCCTCTCGCCCGTAGCGGTGGCGGCGTCTGCTGCTGCTGCTGCTCCTTCCCTCATCAAGGTAGGTGTGCTTTCGCTCCCAGGCACCCGCGCTATGCAAATTGGAATGGCTGCTAATCATGTAAAAATGTCACAATTACCATATCGTTAGGAGAGGAACCTGATGATGAAGCCCCCCAGCCAGCCAGCCAGAGCCGGTTGAGGCCCAGGGAGCCCCTTCTTGCCCCCACAGACATCGTGGCCCCACTGGGTCCTGCTGAGGTCTCTGGCGTGGGCTGGGCTCCCCTTTCCTTGCGTGAGGCTGGAATTATTCACAGACCCAAAGTGTGATAGCGGGGTATTGCATCACGCCATATACAGCAAGCAAGCAAACACACAACGAATAGTAGGAAGAAGAAATATAAACCCAGGCATCTATATTTCCCAAGCTGGCGTGGATATTGCATGTTGAGCGTCTTACGTCCGAAGCATAGGAAGTAAAAATCCCGCCAGATGACTTTAAAATGTTCTAGATTCTCCATTCCCCTGCAGAAACACAGTTTATGTGCGGTTCCACGCATACCCCTGCAATAGCCAGACACCAATGGACATTTTAGAATTTCTTTAAAGAAACTCATCAGAGAAATAATAATAATATAATAATAATAAGTTTATCATTTATACCCTGCCATTCTGGTTGCACTGCCCAAGCCACTCTGGGCAGCTTCCAACACATATAAAAATGTAATAAAACATTCAAAAACAGTTTTCCTGTACAGGGCTGCCTTCAGATGTCTTCTAAAAGTCAGATAGTTGCTTATCTCCTTGACATCTGATGGGAGGGTGTTCCACAGGGCGTGTGCCCCTACCAAGAAGGCCCTCTGCCTGGTTCTCTAGCTTCTTGCAGTGAGGGAACTGCCAGAAGGCCCTCCGCGCTGGACCTCAGTGTCCAGACTGAGCAATGGGGGCAGAGATGCTCCTTCAGGTATACTGGGTTGAGGCCATTTAGGGCTTTCAAGGTCAGCACCAACACTTTGAATTGTGCTCAGAAATGTCCTGCAAGCCAATAAAGAACTTTCAGGACCTGTGTTATATGGTCTCGGCGGCCACTCCCAGTCCCCAGTCCGGCTGGATTAGTTGTAGTTTCCGGGTCACCTTCAAAGGTAGCCCCAGGTAGAGCGCATTGCAGTAGTCCAAGCGAGAGATAACCAGAGCATGCACCACTCCGGCGAGACAGTCCGCGGGCAGGGAGGGTCTCATCCTGCGTACCAGATGGAGCTGGTAGACAGCTGCCCTGGACACAGAATTGACCTGCACCTCCATGGACAGCTGTGAGTCCAAAATGACCCCAGCCTGCACACCTGCCAGTGTGCAAATTGGCAGCTGGCCTTCCACCTTATTTCTTTGTGCAGAGAATGTGCAGCCAAGCAGCGGAAAGGCATCAAGGGGCAAATCTGGCTGTGACAAATTGCATCAGAGATGCTCAGTGGGGCAGGACAGGGGCAGACATCACCCTATAGTCCTGGACGGTGTCCAGTCTCTGATGGAATGACCCCAATGGTTGTCTAGCCTGTTTTTCTACCTTCTGAGGACCAGGAAATTGCTGTTTTTGCAGGGAGTCTCGATGTCTCCTCCTCCTCATTGGCAAACCCCTAATCTCTCTTCCCCTTTAGGTTGTGGTGTCGACGACAGTCAATGTGGACGGCCATGTCCTGGCGGTGTCTGATAACATGTTTGTCCACAACAACTCCAAGCACGGCAGGCGGGCAAGGAGACTGGACCCCTCGGAAGGTCTGTGTTGCAGCAGCGCAGTGGCAAACTCAGGCGTCAGATCTTATCGCAGCCAGACCTTATCACAGATTCTAGGTTTACGAAAGAATCTCACAGTTGTACATTGATGGGTTGCAATGATCACTGCTCATCTCCATATATTATTTTCTGTGGCGCCTTGTACGCCTCCTTCCGGCAAGCTGGTGCCTAACATATCACTCTGCTTTTCGTTGGACCCCATCGGTGAGGCCGAGAGAGGGATCTTGTCGTCTGGGCAGCCCAGGTCCCCCATGCATGCTGCCCAGACGTGCGCAGTACCCTTTGGTACTGCTAATGCAGTGGTTTGACTTCACCCCTGGAGGCACACTCCATTGACTCTCGAGACAGACGGATGACGACAGCAACTATTTTATTTTAACATTTTGTTGGAAGCCGCCCAGAGTGGCTGGGAAAACCCGGCCAGATGGGCGGGGTATAAATAAATTATTATTATTATTATTATTATTATTATTATTATTATTACAGTCATACCTCGGGTTGAAGTAGCTTCAGGTTAAGGATTTTCGGGTTGCGCTCTGTGGCGACCTGGAAGTAATGGAGCGTGTTACTTCCGGGTATCGCCACTTGCGCATGCGCAGTCGCTCAAAACGACGTCACGCGCATGTGCGGAAGTGGCGAATCGTGACACACGCATGCGCAGACTCAGGTTGTGTTCGCTTCAGGATGCAAACGGGGCTCCAGAATGGATCCCGTTCGCATCCAGAGGTACCACTGTATTATTATTATTATTATTATTATTATTATTATTATTATTATTTCTGTGCACTAATGTTGGCAAATGATTTGGGGTTGGACTACATAGCCCTTTGCATGCCTTCCAACTCTACGATTCTATGAAGGAGGACCACCTTTCTCTTGGGGCTGTCACAGCCTATGGTTCTCTATAATCCTCATTGGCTCGGAAGCCTGGAATCAGAGAACGGTAGAGTTGGAAGGGACCCCCGAAGGCCATCTAGTCCAACCCCCTTGATTGCCTGTTTTTCCTTCCCTCCGACATGCACTGCCTTCCTGTTTGCCCTCCTCATCGCCCCACATCACTGCCCACTTTCCCTTCTTACACCTCTCTTCTTCCGCTCACCCCAGTTGCTGACTCTCTGCCTTGTCTCTCCCCCCTCCCTGCCTGAAGCTGCCACCCCCTGCATCAAAGCCATCAGCCCCAGCGAAGGCTGGACGACGGGCGGCGCCACCGTCATCGTCATCGGGGACAACTTCTTTGACGGGCTGCAGGTGGTCTTTGGCACCATGTTGGTGTGGAGCGAGGTGAGTCTCCAGGGGCATGCTGAGGACTTCTTTTTTTAATTTGTTTAATCATCTTTTCAATACAAACATCAACCGCAAAAGACACATACAACAAAAACCATATTAACACAATTTGACAAGTCGGATTTGAATGCACTGATATACCTATGACTACCTCTTTTTTAACAATATTTCCCCACCTCTCTCTCCTCCCTCTACTTCCCACCACTATCCGCCTTATCGCTTAAATATTCGTTCCAGATTTCTTCATATTTATCCATTCTTATTTTGCATCGACATGCAATTCGTTCGTATGTAGCTAATCTGTCCATACTATCAATCCATGTGCCCAATGGAATCATTTTGCAGCTCTTCCAATTCATCAAAACAATTTTTTTTGCTTGTAATATAGCACGGTACATCCATTATTATTTTTTGACCCCTTGAAATCTCCCACGTTTCCGGAATATAATTTAGAATTAAATTCAGTTCCCCTAAGTAACGATTTCTTTTTATGTGCACACTGAGGACTTGAAACTTGGTTTGCCAATCATTCCCCCCAAAAAATGGAGATGTGCGAGCAGCCTTGCCAAACGGCAGCTCCCAGGGTGCTTTGCAGGGAGCCATGACAGTTCAAGCTGGCAGCAAAACAATGGAGGTTTGCAACATAGAGAGGCCTCTGCGTCTGGTTGCCCAGCTGTGGTTGGCAACTTAACTAATGAAAAGGAAGGGTGTTCTAGTCTGGTGCCGGATCCCACAGGGGAAAGAAGCATGCTGATTTATCCAGAGCCAGACCACTGTGTGGCCCACCAGTATTGTCTTCTCTGACTGGCAGCTGTCGTTGTCCAGGGTTGCAAGCAGGGATCTCTGGGGACTTGAACCCAAGGGAAATAAATGCTCATCTGCTGAGCTACAGGCCTGCCGCCTTGTGGATAGCTCTTAAAGGGCCAGCCTTCTGGCCTGAAGATAGAATCATAGAATCGTTGGAAGGGACCCAAGGATCATCTAGTCCAACCCACTGCAATGGTCATCTCCTCCTCCTTTCCATAGTCTCCTGCCCTCCCTGACCTGCTGTATAGGCAAGGTCCTATTGGGGACATTGGGTTCCTCGGGGAAAGGTGCTCATGAGGGTCCCGATTCTGGCCTGCCAGTGCTCTGGGAGGTGTTTCTGGGGTCCGTGGAATTCAGGCTCAGTGGCCTCTGGCTCTCCAGCGGCAGCCCCAGAGCTCCGTAAAAGTTCAGGAAGGGGCCACCGGAATGAGGGTGGTGAATACAGCACAAGATATTATGGGATGTCCCATGAATCCGCGGGATGAAATAGCGGAAGAATGTTGCCTCAGGAGAGTGAGGAAAATTTTCAGGAATGATTCACTCCTTGGCTGGCACTTTCTTGATCAACTGCCCTCGGGCAGAAGTTATAGGTAAAGGTAAAGGGACCCCTGACCATTAGGCCCAGTCGTGGCCGACTGGGGTTGCGGCGCTCATCTTGCTTTACTGGCCGAGGGAGCCAGTGTTTGTCCACAGACAGTTTTCCCGGGTCATGTGACCAGCAGGACTGAGCCGCTTCGGGCGAAACCAGAGCAGTGCACAGAAACACCATTTATTTTCCCGCCAGAGTGGTACCTATTTATCTACTTGCACTTTGACGTGCTTTCAAACTGCTAGGTGGGCAGGAGCAGGGACCGAGCAATGGGAGCTCACCCCGTTGCGGGGATTCGAACCGCCAACCTTCTGATCAGCAAGCCCTAGGCTCTGTGGTTTAACCCACAGCACCACCCATGATTAATCACACCAACAGGGTAAAGAACAGCTTCTATCCATGGGCTGTTAGGCTGCTGAATTAAAAGATAACAACAGGGCAACTGACTTTCGGGTTTGGTGGGTGTGCGTCAGTAAATGAGGGGAATTAAGACTAAGAGAGCTGGGTTGGGGGTGCTCATGTAATCTCACCGTATACAAGTTGTACAAGTGAAAATAAAGTATTTCAATTTCAATGATCTGTGAGAACAGGGTGCTGGTCTCAATTTGCCATTGGCTCTTGTTCTGCTTTTATATGTCTGCCCTCCTCTCTTAACAGCTCATCACACCGCACGCAATCCGTGTGCAGACTCCGCCAAGGCACATTCCCGGAGTGGTGGAAGTGACCCTCTCCTACAAATCGAAGCAGTTCTGCAAAGGAGCGCCAGGACGCTTCGTTTACACTGGTGAGAGTTGGGGCGGTCTTCTTTTGTGGGGAGACGGTGCAAGGGGGGGCAGGTATTGGCTTTTCTGCTCACGGTCCTACATGGCCTCTGGAACTCCTGGCTTTGCTGCGAAACGACGGCACTCATCTGATCTCCTTGGGTTTGCTGCGAGTGGTCAGTGCAATTTCGGGAGAGATCAAAGGAAGTCCATCTTTGCATGGTTGAACTATGGAACTCTCTGCCACAGGAGGCAGAGATGGCAGATCTGGGTGGCTTTAAAAGAGGATTAGGCAAATTCATGGAGGAGGAGAGGGCTGGGGTTGACTACTAGCCGCTATGGCTATGCGCTGCCTCCACAGTCGGAGGCAGCGATGCTTCTGAATACCGGTTGCTGGAAACCGCAGGAAGGTCAAGTGGTTCTTGTGTTCGAATTCTGCTTGTGGGTTTCCCAGAAGAGGCACCTGGCTGGCTGCTGTGAGAGCAGGACGCTGGGCTAGACAGCCCATTGTCCTGATCCAGTTTGCATCTTAGCAAACAGATGGAGGTTGAACCCTGACAAGACAGAAGTACTGTTTTGGGGGACAGGGAGAGGGCAGGTGTGGGGGACACCCTGGTCCTGAATGGGGTAACTGTGCCCCTGAAGGACCAGGTGCGCAGCCTGGGAGTCATTTTGGACTCGCAGCTGTTCATGGAGGCCCAGGTCAATTCTGTGTCCAGGGCAGCTGTTTATCAGCTCCATCTGGTACGCAGGATGAGACCCTGGGGCTACCTTTGAAGGTGACCTGGAAACTACAACTAGAATGCGGCAGCTAGACTGGTGACTGGGAGCGGCTGCTGAGACCACATAACACCGGTCCTGGAAGACCTACATTGGCTCCCAGTACGTTTCCGAGCACAATTCAAAGTGTTGGTGCTGACCTTTAAAGCCCTAAACAGCCTCGGTCCAAATTACCTGAAGGAGCATCTCCACCCCCATCGTTCTGCCCAGACACTGAGGTCCAGCACCGAGGGCCTTCTGGCGGTTCCCTCCCTGCGAGAAGCGAGGTTACAGTGAACCAGGCAGAGGGCCTTCTTGGTGGTGGCACCCGCCCTGTGGAACGCCCTCCCACTTGATATCAAAGAGGACAACAACTACCAGACTTTTAGAAGACATCTGAAGGCAGCCCTGTTTAGGGAAGCTTTTAATGTTTAATAGGTTATTGTATTTTAATATTTTGTTGGAAGCCGCCCAGCGTGGCTGGGGAAACCGAGCCAGATGGGCGGCGTATAAATATATTATTATTATTATTATTATTATTATTATTATTATTATTATTTCATTATACTGGTCCTCCAATGGCGGGGCCAAGCATATGAATCACCCCCCGCCTCTGGGATGATGGGGGCACGTGCTCTGGTCTTGCCCTTCACGCATCTGAGCCCACGTGTGGAATTCAGAACGGTGGAGCTGTCAAGACCCCATCTCGGCCCATCTTCCCCTGTCCCCAAAAGCGCAACCCTGTGACCGCATCTCAGTGTGTGTGTGTGTGTGTGTGTCATCCCACCCACGTACCCCCCTCGTTGCATGGGTAATCCCGTGTGCTCTGGCCTGTGAAAGGCCTTCCAGGGGTGGGGGTGGGGGGGAGCAGAGAGAAAATCAATACCAATTACTCCTGCACGAACGCTGCCCAGAACTGGAATTGCAGCATATGTTTACGCTAAATCAGGCAATCTATCTTCATCTTGGTTCAGTAATGAAGCGCGCCAATCTCGGAGGGGGGAGCTTTAAAGTGGGAGGGGGAGGGAGGGGGAGTATGTGCCTTCTGGGTGATAGACAGGTTATTGGAGGGGGGTGGAATCTCTGACTCTCTGTGCCTTGGAGATGGGGGGGGCAAAAGAGGAGGAGAGCGGAAAGGAAGGAGAAGAGATCATTTATGATTATTCATATCAATGTTGTTATTTGTTCAATTTCTCTGCCTCTCTTTCTCAGAGGATCACAGGGCTGGTTGCAATATAAAAACACATAGATACATGCCAGAGATACAAATGCAAATTCCACCACCACATACAGAGAGAGAGAGATTAAAAGGCCATAGATTGTTAAATTAGTCAAAGGCCTGGGAAAAAGAGGGATGTTTTTGCCTGGCTCCTGAATTGTGAGGACCAGTGATGGCTATTTCTGTGCCTCCAAGGTGGGAGGCAGCAATTCTTCTGGATCCCAGAGGGGGTATTGTGTTCGAATCCTGATCGCGGGTGTCCCACAAGCCACTGTGAGAGGCTGGACCAGGGGGGCCCTTGGCCTGTCCCAGCAACATTCTCCTTATGTTCTTGTGGGCAGATTCTGGCTGTTCTTTAGCACTGGTATTGTCCTAGAAGGCATCTTGTATGAGGGGAGGTTGAAGGTGTGCTTTTGGAACTTTTGCCTCAAGCTATTCCTACATTATCAGGACGCAGGTGGCGCTGTGGGTTAAATCACAGAGCCTAGGGCTTGCCGATCAGAAGGTCGGCGGTTCGAATCCCCGCGACAGGGTGAGCTCCCGTTGCTCAGTCCCTGCTCCTGCCAACCTAGCAGTTCGAAAGCACGTCAAAGTGCAAGTAGATAAATAGGTACCGCTCCGGCGGGAAGGTAAACGGCGTTTCCGTGCGCTGCTCTGGTTCGCCAGAAGTGGCTTAGTCATGCTGGCCACATGACCCGGAAGCTGTACACCGCCTCCCTCGGCCAATAAAGCAAGATGAGCGCCACAACCCCAGAGTCATCCGTGACTGGACCTAACGGTCAGGGGTCCCTTTACCTTTATTCCTACATTGGAGGTTAGAATCATAGAATCGTAGATTTGGAAGGGGCCCCGAGGGTCATCTAGTCCAACCCCCTGCCATGCCCCAAATGGAAACCCACAAGAGTTCTCTCCCCTCCTGCGGTTTCCAGCAACTGGTATTCAGAGGCCCTGCTCCCTCCACCATTTCAACTCTCTTCCTCTCCTTGAATTCTTTCTGTTCCAGCTGGTCATTACAGGAACTACGTAACTAAGAACTAGCGCCTGTTTGCCATTTTTCCTCCTCCCTCCTCATTCCTTTTCCTTTTGTGTGGTGTCATTTAGACTACAAGGAAGCCTTTTTTCTGTTAAAGGGTGAAGATGCTTTAAATAATAATAATAATAATAATAATAATAATAATAATAAATTTTATTTATATCCCGCCCTCCCCAGCCGAAGCTGGGCTCAGGGCGGCTGACAACACTAAAATAGTGCAACATTATAAAATAAATAATGAAATAAAATAAAATGAAAGATGTGAAGAAGTACCTTTTTTGAGAGGGAAAGGGAATAGGGAGTTGTTTTTCTCCCCTTCTTGTGACACTGGGGCTTGGTGGACATCATATGGGGCTGAAAGCCAGGAGGTTCAGTACAGACCAAAAGAACGACTCCTTCGCCCAGCATGTAGTTGACTTTAAAATAGGTTTAGAATATGTCTGGAGATAACAGTGTCTAGAGGAAAGCCCTCTGTGAATGGGATTTGGTATCCGAAGTTCAGCTTAGAAATGCACAAATTTATGGAAGAAGCCACACCGTTCTGGCTGCTCTGTCTCTTAACAACGACCCCAATTCACTGGATTCTAACCCACTCACCCTTTCCGCCTGCAGCCTTGAATGAGCCAACCATCGACTACGGCTTCCTGCGCTTGCAGAAGGTGATCCCACGACACCCCGGAGACCCTGAACGTTTGCCCAAGGTAGGGAATCTCACAAGGCATTTGGATGTATAGTCATACCTCGGGTTACAGCCGCTTCAGGTTGCGTTTTTTTGGGTTGCAGACCGCCGAAACCCAGAAGTACCAGAACGGGTTACGTCCGGGTTTCGGCAGTCACGCATGCGCAGAAGCACCGAATCGCAACCCACGATGTTTGGAGACTAGGGGAGTTCGTGCAGAGAAGGTCTGCCGAGGGCTCTAAGCCAAAAGGGAGCCTCTTTGCACCACCAAGAACCAGGTCCCGACACAAATAATATAATATAATAAAATAATTTATTATTTATACCCCACCCATCTGACTGAGTTTCCCCAGCCACTCTGGGCGGCTTCCAATCGAGTGTTAAAAACAATACAGCATTAAATATTAAAAACTTCCCTAAACAGGGCTGCCTTCAGATGTCTTTTAAAGATAAGATAGCTACTTATTTCCTTGACATCTGATGGGAGGGCGTTCCACAGGGCGGGTGCCACCACCGAGAAGGCCCTCTGCCTGGTTCCCTGTAACTTGGCTTCTCGCAGGGAGGGAACCACCAGAAGGCCCTCGGCGCTGGATCTCAGTGTCCGGGCTGAATGATGGGGTGGAGACCTCCATCAGATATACTGGGCCAAGGCCATTTAGGGCTTTCAAAGTCAGCACCAACACTTTGAATTGTGCTCGGAAACGTACTGGGAGCCAATGCAGATCTCTCAGGACCGGTGTTATGTGGTCCCGGGGGCCGCTCCCAGTCACCAGAGAACAGGGCGATGGTCTGCTCCCTGAAGCTCTGCTTCCCTGTCTTCTCTTGGAAGCAGAGCCCTGGGCCGGGTGGGTCTCGGCCTCCTACAGCCCAGCCGATTCTGGGGACCGCACATCTCTCCACCCGCTGGCACCGGAGCAATAAGAGACCCACATCATCAGACTGGGAGTGCATCAGTAGTGTGCGTCAGCGAGCCCCGCGCACCTCCCTGACACAACCGGCACGCAGACCCCTCGATTAGTCTTTCGCCTGCCGGAGACAGGTTGCTCCTTTGTTCCATGCGCTCCGGCTGTCCTCGCCAAAGCGTAGCTAATGCCTCCGGGCAGAGAACAGCTGGCGGCGAGAGGGAGGGCCTTCGGGTGGAGAGTGACAGCAAGAACCGGCCTCCAAATTGGAGCCATTCATCATGGGCTGACAGGGACGCTGCAATCACTGCTGCGGCTGCGTTCCTGCGCGCAGGCCTCCCTTTGGTGCCGGAGCGCATGGCGCAGCGCTGCTTCCGTGGCCTTGGCACACAGGGGAACTGGATTCTGTGTACGGGGACGTCGCAATTGCTCTGCAGCTTGGGACCAGTAGTCCATCTTCTCCAACATCCTCCACTTAAGAATTGAGGTGTTTGTGAGTGCTTCTAAGCCAGGCATGTAAGTACATAAGATGGCGTCCTTTTCTCACAGTTGCCAACCAGGGGGAAAGCCGCAAGCTGGATTCGAACTCAAGTGCAGTCTCTCCTCCTGTGGTTTCCAGCAACTGGTGTTCAGAAGTGGAGGAAAAGCGTAGCTATTCTGGCTGTTGGCCATCGATAGTCCTCTCCTCCTCCACGAATTTGTCCAGGCCTTTTTAAAAGCTGTCACTCCTGTGGCAAGGAGTTCCGTAGTTTAATAATAAATTTTATTCATACCCCGCCCTCCCCAGCCAAGACCGGGCTCAGGGCAGCTAACACCAGGCATAAAAACAATTGATTAAAATATAACTTGAAAACAAGATTAAATACAACATTAAAATGCAGCCTCATTTCAGCAGAAACTCAAAAATTTTGGGGGGGATGAAAACGTCAAATCTTCACCAAGGCCACCAGACTGGTCCTACGTGGGCCAGAAAAAAGCCAGGGAAGTCCCCAAATAGGAGTTCCATCACAGAAGGAGAAAGGAAAAAGGAAAGTGGGGGAGGGGATCAAGTTGATTCCAAGCCAAAGGCCAGGCAGAGCAACTCTGTCTTACAGGCCCTGCGGAAAGAAATCAGATCCTGCAGGGCCCTGGTCTCATGAGATAGAGTGTTCCACAAGGTCGGGGCTAGTGTTGAAAAGGCCCTGCCTCTGGTTGAGGCTAATCTGACTTCCTTAGGGCCCAGGACCTCTAGGGTGTTGCTATTTATGGACCTTAAGGTCCTCCGCGGGGCATACTGGGAGAGGCGGTCCCATAGGTACGATTTAGGAAATAGGAAATAGGAAATATTTTTCTCGAAAGAGTTTACAGTCTTTTCTTCTTATTTCTTTTCCTAAAATCCCTAAAAGAAAAGCCTCTGGTTTTTTTACAAAAGTATATCTTAACACGGCTGTAGTCCAAAACATCTGAGCATGCACCAGCTTTGCAAAGTCTGCCCTAGTTGTTTCATTCAGAGATCTATATGTTAGAGAGAACGAAATCAGCTGTAAAATTATGTTCCTAAAACAAAAAAAATGCATTTCGAATCAGTAGATCAGCTTAAGATATCAGATCACCCATCAGGTGAGTTTTAAGCAGGTGTCTTAATGCCAACTCTGCAGGTGTCAGCCCGACGTGCATTGCGATTAAGCACATTTCATGGTAAGGAATCCCGCAAGTTAATTATGGGGTGGGGTGCAAATAAATTGCTTCGTTTGCTTGTCCAGAAGGTGATCCTCAGGCCTGTCAACAGGCAAAGAGGAAGCAAGACTACAGAATATTCGCATGGCACAAAGTTACAATTTTATATTGTAAGCTGCCCTATGATCCTCGAATGAAGGGCAGTATAGAAATGTAATAAAATAATAATAACGAAAAGGTAAAGGACCCCTGACAGTTAAGTCCAGTCGCGAACGACTCTGGGGTTGTGGCGCTCATCTCGCTTTACTGGCCAAACGAGCCCACGTTTGTCTGCAGACAGTTTTTCCGGGTCATGTGGCCAGCATGACTAAGCCACTTTTGGCGAACCAGAGCAGTGCACGGAAACGCTGTTTACCTTCCCGCCGGAGTGGTACCTATTTATCTACTTGCACTTTGACGTGCTTTGGAACTGGCGTGCTTTGGTCCCTGGCAGAAGCAGGGACTGAGCAACGGGAGCTCACCCCGTCACGGGGATTCGAACCGCCAACCTTCTGATCGGCAAGTCCTAGGCTCAGTTGTTTAGACCACAGCGCCACCCGCGTCCCCTAAAATAATAATAGTCATAAATAAACTGTGGAACTCCCTGGCTCAGGTGGTAGAAATGACCTCCAACTAGGATCGCTTTACAAATTGGACAAATTTGTGGAAGAGGCTTTCAAAAGCTAGTAGCCACAATGGCTATACTCTGCCTCCACAGTTGGAGGCAATGAAATACAAAGCTTAATATCTTTCCTTCTTTTTTAACCAAACCAAGACTTTTATCTAGTTACAATAAAAACACAAAAAAGAGAAAAAGAGAGGAGGAGGAGGTTAAAAGAGAAAGTTAGAAAACTAAGATTCAGAAAGTAAAGAACTTCCGATTTTTCACCTGTCTGCTATATAAAAGCAATATTCACTTCATCCAGAGGCAGTGATGCTTCTGAATGCCAATTGCTGGAAACCACAGGAGAGGGATCTTGTGTTCGAATCCTACTTGCAGGTTCCACACAAGCATCTGGTTGGCCCCTGAGAAAAGAGGCTGCTGGAGTAAGTGGGCCACTCTGTGTGATCCAGAAAACCTCTTCTTATGTTCTTACGCTGCAGTTTGGGGGTTACGCACTTTCTTTTTATGCAATGGGTCCCACGTTCGGTGCCCAGCATCTCCACATCGGGCTGGGAAGGAGCAGAATGTGGGCATCACAGCAAGCTGCCACTGATAGCGTTAAACCCAGGAATTCCTGGCCTCCATCAGGGAACTTCCACCCCCAAAGGAGCAAAAGCATCCTGGCCTGCTCCTATGCTTTTAAGCGCAGCTCGAACTGCAGAAATTAGCAGGAGAGGCTTTCTTTAAATACTTCCACCTGCGGAGATGCAGCAGGCAGCTTAAAAAGTTGACAGCCCTCCCGTCTCCGGTAAGTTTGGAGGCGTCGCTGAAGCACGCAGGGCCTTGCAGAGAGGTTCCCTAGATGCCGGCGTGAGCCTTAACAGAGGACCCTCACCCCCCCGGGAGAGGTTTATTAATTGTGACAGTGAATCTCTGTATCCACTGATTTCTCTCTCCCTTCGCAAAGACTTCAAGGCGGTGGCTAGTCTGGCCCAGCCATTCATCATAGTTAAGCTACCTGTCGTATCAGGGCTATGATGAAACAGACCCTTCCTCCTTTCTCAGCATCGCGGCCCCCCACCCTGCCCTTCACCCCATGCATCATGCAGAACTAACAACAGGTATACATGCTAATTGTGTGTGTGTCTGTGTGTGTGTGCAAGCTTCACTGTGTCCTGGCTGCAGGAATGCAGGCTGAAAGAGGACACAGCAGCGTTTTTAGAGAATTCAATGGGCTCTACCTGCGACTACCTTTCAAGATGAATCAGAAACTAACTACAACTAAGCTAGAATGTAGGTGCCAAACTGGAGACTGGGAGTGGCCGCCGAGACCATATAACACCAGTCTTAAAGGTCTACACTGGCTCCCAGTACGTTTCTGAGCACAGTTCAGAGTATTGTTGCTGACCTTTAAAGCTCTAAATGGCCTTGGCCCTGTAAACCTGAAGGAGTGTCTCCACCCCCATCATTCAGCCTGGACACTGAGGTCCAGCTCCAAAGGTCTCCTGGCGGTTCCCTCCCTGCGAGAAGTGAGGTTACAGGGAACCAGGCAGAGGGCCTTCTCGGTGGCAGCACCCGCCCTGTGAAACGCCCTCCCATCAGATGTCAAGGAGATGAATAATTAAATATCTTTTAGAAGACATCTGAAGGCAGCCCTGTGTAGGGAAGTTTTTAATGGTCAAATCTTTTATTATGCTTTTACTATTTTGTTGGGAGCCACCCAGAGTGGCTGGGGAAACCCAGTCAGATGGGCAGCATATAAATAACAAAATTATTATTATTATTATTATTATTATTAGTTGGAAGAGGCAGGCTGGCCAAACAGGTCTGACAGGTTGTTAAAAAAAAAATCCTGCAACACCTATCTGACCAGAGTTGACAGTGTGTCAGTAGTGATGTGTATGTTTGTGTTTATGTCAAGCATGAGGAAGCTCAGGCCCAGAGCCAAATCCAGCCCTCCAGAATTATAGAATCATAGAATGGGAAGGGAACCTGAGGATCATCTAGTCCAACCCCCTTCAATGCAGGGAGACGTAGCTGTCCCATACAGGGATCGAACTTACAACCTTGGTGTTATCAGCACCACAGTCTAGTCAACTGAGCTATCCAGCTGATCTGGTTTCAGTTGAGCCCTGTTCATGGATTCAGCTGGTAAAAGGTCTCATGTTGATCATCCCCACATTTTTAACATTCTGTCATTCCCCCAGATTGCAGAAGTATTTTTGGCTTGGGGGGGCTGCATGACTTTGAGGGGCCACCTATCTGCTGTCGTCCTCCTGGCCCCCCTTTGCTGATTTGGTCCAGAAATAACTGGGTGTTTTATATCCCCTTAACGGGAGCTAAATGTGTGCAAAGCGGCCTGCAGTCTCTCCCCCCATCCCCCCCCCGCCAGCCCCAAGCCTCCCCCCCCCCTCCGCTCCATTACCGTATTGATCGGGGAGATATTGCAGAAGACAGAAGAGCAAGAACTTCTGATTGCTGGCACTTAGCTTGACAGCAATCCAATAGCCTTGAGATCCTGATGTACAGTCTAGAGCCGTCATCATTGGTAGTGGGCTGGGGGGGCTGGGAGGGGAGAGGAAGGCCAGGGGGCAGGTTAAGGAGCACAGCAAGGACCTCTCCCTGAGACGCAACTGAAATCAGAGGCTCAAAAAGACAGCCACTTCCCTCCAGATTCTTAGGACTGCAACCAATTAAATACTGCAATTAAATATTTTTGTGCTGCTGTTTCACAAAGAGCTTTCCAAACTGTGTGTCACGACACGTTAGTGTGTTGGCTGCAGTCTGCAGAGGTGTCGCACGAACACTACTTGCACTCATTCCGGGACTGGAAAGGGGGTAGTTTAACCCCTGCTTTGCTAGCAAAACTGAATTTTACTGTGTCACGAAATGATGCATGTCTAAAAAGCATGTGACCAACATGACAGGTTTGGAAATCTTGGAAGCTTGGAAGGCATAGAGCCTACAGTTATCATGGTTGTATTTCTTCCTATAGACATAGAAGCATAAGGCTAGCATCACGCAGTCCCCACTGAAGGATTTATAGTGCCTTCTCAGAGTCTTGGGTTTGCACAGACAGGGCAGGGGATGGGAACCCCAAGTTTGAAGGAGCTGTCAGAGGAAGTGGGAGGACTGTAAAGGGAAAGAGTTGGTAAGCAACACAAGCGGGGGTAGCCACCCCTAGCTTAAAATAGTTAAATATTTATTGGTTTAGCAAACCATAAGTCGCCTTGAGAGCTTTGGGTAATACAGTGCGGCCACATCTTATGGCCTTTTAGCTTGTGCAATCTCAGCCTTGCGTTGTGTAAGGCTGGCCGGTTGAAATTGTGCAAATTAAATGCATGCGAAGTTTTCTCACCTCGAAAAGAGCTTTTAAGCTCTCTGGCATGCCCTGCTGGGCAAGGTCCTCTGGGCGCACCAGTTCTGGAAGCCTGGGGGAGGCCCTGCGAGATATCGTGGGAACTCGAACAGACCCACGAGATCTTGCAAGAGCATCCCCAAGGCAGCACGCTGAGCCGATCTAGAAAGCTTTTAAGCTCTTGGCCTTGTTTGCTGGGCAAGTCCTGCTCAGCACACCAGCTCTGGGAGGGTAAGGATTTTCACACGGGGGTGGTGGTTCAAGTATATGCATTTTTGCATATGTCTGGAAGCCTCGGAACAGAACTCACGCCTAAATGCAATCGTGCTGCAAAGTTATAAGAAGGAGAGTTTGCAAGACCAAAAAATAGAAAGATGGCAGGTTCTGTCGGCCTTGCTTTCATCACAGACACATCCATATACGTCACACATTAGATTCTGCTTTGAAAGACGTTCAGCAGCAGTTGCTTAACCCAAGGTAGACTCTTAAAGTTTTCAAGGGATCTATTCAAAACCACCATCAAACCATAGGTCATCTCTCTGTCCAGAGATGCATTCTGTGATTTGTTGCCAGTTTTGTTGTCATCCAAGAAAGAGAGTAAGAGAGAGAGAGATTAACAAGGAGCAATGTCTTGAATCATCATAGAATTGTAACATTGGAAGGGAGTCCAATGGTCTTCCTACACTTGAGTAGGACCCTGGCAGAGACACATGCCCAACTGGCATGTTCTTTCCCTCCAGGTTGATCGTTCAGGAGCTTCAAAAGCCCGAACATCACAGCGACCGATGCCAATAGACACCGGCAGACTTTGGGATCTGCAGAGTCTTTGCAGTTGCATAACAGAACCCCAGCAACTCAGCATTTTGGCTAATCTACTTTATTTACATATAAACACACACGGAGCACTGCAACATGGCTCCCTCTCTCTCTAGCATCAGACAGCAAAGAGAAAAGAACAAAGGACAATAGTCCCACTTCACGGAACACAGTAACACAAACATCCTGTCTCCATCCCACTCTGTGGAGTCAAAACATACACCGTCATGTGATAGACAAAAATCCCATGACTGCAATCATGGAGTAGGAATTCTAACAGTCCAACCCACTGCAGTGCAGGAATTATTTGCCCAATGAAGAGCAATCTGTAATCCTTTTTTTTTTTACCTGCACAGTCTCCCAATGTAAACTTTTTATTTGTTAGTGGTTGGGGTCCCCCCATGTCAAATCATGCAAATTCTAAATGATACGGCTTTCACTCTGTAGAAATGCAAAGAGTTTGTGTGGGTACGTGCATGTGTTTTCTCTATGTGTCTGGTGTGATCCAGAGTGATAGACTGAGACGGGCCTGAGTGTCCACAGCTCTGTGTCAGAATTCCAGATATGCCCACAAGATCCCAAAAGCTGGTGATCCCTGCAATGGGATATGCAAATACGTTTTTGCATGCAGCTGGTCTGCTCAGAGCTGTCATGCGGGGAGTGTTTAAGGAGCCACCAAGAAATAAGTTGCTAGCTTGGTGTGTGTGTGTGTGTGTGTGTGTGTGTGTGTGTGTGTGTGTGTTTGCCTGCAGAAGATACAGATGATTGTGTGGATGGTTGTCGCCTTCTAGTGGAAATCCGCGGAGACATGAAGGGCCCTGTGATCCCAGCCACAGGTCAGTCGAGAAGAGCATTATGTGGTTGCAATGTTCAAAGAGGCACAGGGAGGCAGGGCCAGTGCAAGGACTAAATTTGTTTTCTCTTCTTTTAACATTTTTAAATTACGTAGATTTTCACATTTTTATACAGCTTGTTGTTGTTTAGTCAGTTAGTCGTGTCCGACTCTTTGTGACCCCCTGGACCAGAGCACGCCAGGCACTCCTGTCTTCCACTGCCTCCCGCAGTTTCATCAAATTCATGTTGGTCGCTTCTATAACACTGTACAACCATCTCGTCCTCTGTCGTCCCCTTCTCCTTGTGCCCTCCATCTTTCCCAACATCAGGGTCTTTTCCAGGGAGTCTTCTCTTCTCATGAGGTGGCCAAAGTCTTGGAGCCTCAGCTTCAGGATCCGTCCTTCCAGTGAGCACTCAGGGCTGATTTCCTTCAGAATGGAGAGGTTTGATCTTCTTGCAGTTCATGGGACTCTCAAAAGTCTCCTCCAGCACCATAATTCAAAATTTATATACTTTATCTCTAACCAATTCAAACATTAAATTACAAGGTTCTCTGAACCTTCAGACTTTCTCTCCTCCATTCCATGGGTTCTTATATTAAAAATTTAAGTATTCTGCATCTTTTACTTTATCCAACTATTGTTTATCCCTAGTTATCATAATCAATTTCACATTACAAATGTCATTACAATGCTCCCAAGGATTTTAACTGTTTACAGTGGTTTTTTAAGTAAACTACGAATTTACTCCAGTCTCTTAACAAATACTTGATCCTCTTGGTTTCTGATCTTCCCCATCAGTTTCGCCATTTCCACATATTCCATCAATTTCGTCTGCCATTCTTCCTTCGTTGGTAATTCTTCTTCTTTCCATTTTTGGGCTAGTAACATTCTCGCCACCACCGTTGGATACATAAAAAGTCTTTTGTCTTCTCTTGGTAGTTCTTCACCTATTAAACCTGATAGAAAGGCTTCTGGTTTCTTCACAAATGTATTTTTAAACATTTTCTTTAATTCAGTATAAATCATTTCCCAGAAGTCTTTTACCTTAAAACATGCCCACCACATATGATAAAATGTAGCTTCTCTCTCTTTACATTTCCAAGATACATCTGATTTCGTTTTATTCATTTTTGCAATCTTTTGTGTTTTCTCATGTGAGGCTTTGCTTTAAACCAGCTCCCAAATTATGAACCCTCAGAGCGCACAAACGTTCTCAGCAACATCCAAAAATAATAATAAATGCCTTCCCAATACTGTCAGTTTTTGGGCACTGCTAGTGAAAACACCAGGGGTTGGCATAGTTGGGCAAGGCCCATGTTTTATGTGTATGTACACCTGTATCAGATTGACTGTAAATAGCACATTTGCTTGAAATGATAATAATAATGAACAAATGAATAATCATCGAAAGGTATAACTCTTGCAGGGTGATTGCATTAAGGTTTGCTCTCCAAGAGGGCCTGCCATCAGCCTCTGGTTTGTTTCCCTCCCCACAGGAAGTGCTACTCAAGAGAGCGGCTGACCTGGTGGAAGCGTTATATGGGATGCCGCACAACAACCAGGTAGGGCTCAGACTCCTCTCAGAGTCAGATCAAGCCAGACTTGTCGGAAGCAGCTGTGCAACACAGGACTCCTTAGTAAAGAAAAAGCATTTTATATGTGTTGTAACACGGGGACACCAGATGGCGCTGTGGAGTCCCGTCTTTCGCCAACGTGATTTCCCATTATAAAGTTTACAACGCGTTTTCCTGAAATGCTTTTTTGACGTCTCTCAGGGACGCGGGTGGCGCTGTAGGTTAAACCACAGAGCTTAGGGCTTGCTGATCAGAAGGTTGGCAGTTCGAATCCCCGCGACGGGGTGAGCTCCCGTTGCTCAGTCCCAGCTCCTGCCAACCTAGCAGTTTGAAAGCACATCAAAGTGCAAGTAGATAAATAGGTATCGCTCCGGTGGGAAGGTAAACGGCGTTTCCGTGCGCTGCTCTGGTTCGCCAGAAGCAGCTTGGTCATACATTTTCCCACAATGCCCCAGGGTGCCCAGCATATCGTCACTCTGGCACATTGTGGGACTTCTTCAATGGCAGCCTTGCGCGGAGTCAAGCCAATGGTCCATTGAGCTCAGTCGTGGAATCAAAGAAAGGTCGAATTGGAAGGGGTCCTGAGGGTCATCTGTTCCAACCCCCTGCAATGCAGGAATCTCAACTAAAGCACCAACTCTTTCTGCACTTAGGCAGGAAGGACCAACTGCACCAATATAAAATGGGGAACACTTGGCTTGCCCGTATGATCAGGGGGTCTTAGTGGACCACAAGCTGAACACGAGCCAATGGTGTGATGCAGCAGCAAAAAAAGCTAATGCTATTCTAGGCTGCATCCACAGAAGTCTAGTGTAGCGTTACCAGATTTGCAAATCTGTCCCCGGGAAACATGGCAGTGGCAGCCTCAGCAGCCCGGAGCCAGCCTGGTAGTGCAGCTGGCTCTGGCTGGCTTCAGGAGCTACTCGCTGCCCGCTGCTTGCTGCCCGCTGCCATGGTGCCCGCCATTTTTCCTCACTGGAAGTCCCCATATGATGTGTCTTGTGCGCAACACACAATAATCTTCAGAAGGGAAGGAAGGGGAATAAAATATCAGGCACGATTCCTGCAGTGCGTGGGGTTGGACTAGATGACGTTCAGGGTCCAACTCACAGAACCATAGAATTCTAGAACTGGAGGGGACCACAAAGGGCATCTAGTCCAACCCCATGCAATGCAGGAAAAAGCATCCATGACTCTACAATTACGATTCTGTAAGCCCTCGAGGCACCCAAAAGTGCTACATATAAATGCGAACCCTTTACGACTTGCGCATGTCGATCCCGTCCCACATGGGGGTCCCTGGCCAAGCCCTCAGCCACCAGTGAGGTCCACGCACGCCCCTCCCCTCCCAGGTGTGTCTACCACCTTTGCGGTGGTAGTTTCCTTCCTTGCGATACTTGAGAGATGTGTTTCCGGGATCCCACCCCTCTCCTTGTCCCTGCTGGAAACCATTTTCTTTTTAACAACTGTATTTTTCTCTCTAATTGCCGTAACCCGCCCTGGGACCTGTGGTGCAGGGTGGGAGAGCAATCAAAATATTGTTGATGGTGCAGAAGGAGCAGCACATGTTTGTATCTTGCGCAGGTCGGTGGATTTGGCGGGGGATGTTTTTTCAGAGCGGCGTTCCAGGGACCCCGGTCATCCGGCCCGTTTTTACGTTCCTCTCTTGGTCCCGCTGCCAGTAATTGCTTCCATGTCCCGGACCTTGTTTGCTACCTCTCTCCCACACACACACACACACACACACACACGCACAACCTTGCATCCAGCTAGCTGGGCCCCATACGAGGGCCTGGCTCTCCAGCCCCACATCTGTTCATCATTAGGAATTCCAGGGCCGTTAAGTCACGGGCTCAAGGCGGCCCCATCCTTCCCGCACCCCCGTAACTGGGCCCAGCCGGTGCTTTCATGGCTCAGCAGCGGTTAGCACCACCTGCACGGATATTGCTTTGGGCTCGTGGAGGCGTGGGGTCAGGCCATCGGCTGGGAGGCGTTCGACTCTGCGATGGGGCCTTGTTTTCCTCCTCTAAGTCCCTCATCGCTCTTCCCTTCCCAGGGCGTAAATCTTCCCCTGCTCGCAAACAAAATGGCGGGCCTCAGCTCTCAGCCTGCTCTCCCAGGGGAAACCTGGGCCGGGCTACATGTTACTCTCGGAGCAGGAACAAAGAGAAAGTGGATCCGATCCTGAAGGATGCTGAACGTCCCTCAGAAGCAGGCAGGGAAACCTGGGTGTTGCCCGGTATAGATCTCAGCCAGAAGGAGAAGGAGGATGAGGGCGAAACTAGAATGAAGATGGCGGTCTCTCCTTCACTTTTTAAGCAGAGGTTGGACGGCCATCTGCCAGGGATTCTTCAGCCGTGATTCCTGCATTGCAGGGGGTTGATCCTTGGGGTCATTCTGCCTAGGTCAGACCCCACCTCAAGTCCTGTGTCCAGTTCTGGGCAGCACAGCTTAAAGAGGACATTGACTAGCTTGCAGGTCTGCAGAGGAGAGCGACCAAGATGGTCAAGGGTCTGGAAATCAAACCTTAGGAAGAAGGCTTGAGGGAGTTGGGGATTTTTAGCCTGGAGAAGAAGGGATTGGGATGTGACATGGGGGCTTCATAGATCTTAAGGGCTGTCCCAAGAAAGATGGACAAGCTTTTTTCCCAAACCAATGCATTCCATGACAAGAAATAAGAACTTTCTGACAGTTAGGGCTGATAGACAGTGGAAAGGTTTCCCACAGGAAGTTGTGGGCTCTCTTTGCTTGGAGGTTTTTAAGTAAAGGTTTGGGGGGGGGCTTCTGTCAGTTATTCTTCTGTTGACAATCCTGCATTGTAGGGGGTTGGTCTAGATGACCCTCGGGGCCCCTTCCAACTCTATGATTCTATGAGCTTTGGGGATCCCTTCCAACTCTATGATTCTCTGAAAATCAGTTGCCTCTGGCACCACCTACTGTTGGGCTCCCAGCTTTCTGCCGTACCTGCTCCCAATGGGCGGCAGCGTTCAAACCAAGTGAAACTGAAACCACAACAGTGATGATGTTCATAGAGGTAAAGGGACCCCTGACCATTGGGTCCAGTCGTGGTCGACTCTGGAGTTGCGGCGCTCATATTGCTTTATTGGCCGAGGGAGCCGGCGTACAGCTTCCGGGTCATGTGACCAGTATGACTGAGCCGCTTCTGGCGAACCAGAGCAGCGCACGGAAATGCTGTTTACCTTCCTGCCGGAGCGGTACCTATTTATCTACTTGCACTTTGACGTGCTTTCGAACTGCTAGGTTGGCAGGAGCAGGGACCGAGCAACGGGAGCTCACCCCGTTGTGGGTATTCAAACCGCCGACCTTCTGATCGGCAAGTCCTAGACTCTGTGGTTTAACCCACAGCACCACCCACGTCCCGATGATGTTCATACATGGACTTATTTGCAATATTAATTAATGGAATTATTCCATCGGTCGGATTGCGGATGTCTGCATTCTCTCCCTTCTCTCCCAGGACATAATTCTGAAGCGAGCGGCGGACATCGCTGAGGCTTTGTACAGCGTTCCGCGCAACCCCAACCAGTTGACCTCGCTGACCGGGAACCATGCCCACTCGGGCATGATGAATGTCAACTCCTTTGGGAGCCAGCTGGCCGTCAACATCAGCGAATCCACCCAGGGCTCAGAGCAAGGTAGGCAGCCACTGGGCGTCTTCCCTGCGGCTTTCGCATGACCACTCCTGGGAGCCAGCATCAGAGGCCGTCCTTTGAGGACCTTCCACAAGATATGTCTCAGAGAGGGTGGCAACAAAGGGGTGGCCTTTGCATGTTTTACTATGTTTTTAGACATATGGCAGACACCCAGAGTGGCCAGGGCAACCCAGTCAGATGGGCAGGGTACAAATAAAAAATGATGATGATGATGATTGTCTGTTTTGGAAGCAGAAGGTCCCAGGTTCAATCCCTGCCACTTCCAGGTAGTTGTTGTTGTTGCTGTTGCTGTTGTTGTTGTTGTTAGTGCCTACCACCCGCAGTCGCCCTAGCAAGGCTGTCATTATCATCTCTTCAGCACCAGGTTATGGCACTCCCAGGCTTTTGATGGTGCGTGATGGGATGATTATCTATATCTATATCTAACTGCTATGCAGGAATCCCTGGCAGATGCCCCCTCCAAGCTCTGTTGGTTTCATACCTGAATCTAAGATTGTGAGTCAAGGAAGGAAGGGAGAGGGGAGAGAAAAGGAAGGAAGGAAGGAAGGAAGGAAAGGAGGAAGAGGAAGGGAGAGAAAGAGAGAGGGGGGAGAGAAAGATAGGAAGGAAGGAATGGAGAGAGAGGAGAGAAAGATAGAATGAAGGAAGGAGAGGGAGGAAGGAGAGGAAGGGAGAAAAGAGAGAGGAGAGAAAGAGAGATAGATGATATAGATAGATAGATAGATAGATAGATAGATAGATAGATAGATAGATATAGATATAGATAGGAATGAAGGGGGGGAGAGAGAGGAGAGAAAGATAGGAGGGAGGGAGGAGAGGAAGGGAGAAAAAGAGAGAGAGGAGAGAGAGAAAGATAGGAATGAAGGAGAGGGAAGGAAGGAAGGAAGGAAGGAAGGAAGGAAGGGAGAGAAAGAGAGAGGAGGGGTGAAAAGGAAGGAGAGGAAGGAAGGAGAGGAAGGGAGAGAGAGAGAGAGAAGGGGGAGTGAAAGATAGATAGGAAGGAATGAAGGGAGAAAGAGGAGAGAAAGATAGAGGAAGGAGGGGGGGAGGAAGGAAGGAAAGCAAGACATCTTAAGATATTTAGTAAACTGAGCAACTATACAACTTCCTGCCCTGCCTTCCAGGGTACACACGCAACACGAGCAGTGTCTCACCACGAGGCTATGTCCCCAGCTCCACCCCGCAGCAGAGCAACTACAACACCATCACGTCCAGCATGAACGGCTATGCAGGGACTGCCATGACCAGCCTGGGGGTCCCGGGGTCCCCCAGCTTCCTCAACGGCTCCACGGCCAACTCCCCCTACGCCAGTAAGTGTCTGTCGCCTTTGCGGAACGGCGAGTCAAGGGTGCCTGAGCAGACCTTCCCTTTCCTGAGAATCGCAGCTCCGTTTTAAGAAGGCTAAGGGACTAGTCCTCATGGTAAGGGAAGCTGCACTTGGGAATGCATAGGCCTGGGAACTCCCGGCTGAGGTCCGAGGATAGACGAATCCCTGTCTCTGATTTCTCAGTTTCTCACTTTTCCAATCCTGAATCTAGTTCTCCACATTTCTGCAGCAATTTGTGAAAATTCATCAGACTTTGAGTTTCATTTGCTATCACTGTACTCTTCCCAGTGCCAGCTAAAAACATTTTTGTTTAGACAAGCCTACCCAGAAATCTAGAAGGGTGGTTTGTTTTTAGTTTATTGCTGACTTTAATTTCTGGAACATTTTAATGGTTCTTTCTTAATAATACTTTTCTTGCTTATTCTTTTTTTTTAATAAAGTGTTATGAGGATTATTTTCTTTACAATCAAGCAGTATATAAATTTATGAAGTAAATAAAAAAATAGAAATTCACCAAACACACACATTTTTGCATGCAATATACACATTTTTGTATGCAATTTCCTCCAATATAATGCTTTTGGGCATGTTATTTTTGCTAATATATGCTTTTCTTGGTCACACTGCCCTGTGACACACACATTTTCCCACACATTGCTTCATTGGAGAACTGAGTTGCAAAATTCAGAGAAGTGCCGAATTTTGAACAGTAGCTATGTTTCAGTTCCTGTGCGTTGGTTCGTAGAATCATAGAACTGTAGAATTGGAAGGGACCAAGAGGGTCATTTAGGCCACCCCTGCAAACTTAATAAATAATAATGATAATGTGCTGCGGGGAGGATTTATGGTTTGTTTTGTGCTCCTAGTTTTAATATGTACAGTCGTACCTGGGTAGTCAAATGCCTTGGCACTTGTATGTTTCGGTTCCTGAACGATCAAAACCTGGAAGCGAGCGTTCCAGTTTCTGAACGTCTTTTTGGAAGCCAAACGTCCGATGCAGCTTCTGCTATTGCTTCTGGTGCGCCTGCACAATCAGAAGCCAATCGGAAGCCGCGTCTTGGTTTCCTAATGTTTTGAAAGCGAGTGTTCCAGTTTCTGAACTTTTTTTGGAAGCCGAACGTCCAATGCGGCTTCCGTTATTGTTTCTGGTGCGCCTGCGCAATCGGAAGCCAATCGGAAGTTGCGTCTTGGTTTCTGAATGTTTTGGGAGTTGGATGGACTTCTGGAATGCATTCTGTTCGAAACCCGAGGTACGGCTGTATTTTAGTGCTGTGGGTTCACCGTATAAAAAACACAGAATACAGTCCGATGGGGGTCCACCTCCTCTTGCTCCGGCTCACTCCCGCTGCCGGCTAACCCCTGTCCTTCTTTCCATGCCAGTCATGCCCTCCAGCCCGCCCCTGGGGGCCTCGTCCATCGCCAGCTCCTCGACCCCGGGAGGCGTCTTCTCCTTCTCTCCCGTCAACATGATCTCCGCCGTCAAGCAGAAAAGCGCCTTTGCCCCCGTGGTGCGGCCGCAAGCCTCTCCGCCCCCTACCTGCACCAGTGCCAACGGGAACACTCTGCAGGGTGAGCCGTCCATCTCATTCGGTGGCAGCTGGGACACAAAGGGGCACAAGTCATGGGGACAGCCAGGGCCGTGGGAAAGGAGCAGGTGGGATGTGGCAGGAAGGGCGAGGCGGCCACGCTTTGCCGTGTGACGGCGGCAGCAGCAACGATGCGCCCTGCTCGCTCATCTCCTCAGCGCAAGGATTTGCACTTCTGCGACAGACTTCTCTCCCCTCTGAATCTGTTCTGGGTTTTCCCCCAATCCTCTGGAGGCGATTTGGGAAGCGGGTAGGAGGCACGAGCGAAGGGAGAACGTAAGAAGGAGCTGCTGGATCAGACCAGGGGCCCACCTAGTCCAGCTTCCTGTGCTCACAGTGGCCAACCAGATGTGTGTGAAAGTACACAAGTAGGATCTGTGGCTCCCAGCCACAGGGATTTAGCAGCGTCGCTGCCTCTGAGCATGGAAGCACATCAGAGCCATCCTGGTTAGAAGCCATTGGTAGCCTTCACCTCTTCCATGAATTTGTCCCATCCTCTTTTAAAGCCATCCAAGTTGGTGGCCGACACCGCTTCCTGTGGGCAGGAGTTCCACAGGCTAACTTTCTCTTATCTGTCCCTGAATCTTCTTCCAACCTTCAGCTTCACTGGTTGTCCACAAGTTCTAATGTTAACGAGAAAGGGAGAAACACTTTTCTCGATCCACTTTCTCTGTGCCCTTCAAGATTTTATCAACTCCTATCATGTCTAGGGTGTCCCCACAATGCCCCGGAGTTGAGTACAGGAGGCATGTTGGGGGTAAAGTGGGGTTAGTTCTATTGCACTGCCGTAAATCCTTGCACTGACAGGACGACTTAGCTGGATACTGCCCAATAATGATGAGGTTGATTGCATTCATATTTCTTCCAAGGTGGGTTCCTCCTTGTCCCATTTTATTCTCACGCCGCCCTGTGAGGTGAGTTAGGCACTGTGAGTGGCCCAGGGTCACCCAGCGGGCTTCGTGGCAGAGTGAAGATTTGAACCCTGGCCTCCTAGGCCTGGCCTCCAGGTTCAACGCTCTAACCACTACACTACGCAGCCTGGATGAGCTGCATCACCTCCTTTGGGTGGGTCAGTCCCACGGCTGCCCTCTTGACCAACATCTTCCCTGGGGACTTGGGAGAGATGCTAGCAAACGGTTCCCCTAGTTGCCTTCCTGACCCTGTACAGGAGGAATCCTCACCCGGAGTAGAAACTGGGTGGCTGGGTGTTCCTGGGATCAGGCCCCTTTTACCCAGCAGCAGTTGCTTATGAGGTCAGCCTTGGCTGCAAACTTTCCTCTTCCTTAACCGCCTTTCCTTCTTTGCTTTCTTTCGTCCCACCCCCGCCATTTCCCTTTCCTCGCTTGCTCTCGCTTCCGCCTCTCTGTCCTTTGCCCGCCCTGCGCCACTGCTTGCCGGGTCCTGCCAACCAGACCAAACCTTTGAGGATTCGGCAGACAAGTTCCACACTCCGTCTCGGTCGCTGCAAGGACTGGCTTATTCCTAATCACACAGTATGTCTCTTCTCTCGTTCTCGCGCCTTGCTCTGTCAGCCTTCCCCCTCTTTTCTGCTCCTCTTGCCGTGAACGAGTACGGCTCCTTAACAGCGACCTTGCGAGGTGGGCCTACCCCTTTTGCTCACCAGAGGGTAGTACCCACTAACGGGGGCCTCTGCCACCACACGCTTTCTGCTACATTCTCCCCAAAAAACAGCTCAGAAAACATTAATTTCATGTTGAAAGAGCCAAGTCCACTTAACCCTTACCACCTATGGTTATCAGACCAGCAGCCCAGGCAAGACCCCCGACCTGACTTTTAGGAGGTCTGCCTTCAAGTCAGATTGCTGAGACTGCGGCAAGAATTCTCCTCCGTAAGCAACTGCGTTGGCCTGAGGTGCAATTTCCAGCGGGGCCTTTGAGGTGGTGGCTCCTATGGTTTGACGCGGGGCACACGAGCTGTTGCACATGCTCAGTAGAGTTCAGTAGAGTGGGATCTCCCGTCCGCCTGGCTCGACAGGCGCAAAGGAAGATCTCCTTCTCTCCTCTGACTGCCACCGTTCAAACCTGGGAGATTGGAAAGTGGTAAGATTCTCCTCCTTGCTTGGCAGGACGATGCAGACAGCTGGCTTTGCCACCTGGTCAGATGCATGCCGTGGTAAGTTGCCCCTTGCTACAAGGCCGTCTGCCTTCAGACCGCGTCTCAGATGCTGCCCAAACCCCAAAGGGTCTACAGCACCAGGTCTTCACCAACCTGGTGCCCTCTGGATACTGTTGGACTACAACTCCCATCAGGAGAGCACCAGGTTGGCACAAGCAATTCCAGACATGTAAAAAGGCTCTGCGTGCATAGAGGTCCCATCAGGGGTGAGGAACCTGCTGCCATCACCGACACGGCAGGACTACAGCCCTCCTCATGCTTGACCATTGGCCATATTGACTGGGAATGATAGGAACTAGAGTACAACCTTTATATATTATTATATCCCACTGGGGCTACGTTCCGGGGATTGTGCCACAAGCCAAAACCTCTCATAGTCAAAACACACTGGGCGCAAGGGCAGTTGGGAATGCCGAAATCTTTTTTCCTCGATGCCCGCCCTCTTCTTATTTTAATTTTGCCAAGCGTGCATGCACAAATACTTTTTGGTTTTTCCCTTCCCTGTTTTATGCCCACAACAACCCTGTGGGGTAGGCTAGCATGAGAGGCAGTGTTTGCCCCCCTAAAGTCACACCCAGTAAGCTTCATGGCTGAGCTCACTGGTCTCCCAGTCCAACGCTCTGACCACTACACCGCACTGCCTGGAAGGGCTGCAGGTTCCTCGCCCTTTGTCTACAGCATGGCTCAGCTGATGACGTGGCCGCAGAACGTGACGCTTCTCTCTTTTGCTTTCCAGCGTTGTCGGGTCTCATCGTTCCGCCCATGTGATCGGGAAACGGAGGATGGGCTGGGCTGGAAGGAGGGACCAACAGACTGGCGTTGACCCAGACCCTTGGACTCGGAAGGGTGTGGGCCCTTCTCAATGCATTCCTGGAGCACACGCCTCCCCACCCCCAGCTCCTTCCAACCCGGCTGCAGGATTTCAAGAAGGCTCCCCCTTCTGGTGGGAGGCTGCAGTGCAGTGGGGCAAGCACTGGGAAGTAATGCTCACTCATCTGCTACCAGGAGATGCCCAGCCACGAACTGGGGGCGAAGATACAATTTTTAGGGAGAGGTGTTTGAGGGGGTTTCAGCACTGCCATCCTTTCTTTACCCCGCCCTCTTGCACCATTCCTCACAGCTTTGGTTAAAGAATCGGAAGCAAAGCCCACCCACACCATCCCCTCACCTGGGTTGCCCTCCCTCAGGTAGATTTGCTCCCAGCAAAGAGCAGAGTGTTCTCCCGTCTTAGCCGGAGAGGGTCTCCCTTTGGAAGCCAGACCCTGAGCACCAGCCCTTTGCACCAGGACTCCTGGGTCCTCCTCCTCACTATTCTTAAATTGTCGCTCCCGTGGCCTTGGGTGTGGACCCCAGGAAATGATTTGGCAAGGAGAGGGTGGTCTTCCCTATGCTTTGGGGGGTTTCCATCTCTGCTCCAAAGCAAGCTGGTTCACGTTACGCCCCTGGCCAAACCGGAGATTGCTTTCCGGCGAGGGGGAAGAGAGCCTGCGTTCCAAACAGCGACGCTGCCTTTCCCTTTTCTAAACCCCCACCTTGCAACGCGCAGGCCCTATCAGTCCTCCAGCACAGAAAAACCTGGGTGCTGGAGGACCTCGCTGTGGGCAAAGCCTTTGGGGCTCACCGCTCCATCGCATCGCCCAAAAGGTCCATCCCTTGTCAACCGCAACTGCTAACCAGCCTCCTCTTAACACGTGTCTTAATCTGAAGGTTTGGGGGCTAAGCAGCCGCTTCTAACAGGACACGTGTGAAGAACCCTGGCAACTTTCCCCCTTCCGCCCAGATCTTGGCCATGTGTTGCTCATCTTCTTCCCAGGCGTTCCAGATGTTGAAATGCCCACCCACGAATCCCCCAGAGAGAGTTTCTCCTTCGCTCCCTTCCGCCTCGCCCCATCGAGGCAGGAAGGGCTGCCGTCTCCCGATTCCTGAAACCAGAAAGGGCTCGACAAGCCAAATCCTTCTAAATTGATGTGCTCTTGGGCCGGGTGAATGGCAGGAGCCTTCGTGGGGACAACCGGCTTCTCTGCCAAAAAGCAGCAAATGTCCCGTACCGGCCGGCTTTCCGGTGCAGGAGGGTGGGCTCAGAGCTCTAAGGTTTTGCAAGCTCATTGATCGGGAGCATCACACGGCAGGACCCCACTCCGGTCCCACCTCCCCTGGGATCCAGTAGCTGACAGGAAGCTACCAAGACAGAGCACAGATACACCTGGCTCAGATGGGACCTTCAGCATCATTGATACTTAGTGGCAGGGACTTCACAGGACTTCAGGCAAGGATCCCTCCCTTGCAGGTGGGAGATGGGACCTTCTACATGCAAGGCAGGTGTCCTGGCCCTGGCCCAACCAGTGAACCGCAGTAGCTCTGGAGTGGTGGCGCCGTTTGTGGCTTGTGGGAAGTATTTTTCCGCCTGGCATAATGCTTAAGAGATGGCCCTGTAGGAGCAGAAAGTGAGGAGGGAGTAGGCAAGGTAGACGATTCTTGGAGTAAGAGCACAGGCGTCGTCTCTTCAAGCCCCGGACTCACAGTTCACGTGAATGTCTCCCCATAGGGGACCCACCCCCAACCAGTCATAGAATTGTAGAGTTGGAAGGGACCCAGGGGTCATCTAGTCCAACCCCTTGCAATACCCCTCCCCTGGTAACCCAGAGCCTGCCTTCTTCCCCCAGGAGCAGAGAAGGTGTTAGGATAGCCCTGGTGCCCACGGAAAGTGAACCTCAGCTGTGGTCACATCAACACTTGTATCTCACTTTAAGAGTCGTGGCTTCCCCCCAAAAAATATTCCTGGGAACTATAGTTTTGTTACGGGCACGGAGGGTGGTAAGGAAACCCTGGATAAACTACAGTTCACGGGATATATTTTTTGGGGGGGGGGGAGCCATGATTCTCTAAAGTGGTACAAGAGGGCTTTAAATTTATGGTGTGGCCGCAACCAAAATCTACGGTATAAACTTCTGCCTGGTTGTCTTATCTGTGTTCCCCTATAAGGAACCACGGGAATTTTAGATTGTTGAGGGGGAAACATAGTAGATACTCTGTTTTGAGATTTCCCCAGCCTCTCCTCAGAGAACTGCCGGTCCCTGGGGAGAGGGAATGGCTATGAAACCGGTTTAAAGAGTAGACTAGACGCCAAGCCTTTTGAAGGAATGTGCTCCTGTACGTGAAACTTGCCTGTGGACAGCACAGAAATTGAGAATTTGGCGTTGCCTCAGCAAACACTCCACTGATCCCAGATTTGCTAAAATGCCGGGGGATTTGGGGGTGCTTGAGGGTGTGGGAACTCCTTTGCCGAACCCCCACAAACGCTTCCACCCCGATGGGCTGGTTTTCAGTTTCAGACCTGGACGGAAAGGAACGAGATATCAGGGATTGCGCCCAACTTTAGCGGGGATCCTTTTTTCCCAGGGGGAGACTCAGCAAGCGTCGGACAAAGAGCTAAGCACCTTCTCATCCCATGAACTGATTCTCCCCGCCCCGCTGCACTGGCATTACAAGGCAAACACGGGTGCCCACCCAACTTGGTTTGGCACCCAAAGCCGCTCCCCTGGAAAAGTGGGCGCTCGCCATGTTGTTTCCACAGTAAGGCCCCTGGAAAACTCACACTGGCATTAGTTGTCAGTCTCTTTTCCCCTCGGCAGCCACAACAATTTCAGGACGTGCCTTTCCATGTTCGGAAACTGGCCTTCAGGAGGGCTTCGTTCCTATTTCCAGTTTCACATTTTCCTCCTTTGTTTTCTTTTCAACCACCTGAGCAATCTCAAGCCCATACGAAATGCCGGTACACTGTTTTTTGCATATCTTTTTTTTTATATCTATATAAAAAAACCCTCTCCCTTTCTTTTTTTAAAGCAACAGAAATACAGTTCTGTGTTGTTGTTTTTACACACGCTTCTTTTCTTTTTTGTAAAAAGAGAATTAGAGTTTTAAAAAACGGGGGCGCGATCCAGCAGAGCGTTCTCCGGCCGAGCCCCGCTAAAAACGAGGCGCTGTGTGTGTTTCAACGGAGCTGTGGTCGGGGAGCTTCCTGCTGCCTCGCGCCCCTGGCTTTTCAGGCGAATCTTCTCTCGGCCTCCCGCAGTTATTTTTCTAGCATTATTTCCAAGTGGGAAGGAGGGGATCAAACTTTTGTAAATAAAGATTATGGGGAAAGAAGAGCCCCGGATGCTGGGCTTGCAAACCACCCCCTCGCCGGGGGCTTGTTCTCTCTCTGTGTATTTATCTTTGTCGTACGGAGAATCCTTCTCCTGTTTCATGTTTCCTTTGTATTTTTTTTATTATTTTTAATTTTTAATTTTATTTTCTACATTGTCCGTTGTGTGTCCTGTGACGGCTGTTGTACAATAGCAATGTTGATAAATGCCCGGCTGCACTGTTTTTCAATGTAAGCACACGTCAATCAACTACGACTTTCATTTCTTAGGAAATGGGCCCTCTCAAGTTGAAAGATTTGCACCCGGTCAGAGTGGTCCTTATCCCCACCCCACCACCACTTTCCTCCCTTAAATACTGTTTCAACTTGGATTTCTTTAGAGGTAAAGGTAATGGGACCCCTGACCATTAGGTCCAGTCGTGACCGACTCTGGGGTTCATCTCACTTTATTGGCCGAGGGAGCCGGCATACAGCTTCCAGGTCATGTGGTCAGCATGACTAAGCCGCTTCTGGCAAACCAGAGCAGCGCACGGAAACGCCATTTACCTTCCCGCCGGAGTGGTGCCTATTGATCTACTTGCACTTTGACGTGCTTTCGAACTGCTAGGTTGGCAGGAGCAGGGACCAAACAACGGGAGCTCACCCCGTTGTGGGGATTCGAACCGCCGACCTTCTGATCGGCAAGTCCTAGGCTCTGTGGTTTAACCCACAGCACCACCCCCTCTGCCAACCTGGTGCCTTCCAGGTGTTTTGAACTACAACTCCCAGCAGCCCCACAAGTTTCACACTCTTTGTGTTGGAATACACACATCCAGTACAGGAGGAGCTGAAGGGCAGCGTTGCCAACTTGAATCAAACCTAGGTAGGCCTCACTCTGCATAATTGATCATATGATGCAACACACACACACACTATTTGAATGGAAATGTCTATCAACTTTTGGGGGGCCCTAAAATATTTTATTGGAGGGCTTAAGACCCTTCAGCCCCTAGGAGTTGGCTCCGATGCCAGGGTGCCTTGAAAATGTTTGCCCTCCCCTTTCAGATGAATTCACCACTTTGCATGTAAAGCAGATGTACTACATCTGAGCTATATCCCATCCCCAAAGGAACACTTCCATATAACACTAAATATTCCAAGTTGACTAGAAAATGAGGGTGTGCATTGGCTTGGGATGAATCCTGAGCTTCAGAGAGATTCTGGGATTTTATTTCTGGGTGAAGTCAAACCAGAGAGTCCCCAAAGTGCCTTGGCATCTCAGACACACACAAAACCCACGCCACCGGCAAGCGTCTGCTAAAACTGAGCTAATGTCTCTTCAGCTTGCCATATAAGCAAAACTCCCCATATAAGGGGAGGGAGAGTTGCACTGTGATTTGACAGGTCTAGTTTTTAATCAAAGGGAATTGTTTCATCTGGAGTTCCCGGTTCTTGGTGCTTTTGGCGGTGGGGAGCAATGGGTGCCCTTATAATTCTCTCAGCCCACCCCCTGAAAAGAGAGAGAAAGGAATAAACTTTAAGGATGCCTAGCACAAGAAATGGAACAGATGCATCTGCTATTTGGCAGGTTTCTTGCCTAGGGGCACCTCTCTTATGTCTGATGTTGTCCAACCCACCAAAATGCTGGGGGACAATGATTGATTACTCTGAATCCTCCCCTAAAACTGTAAAGGCTGCCCTGGTGCAAAAAGACTGCTGCATTTATTCTGAAATTTGGCAGGAGTCAACCAACTCTCAGAGGCATCTACCATGCCTGCAAATCCCATCTACTACTGTCCAATCTATATAAAATTGTAAAGGTGCCCAAGACAAAAACTGCTACACGGCTTGGCAACTTGGCAGACTTAATCCATTACAGAATGGTCCCTTTGCTTGTAAATTTCATCCACTTCTTACAGAACAACAAAAAAAGACAGGTTTTGATTTCCCAACAACCAATTGTGGTGAATGAGGATTCAAAGTGAACCCCGACCCTGAACTCAATCCAGTGCTTTGGACTGTTTTCTGTAGTGCGGAATCGGGGCCCAAACCAAATCTTCTGCTCTCTAAAGTGGAGGGCTGTGTCTCTCAATGCCAGAAGCAATAACTATCCTGTTCAGACCTTGGGAATATGCAAACATACCCCCTTCTCCCAATCCTCAATCTAATCTGGTTTAAGTCCTGCTTGCCCGTCGTGATTTGTAGGCTAGGACAACGAAGGTCTTTGGCGAAGCTGGACGTCAAAGACTCGTGGAATTGTAGAGTAGGGAAAGTTCCCCACCGGTCATTAGTCAAACTGCCAGCAATGCAGGAATCGCAACTAAAGGAGCCCTGACCAATGGCTATCCAAACTCTGTTTAAAATCCTCCAGTGAATTAAAAAGGTCTCCGATGAAGGAGAATTCACCACCTTCCAAAAGAGGAATCAGATGCAGACTTGAGCCCAGTTCTTCACCCACCGACCTGCACTGTCCCTCAAAATGGATTGCTGACTAGGATTGACAAATGACAAGGGAGGTGGGAATAGCATGTGTGTTCAACAGCAATTTTAACACCCTCGCACACATAGCAGGTAAAGTTTCCACAACGAGGAGAGAAACATGATTACCTGAGAAAGTCTGCACATCAAGCCTCTGTTTAAAGGCACAGGAGCACAGGCTGCTTAAAAAGTTGGCAACCCAGCTGGGTCATTCCCCTCCCCAGCAATTCTACAGAGCCCGTTGCGGATGCTTGGCAGCTGATTCATGTTCCCAGCACACCCACACGAGTCAGAGGGTGGTGGCTGGAAGTAATTTACTACATGTGTGTGTGTGGACAAAGGCATGTCCCGCTTGAGCTGAGGTCGAGGCCTGGGCTCAGCCAATTGGAAGGTTCCGGAAGGCCAGTGGAGAAGCCGCGAGATGGAGTGGGTGTGGGGGAGGTCCAGAGAGTGAGAGAGGAGATCCAGCCGTGAAACGGGCCTGGCGAAGGAGCCTGCCAGCTGGGTGGGGTCCAGAGAGCACAGTGGGGGTAGCCAATGGTCGAGGAAGCCATTGCCAGCATTGCACAAAATTGGAGGGTGACCTGTGCCTCAGTTACGCTGTGTGGTGCTGGCACAAAGGGAAGGTTCAAGATGTCTTATGGCAGACTTGACCAACCTGGTGCCTGGACTGCAGCTCCCATTAACCTGGAGCTGATGGGAATTGTAGTTAAAAACACCTTGCAGGGGCAGCAGGTTAGGAAGGCTATTTTTTGTGGATGGGAAGCAAGTCAGAAGAATGCCAGAAGAGATTCCTGGATCGGGCCAGACCCCCCAAGTGTCCCTATTTTCCAGTCCCAGTTTTGCAGGAACCATCCTGGTTTCTGATATGATTCCAGAATGTCCCACCTTTCCCTAGGATGTCCCTATTTTCCACTGGAGAAATGTTGGAGGATATGGAGTTCTGCAACTCACACGCCATCTGAAGGCAGCCCTGTATAGGGAAGTTTTTTAATGTTTAATGTTTTATTATGTTTTGATATATCTTGGACAGCGCCCAGAGTGGCTGGGGCAAGCCAGTCACATGGGCAGGGTATAAATAGTAAAATAATATTAGAGTGGTTCCTCGGGTTAAGAACTTAATTCGTTCTGGAGGTCTGTTCTTAATCTGAAACTGTTCTTAACCTGAAGCACCACTTTAGCTAATGGGGCCTCCCGCTGCCGCCGCACAATTTCTGTTCTTATCCTGAGCAAAGTTCTTAACCCGAGGTACTATTTCTGAGTTAGCGGAGTCTGTAACCTGAAGCATATGTAACCTGAAGTATATGCAACCTGAGATACCACTGAATTAAGGAACAGGTAAAGGTAAAGGGACCCCAGACCATTAGGTCCAGTCGTGGCCGACTCTGGGGTTGCAGTGCTCATCTCGCTTTACTGGCCAAGGAAGCCGGCGTACAGCTTCCGGGTCATGTGGCCAGCATGACTAAGCCGCTTCTGGCGAACCAGAGCAGCGCACAGAAACGCCGTTTACCTTCCCGCTGGAGTGGTACCTATTTATCTACTTGCACTTTGACGTGCTTTCAAACTGCTAGGTTGGCAGGAGCAGGGACCGAGCAATGGGAGCTCACCCCGTCATGGGGATTCGAACCGCCGACCTTCTGATCAGCAAGCCCTAGGCTCTGTGGTTTAACCCACAGTGCTACCCTCTCCCATTAAGGAATAGTTCATCCCTATTTTCATCACAGAAATGTTGGAGGGTATGCAATGGCTGCTCTTGTCCAGCATGCTGTTCTCACAGTGGCCAAGCAGATCCCCCAAACAGAAACCGGCAAGCAGGATTCGAACACAGGGGCAACACAGCTTCCAGCAAGCGTTATTCAGAAGCCTTGCTGCCTCCAACTGTGGAAGCAGGGCAGAGCCATCCTGTCTAATAGCCATCGCTCATTCTCTCCTCCTCCAGGAATTTGTCCAATCCTCTTTTCCAGCCATCCAGAGTAAGGGGGCAGGCCAGGAAGAAGAGGCTGCTTCTTCCTGCCACTTTAGCTGTGTTTTCACAGCTGGTGTGTCCCTGGCTCCGCTTCAGCAGTAAAAGTGCCTTGGCAGAGCGGTTTCCAGTCAACAGATGGAGACGTCATTCTTGGCCACAACAACGGAGCCAGAAAACATCTCGTGTGGTTAGGACAGGGGAGGTAGCACAGGGCCAGTGCGGCTTGGAAAGGACTTTTTTCGCAGCAAGCAAGATTGGATCCCATGTTGGATCCCATAAGTGAGTGCATGCGCTCAGGGGATGTTCTTGCTCATGGATAGAATCATAGAATTGCAGAGCAGCAAGGGACCCGCAGTAGACATCTAGCCCAACCCCAACAATGAAGGAATCACAGCTAAAAATCCCTGACAGGTGGCCACCCAACCTCTGCTTAAAAACCTCCAAGGAAGGAGAGTCCACCATCTTGCAAGATACTCCATTTCAAACAGCTCTTACTGTCAGAAAGTTCTTCCTAATGTCTAGTTGGATTCTGCTGTATTGTCGTCAAATCCAGTGGTTCGGGTCCGGCTTTCTTGTGCAGCAGAAAACAAGCTTGCTCCATCTTCCAGTGTGGTGTAGTGGTTAAGAGCAGTGGACTCGTAATCTGGTGAACTGGGTTTGCTTCCCCGCTCCTCTACATGCAGCTGCTGGGTGACCTTGGGCCAGACACATTTCTTTGAAGTCTCTCAGCCCCACTCACCTCACAGAGTATTTGTTGTGGGGGAGGAAGGGAAAGGAGAATGTTAGCCGCTTTGAGACTCCTTCAGGTAGTGATAAAGCGGGATATCAAATCCAAACTCTTCTTCTTCTTTCCTTGAGAAATCTAAAGATGGCTCTCATAGCTCCTCCCAGTCTCGTCTTTTCCAGGCTAAACATCCCCAACTTCCTCAATTGATCCTCATAAGGCTTGGTTTCCAAACCCTTGATCATCTTGGTTGCCCTCCTTTGCACACATTCCAGCTTGTGAATATTCTCCTTAAATTGTGGTGACCAGAACTGGACACAGGGCTCCAGGTGTGGTCTGACCAAGGCAGAATAGCATGGGACTATTATTTCCCTTGATCTGGACTCTAGACTTCTGTTCATGAAGCTTATAATTGCATTAGCTTTCCTTGCTACTGTATCACGCTGACTCATCAGTGAGTTGACAGACAGTGACTTGGGGACATGAGAGCATGCTTGACATCTGTCATGCAATGTCGCCAACTATGAAGGGAAGCATTCCAAAGAAGCCTTGTTGTCATAGATCACAGCAAAGCACTTGGTAAGACAGTTCATCTCTCCCACAAACTCTGAATCTGTGCCTTGCGCTCAAATTCACCCTCGCAAGACCTCAGCTCTTTTGCACATTGAAGCCAACTTTCATAGAATCATAGAGCTGTAGAGTTGGAAGGGACCACGAGGGTCATCTAGTCCAACCCTGTGCAATGCAGGAATCTTTTGCCCAACATGGGGCTTGAACCCACAACCCTGAGATTAAGAGTCTTGTGCTCTACAGACTGTGCAAGCTGAGTGGCAAGAGACCTCAGAGCTAAGGTTTTGCAAGGAGGCAGGTCTCCCCCTCAAAAAAAAAATGAAGGGGAAATGGAATGTACCATGTGGGAATTTAATATATACAAACGGCATGCAAAAAGTCAAGAATGATGGCTGCATGCCTGCTTTCTCCTACGTTGACAAATAGGACACAGTAATTGGTCATGGCTTGAGAAGATGCTTTTGCCAATATTTTGGCTGCAGTGGGAGGGAAACACCCTGAATCGACTTCTCCCACCTCTCAGCCTCCATGATGACTGCAATATTCTCAGCTGAGCCAGTCCTCCGTAGAAGTGGCTTTCCTGTAGAAACTTTACAGCGCTGATCAATCCCCAGACCCAATAAACACAGACTTAAATTAAGCAGTGATGAGAACTGAGACTTGGCTATTTAAACCAGCCTGGTGCTATCCAGATGTTTAGGACTACAACTCTGGTTGAGTTGTAGGCCAAAACATCTGGAGGGGACAACCAGGATCTGGAAGGCTGCTTGAAACAGTTCTGAGACCAAGCAGGGGTGTCAAAAGACAGGGCCTCAAGCTCTGTTTTCCATGGCTCTATTTAATCCTTTATCTATTATGTTATACGGCAGGGATGGAGAAACTTCTGGTGCAAAGGGCTGCTGAACCAATCAGGGCCTGCAGCTGATGGTGGGTGGGGCCAGAGCGTACAGTGGGTGGGGCCAGGTCCAAAAGCAAGTATCTATCTCTGTCTCTGTCTCCTTGTTGTTTAGTCATTTAGTTGTGTCCATCATTTCGTGACCCCATGGACCAGAGCACGCCAGGCACTCCTGTCTTCCACTGCCTCCCGCAGTTTGGTCAAACTCATGCTGGTAGCTTCGAGAACACTGTCCAACCATCTCGTCCTCCGTCGTCCCCTTCTCCCTGTGCCCTCCATCTTTCCCAACATCAGGGTCTTTTCCAGGGAGTCTTCTCTTCTCATGAGGTGGCCAAAGTATTGGGCCTCAGCTTCAGGATCTGTCCTTCCAGTGAGCACTCAGGGCTGATTTCCTTCAGAATGGATAGGTTTGATCTTCTTGCAGTCCATGGGACTCTCAAGAGTCTCCTCCAGCACCAGAATTCAAAAGCATAAGTTCTTTGGTGATCAGCCTTCTTTATGGTCCAGCTCTCACTTCCATACATCACTACTGGGAAAACCATGGCTTTAACTATACGGACCTTTGTTGGCAAGGTGATGTCTCTGCTTTTTAAGATGCTGTCTAGGTTTGTCATTGCTTTTCTCCCAAGAAGCAGGCGTCTTTTAATTTCGTGACTGCTGTCACCTCTCTCTGTCTCTTACATACATACAAAAGTGCAAGAGGATGTAAATTCTGAAGGATGAAGGTTTTCTTTTTTATTTATTGCATGCATATCTCACCTTATCTCTAAGGAGCGCAAGGTAGCAAGGTTCTCCCCCTCACTCAATCCTCTGAGCAACCCTGTGAGGTAGGCTAGGCTGAGACTGGCCCCAGGTCACACCCAGTGAGCTTCATGCCCCGAGTGCGGATTTGAACCCACGGTCCTAATCCGCACTCTAACCACTACATCACGCTGGATCTCCTGCAATGTCTACAGCATCTGGTGACACAGATGACTCTGAGGGATGCATGCTCGCCCCTCCAAAAGGTTGACAGGTCCCAGCCAAGGCGTGCAGCTGCCCCAACCGCCACAGTCTGGGAGGCGTGCCCCATAATTCCTTGCAGCTCCTGAGCTCTTCACTGGCACTTGTGATGGGCAGCTGTCAGATCTGTCCCTTGATCTGATGGTTTGAGCTACTACCCAGGTGTGTGAAAACCTGCCCTTTTCCAAAATGAACAGCTACTTCCAGCTGTGCTTTTTCACACAACACATAGTCAGCCTATGGAACTCCCTCCCACAGGAAGTAATGATGGCCACCAACCTAGATGGCTTTAAAAGAGGATTAGGCAAATTCATGGAGGAAGAGAGGGCGATGGATGGCTACTAGCCAGGATATCTCTGCTCTGCCTCCACAGTTGGAGGCAGAAATGCTTCTGAAGACCAGTTTCTGGAAACCGCAGGAGGAGAGAATGTTGCTCTTGTGCTCGAATCCTGCTTTTATTGCTTTTTGGGGGGTTTTAGGGTATAGTATATCACTATAACAGTTGCAATTCCATATACAGTCATACCTCCTGTTACGTTTGCTTCAGGTTAAATCTTTTCAGGTTGTGGCCCATGGCAACCCGGAAGTACCAGAAAGGGTTACTTCCGGGTTTCGCCGCTCGTGCACGCGCAGATGCTCAAAATTATGTCAAGCGCATGTGCAGAAGTGGCGAGTCACGACCCGCACACGCACAGATGCACAAACGCTGGTTGCATTCTGCTCATGTTGTGAACAGGGCTCCAGAACAAATCCCGTTCGCAACCAGAGGTACCACTGTATACTGATCTAATACAGTCGTACCTCGGGTTACAGACGCTTCATGTTACAGATGCTTACCCAGAAATAGTACCTCGGGTTAAGAACTTTGCTTCAGGATGAGAACAGAAATCTCGCGGTGGCAGTGCGGCGGCAGCGGGAGGCCCCATTAGCTAAAGTGGTGCTTCAGGTTAAGAACAGTTTCAGGTTAAGAACAGACCTCCGGAATGAATTAAGTAGCTAACCAGAGGTACCACTGTATTTCCAATATATTAGTATCATTTTTTAACCTACTATGTTTTGTATCAATGAGTTCCAAATTTCATTATACTTCTTAATAACTTAATTCGTTCTGGAGGTCCGTTCTTAACCTGAAACTGTTCTTAACATGAAGCACCACTTTAGCTAATGGGGCCTCCCGCTGCCGCCGCACTGCCACCGCGTGATTTCTGTTCTCATCCTGAAGCAAAGTTCTTAACCCGAGGTACTATTTCTGGGTTAGTGGAGTCTGTAACCTGAAGCGCATGCAACCTGAAGCGTATGTAACCCAAGGTACCACTGTACATGCAAAGTCTATGTCTATAAGCAATCCGCTCAGGTCATCAATCCATTAAATAAATGGATCTTCTCAATGCAGCAGTATCAGTCTTTTTGCCAATTTAATGGCAATGGCAATGATGATGATGATGATGTTTATATGCTGCCCATCCGACTGGGTTGCCCTGGCCACTCTGAGCAGTTTCCAACACATTAAAAGACAGGAAGACATCAGACATAAAAAAACTTCTCTGCCTTCAGATGTCTTCTAAAAGTCAGAGAGTTGTTTATTTCCTTGACATCTGATGGGAGGGCATTCCACAGGGCGGGCGCCACCACCGAGAAGGCCCTCTACCTGGTTCCCTGTAACCTCACATCTCACAGCAAGGGAATTGCCAGAAGGCCCTTGGAGCTGGACCTCAGTGTCCGGGCTGGACGATGGGGGTGGAGACGCTCCTTCAGAACCCATGTATGTTGCCCAGTTGGTGCTTGACCTCTGCTTGTAGGTTTCCCATGGGCCAGCCACTGTGAGAACAGAATGCTGGACTAGATGGGCCTTGGCTTAAGAAGAGACCCGCTGGATCAGTCCAATGGATTTTTATTTTCAGTTCCTTTCATAATGATCCCTACACATGGCTGCCACATGTGTATGAAAATACCTGTTTGTTTCCAGAAAGGGCTGCCCTCTGCTGATCACATGACGTGTTATATAATTCTGATATCACAGGTCACTTCAGTATGAGATTCACCTTGGCTTTCACCTATGTCCTTTACCACCTAGAACAATGTAAATGTGCAGCCCACGACTGTGCTCCTCTCTCTCATATGGCTCTATTGAACTCTGAGCTGCGTTAAACTTCATTGAACAGTCCTCAGGGGCATTGAAGGGCATTGCCTGTAAATTTCTACTGGCTCTGATTTGACACCGAGGGAAGATGAGCCCACCCACGGATAGGTCTGTGATCCAACTGTGATCAGGGTGAAGTCAGCCTGATGCTGGAGCAGTCGTTTTGACACAGTTCGGGGTCAAGCGGAAATTCAGGAGACGGCGGCAACTGCACCATGGGGTGAGAAAACTGGTCAGATTGGGAAGGGGTCTGTTCTTATCTAGTTAGTGGCGGCAAGGTGCCAGCGGTGACACACAAGAGGGACGAGGGAAACTGAGCCAGGCGTGTGGCTTGAGAAAAGCCCGAAATGGAGCTAAGCAGCTTGTAAAAATAAATGAGCTGGAGGCACTCGGGTTGGGAGAGTGAGAAGCCCATAAATGACGGGAAGGCGCAGAGCCAGCCCGGCCCATAAAAACAAGTATGAGTGTGTGTATGCGTGTGAGTCCTCGGGGAAGGATGCATGAATGCAGGAAAAGCTGCAGGTCAACTCGAATCAAGGAATTGTAGAGGGACACCCGACGATCATCTAGTCCAACCCCGGCAATGCAGGACTCACAACTAAAGCATCCCTGGCAGATGGTCGTTCACTTTCCACTTGTAAACCTCCGGCAGAGGAGAGTCTGCCAGCTTCTGATTGAACCCATGACCGAGGGTGTCTCTTTGGGGTGTCAGTTGTGATGTTGTTTGCGTGGCAAGTTCCCGTCCTCCCCAGTGGAAATAATGACACATGGCACAATTATTGCTAATGGGCTAAATAAGGACACAACTTTGTTGGTTACAGGTGAAGAGCAGTATTGGCTTAGGCATTGGTCCTAACCGACTATATCTGACTTCAGCCCGTCCGCTTGAAGACTGGAAAGGGTAAACCACCAGTAGGGGGAGTCCTTCTGATGCACATCAACTAGGAACTCCCCCAGGGTCACCTATAGGGGGCTTGCCTTGGGCCCCCACCTCCCCAGGCTTCAGACAGGGCCACGCCCCCCCGGAATCCTTTATCGGACTACCCTTCAATATGTGGGGCAGGTGATGGCGCTTCCTCCCCTCTTCCATTTACAGAGCAATACCAATGCCTAACTGCCAATACCAAGAAAGTTGTGACGATTTGCTACGAGGTAGGCGAAAACCAAATGGCCGGTGCCAATTTGCCAAGTGGAAAAAAATCCTACCAGGCCCCTCAAGGGCGACCAACCGAGGTCCATAGCAAGGTCAAGGAATGAAAACCTTAAAGGGCGGGAGGCTGGGAAAAGCAGGAACAGCTGGTAGGCGGCAAAGAGGGAGATCCCCAGCCAGCCGTGCCTGCCTTAAATAGGGCAGACCACGCCCCCAGAGCCAGCTGATTGGCTGGCCAGGGAGTGACACGGCTGGGGGTTCCCCCAATCGTGTGGGGGCTGGGCTCCAGCCCCTGTGCGCATGGTGGGGGCGTGAAGCCCACAACCACACCTCCTCTGCCGGGCGGAAATAGCTTTGCTTCCATTATTTTCATTGAGACAGCCCATCGACTGCTGCAACTTGGAGTTGTCTGCTGTGGCTTGAGACTAATCTTTCGGGGTAGCCAGCAGCCCTCCAACGTGAAGTGGAGAGTCCAGGGGCCGGTTCTGGGGTGACCGAATGATCACATCCCCTCCATCATGCAGTTAACCTATGGAACTCCCTGCCTCAGGAGGCAGCAGTCGCCACCAACCTGGATGGCTTTAAAAGAGGATTGGACTAGTTTGTGGAGGAGGAGAGGGCTAATGATGGCTACTGATGGCTAATGATGCAGAATGCCGCGGCAAGACTCCTTACGGGGTCCTCGCCGCAGGATCACGTTCACCCGATGCTATACCAGCTGCACTGGCTCCCGGTGGAGTACAGGATCAGGTTCAAGGTGCTGGTTTTAACCTTTGAAGCCCTATACAGGCTAGGACTCTCGTACCTCCCACGGAGGACCTTACGGTCTTCAAACAAAAACATCTTGGAGGTCCCGGGGAGGTTAGGCTGGCCTCAGCCAGAGCCAGGGCTTTCTCGGCTGTGGCCCCAAATCTGGTGGAACGCTCTGTCCCAAGAGACGAGGGCCCCGCGGGACTTGACATCTTTCCGCAGGGCCTGCAAGACAGAGCTGTTCCACCAGGCCTTTGGCCAAGGCACAGTCTGACGCCCTCCTTTGGTAATCCTCACAGAACTCTAGCCCAAAGGTTGCCATGAATTTGATTTTGAATTGATTTTAGAATGAATTGAATTTAGAATGTTGTGTTACTTTTATTGTTGTTAGCCGCTCTGAGCCCGACTTCGGCTGGGGAGGGCGGGATATAAATAATAATAATAATAATAATAATAATAATAATATTACTAGCCAGGATGACTCTGCTCTGCCTCCACAGCCAGAGGAAGCAATGCCTCCAAATACCAGCTGCTGGAAACGGCAGGAAGGGAGAGTGGTCTTGAGTTCGAATCCTGCTCATCGGTTTCCCACAGGCATCTGGTCGGCCGCAGTGAGAACAGAATGCTGCTCTTGAAGGCATGCGCACGCACACACGCACATCTCTGTGAGATAATGTCCATGTCTGTGCATTTTAGGAACTGTGTCCGGGAGTGCCATTATATCTGACAACCAAAACCGAATGCTTTTTATAGGCCCATCTGTTTAGAGTTTCTCCTGTTTCACGTCACTTCGGAGGCCCATAAAGGCAGTTGCTAAAAGCATTTTAAAGGAGGAAAACCTGGCTGAGCTTTTTAGCAGCCCAGCCTACAAGGGTGGGGGGCCATAAAACCTTCCCCTTGCTCCCCCCCCCCAACTGCCTTGCTGAATTTTATTTTCCTGCTTGGATCTCACGCTCATATTTCATCAGCTCGCCGGCTTGAAAGGTTGCCGGTTTAAAAAACACACACACATCACAGACCATTTTGGGCTTCTGGATGTTGGGGAGAGGGAGGGAGGCGAGACCCCTTAAAACCCCCAAAGAAAACTGTTTGTCTGCAGGGGCTGTTTTGCTCTGGTATTCCTGGCTGGTGTCCTTGTTTTTTGGCCAAGGGAGCCCTCAGATTTCTCCGTTAACAAAGTAAAGGCCGTCTAAGAGCTCATATATTTGGCTCCAGAATTGTTAGGAGAAACATGACCAATCAGCAGACCTCTTTTATTCGCTCATCTCAAATTGGCCGCAGAAGGTCAAAGACTCTCGGGCTTAATCTTCGTCAGTTTTATTAGCTCTCCAATCTCTTGGACTCAATGAGGCAGCCACTGTGCACTGGGCTGAGAAACGGATCCGTGCCCATTTCGCACAATGCTCCCTTGCTGGAAAGCTCCACCAAGCAGATATGTTAAGTCTTGGGTCTCACAATTACCAGCACACACATTTGCACCTCCATGGTAGGTGACCCTCTCTGGCTGAGTCATGTGAGGCTTGCTTGGGTCAGCTGACCACCTCGCTGAGCCAAACAACACCCCTGTAATATTGACCACCCACAGGATTGCATTGCATTGTATTACCACAATTCTTGTTCCCATGACTGGGAGCAGCCGCCGAGACCATATAACACTGGTCCTGAAAGATCTTCATTGGCTCCCAGTACGTTTCCAAGCACAATTCAAAGTGTTGGTGCTGACCTTTCAAGCTCTAAATGGCCTCAGTCCAGTATATCTGAAGGAGCATCTCCACCCCCATAGTTCTGCCCGGACGCTGAGATCCAGCTCCGAGGGCCTTCTGGCGGTTCACCCCTGTGAGAAGCAAGTTACAGGGAACTAGGCAGAGGGCCTTCTTGGTGGTGGCACCCACCCTGTGGAACACCCTCCCACCAGAAGTCAAAGAGAAGAACAACTACCAGACTTTTAGAAGACATCTGAAGGCAGCCCTCTTTAGGGAAGCTTTTAATGTTTAACAGACTACTGTATTTTAATACTTTGTTGAAAGCCGCCCAGAGTGGCTGGGGAAACCCAGCCAGATGGGCGGGGTATAAATAATAATATATTATTATTATTATTATTATTATTATTATCAT